CACGCAAAGCAGTTCTAAAGAAATTACTTTTCAATATAGATTTAAAAGTGCAAAGTCCCAGTGGATTCCTAATATCGGAAGGAAGAGCGTTCCAGACGGCCGCAGAAGCGCGCGCATCTGAAAGCACTCGATGCAGTGACCGTCTTGTCTGTTCGATGGCCAGCCAAAAAATACATTTCAGCAAGAAAAACTGCTTCTCCCACTGGAGGACTTTTTAAACCGATGGCCAGCAGGTCAACAGAACAAACCGAAGTTCGGATCTCATTGATGTGTCCTTGTACCTGAACTGGGTTTTTTTTTTCAGTTCTTTAAATTCTGGTGGAGTGAGTCTGTGGAACTGGGATGTCGAATTGAGAAGAGTGATAGCATGCCCACGGCCGTGGAGAGAAACCACAGTGGCACACGCGCCAATCCTAAATACCTGATTAACTGGTAGGCTCCTGAGTTAAAAAAAACTGTAAAACCTTTGACTGCAGGCCGAACCGACACTCAAGGGAAACATTGCGTAAACATTTTTAAAAAACATTTACAAAGCGATATGATTCAATTTGAACAACAACAACAACAAAACTGTGCATGATAAAATTATTTTTTTAAATCGACAGCCTACCGGTCAATTTGGTAGAAATGACAAAGTAAAGTAGGCAGTTGTAGCTGTTATAAGAAATAAAATGGATATGTTTGGGTAAATTTTAAACCAAACACATTAAAATTCGGAAGAGTTTGTATCTGGATATCCTGTACACACAGGGCCAATATATCCAGGTCAAGAACGTTCACCACGTTTTCACCGACTAGGGCAAGTTCAGTTACACTGGTCGGTCAAGAATTTACTTGGCTCCATTCCCACCCCATGTAACGTTATGGGGTACGAAGTCCATGCTGTATGTAAAGATCCCCGCAGTCTGCTTCAAAGTGGACGTTAAAGATGCCCCAATGTCTATCACAAGAACGGACCGTTGTGTGCTGGCGTCAGGGTCCAAATTTGTCTAATTGGAAAGTTGAACCGCTAAATGACTCAGGTGCGACGATACATAGCAAGCATCGCCCCTTACTGGCAGACTAATGCCCCAGGTCACCCTTGGGTTTTTCATCTACACCAGTGCTTTGACAACCTTCCTGGTCCTGCGGGACCACTTGTCACAATCTCGGCATTTTTTTCACAGACCGCCATGCGCCAATAAAAAAGAAATGTAAAAATTAACACGACTCTTAAATCGCAGTCGCGTCTGGAGCGATTCCACGGATCACTTCCCACGGTGCACAGATCAGAGGTTGGGAGCCACCGCTCAACGCAGTCCAAACATCGAACCACCGAACTGCAGTACAGGGTGACAGCAGAGAGCTTATTTAGAAGTGACAGTTTGATGGTGTGATCACAATGGCAGAGGAAACACATTTCCTGACTCATGGACCCAGGGCACCTGTTCACGATGGTTTTGATCCGGGCAGCAGAGTGAAGAGTATTTAAGGCTCAAACATGCTACATACACGAGTCTCATCGTCCCCATCGTCAGCCGTGATCCATCTACCGCTCGATGAAGGCCTCCCCGAGTCATAACCATTCCCTCGGCGTCTCGTAAATGAAATAATTCCAATTCGCTCCTGCACAGGAGCCGATATCATCCCTCCCATCTCCACAGGGGGCAATCCTCTCGCGCGTGTGTTCACTTCCTTCGGCTGAGGCTCCATGGGCGAGCGTCGATCAACCACCCTCGTGTCTCGCTCGGCGGTGCGTCGCGTTTCCAAGGCCACGTTCTCGTCTTGGCAGCTATCGTTGTGATCCACGGGCTGCGTTCGCTCCTCGTTGGTTATTTCGGTAAAGTCACGTAGGTATAAAATTGTTTTTTTTTAAATAGATCACGACGTTTCGATCGCAAACAACAAGCGATCGTCTTCGGGTGAAAGAAACAGACTGCAGAGATTGTGAGACATTAGCATGTAGGGCACGTGAGAATGAGAGCGCATTCCGGACGGACGCGTTTCATCTTCCAAAAATGCTCGAAGACGTCGTGGTAAAAAAAATTGGAGGCGCGAAAGAGAGAGAGCGGGGGGGGGGGGGGGGGGGAGGTTGATTGTAATCGATAAATGGTGGCTTTTGGGGATACAAACTGTGAAATGATGTGAAAATCAGGAGGGATTTTATGAAGATCTCGATATCCGAGGTATAAAACTATATTTTTCAGGTGAAGAGGAAATTCCAGATCACACTTAAAAAGACGTGAACCTTAGCCTTCGTCATGTGATACGAGGGAAATCTCCTGAACCAGACAGAATAACTGCAGACATCATCATCAACAAAGAAGCGGGACCAGGTGTCGGAGCATGGCTCCTAGGGTTACCATGACCGTGACTTGTCTGCGGCGACTCCTCATCCAAGCAGTGAAACGAGAACTTGAAACCCCACGGCTCTTCCGAGCGGTCAAACAACCCCTTGACGTCACAATAGCAAGGCATGCGAACGCACGCATTACACTGCCCGACAGTGTTCCAGGAGCCGTGGGTAGAAACCTCGAACGCTGAATGTTACTTATATGGTGCAGTGTGTTTCGCGTGTGGGACACCGTGCAGTTACGACCCCATGTCATTGCCGCACAGCTGTTGCTGCTGCTGCCACCAATAAATAAAGATACACATATCTAACAATATAACGATATTCGTGATGGTACCTTTACAATCATTGCCGCTGCCCTTCTTGAACAGGGTGATATTTTCCACGTCGAAGGTCTACATCAAGAAAACCTTGTCGCCCACACCTGAAAGAACGCCCTGTGACGGGAGACGATACCAGAGCCACCCTGAGCAGACGGCTCTGCCGGGATGTTTCAGGTTCCTGGACTGTTTCCACGTTTCAGTGCATCCACCGCTGTCACGACTTACTCCATTGTCAGGGGGAGCATCTAAAGCATCCACTGTGGACCCTTGTTGGTAGTTTAATTTTGGACATGCCTGCTAATCCTGCTGCACCAAGGAGCTCAGCGACGCGCTCTGCCCACGTTGCCTTTGAGTGATCAGGAGGCAAATTTATGTTGAATTTCTTACGCACCGTCCCTAGAAAAAGCGTGCTCATCGGAGGTGCGGGGGAAGGGCAACTAAACACAAAAAGCAGTTCTAAAGAAATGAATTTTAAACCCAGATTTAAAGTGCATAGCTCCAGTGGCTTCCTAATATCGGAAGAGCGTTCCAGACGGCCACAGGAGTGCACCCAAAAGCGCACAATGCGGTGACCGAAGTTCGATGGTTAGCCAAAAAAGCCGCTGCGAGGATGACCTGAATGTGCGATGGTTCGAGCTCCTTGAAGAGATCGGCAAAGTGTTGTAGTTAACTTGTGACAAGCACTTTTTGTACGAGTGCGACTTTACAATGCCCCGATAGGGAGGACCTCGAGTGCCATGCGGCGATGTATGTTGAACTCAATTTGCACCGTATGTAGCCAACCGTGCTCATCGGGGGTGCGGGGAATTGGAGGCGAGGGGATCGTGGTGATACGCTGCGGTATTTCCAAGGCAGACATCATTCCTAATGGCAACCCCCCCAACCCCCCCCGATGAAAGTTAATCCCTCCACGACCACTTGAACCACAGATCACAATCACTACAGGCCAACTCCTTTTGGAAGTGGGCGAATCATTTCCTTACACATTACAAATTAAAATGCCCACGAACTGCATTTGCACTGCATGTACTTTTATTCACTTTGCAAACGATTTGTAAAGGTGATTTGCATTGCATGTTCAAACGGACTGCAGCCGACGGGACATGAAAAATTCATTAACGGTGTTTTGCAATTGAGTAATTTAAAGAGTAAGAAATGTTAAAGACAACCTCGCTTCCATAACATGTTGAACACCTTCTGTGTGCCATAACATCTCTCCCAGCCAAAACAATCCAATATAAACTTTGATGGTAAGTGTACAGTATTACATTAATGTTCTTTTTTTGTTTACACTTCTTTAGCTTATAATTTCTAATATAACTTCGTGATCAATACATTCCGAACAAAAAAAAACCTCTGCTACAATGTTTACTGTTGCACCAGCACTTAAACCGTTGAGCAAAACATATATACCAGGAGGCAAAACGCACTGATAAATGACCAATTGACTGAATTGCACAGCATGTTACTCAGTAGCATTCAGATTCCTACTGCCAAATCCAGCCAGCCATGGTTACGTTGAAAAATGTTCCATCTCCTACGGGATTTAAAAGTTAACATTTTAAGTGCTGGTAAATTTTCTCTGAAATATATATCGTTTTAAATACGCATGTGTGTGTGTGTACAACACCCCCAGTCATTCTGTTTACTTACAATTTACAAAACAATAAAATATTGCAATTTCTGAAGGAATTATTTGTCTTTTTAAATAACTGCGGCATCTGAACTCAACAAAATTTACGAAAAGGAAAAATCTTCAACTCGCCACTATCGGCGAATAGGAGAGAAAAAAAACATTCACTAAGATTCATTTTTGCAAACCTAGTAAGTTTTCCAGAAATTGAGGTTGAAAAAAAACAGCTCATTGTCGACCTAGCTGTCAGTACAAATAAAAATAGTACAAAGCACTGTTAGTACAAAGGAAACAGTCCGGGAATAGTTATGCATATTTTTTACAGACCTAGATGCAAACCGGTTTAAGGGTCATTGAAGAACCGGGAACTCAATTCACAATTCCGCCACCACGACATGCCTGCCACCACCACGTGCCTGCCACCACCACGTGCCTGTCACCACCACGTGCCTGCCACCACCACGTGCCTGCCACCGCCACGTGCCTGCCACCACCACGTGCCTGCCACCACCACGTGCCTGCGACCACCACGTGCCTGCCACCACCACGTGCCTGCCACCGCCACGTGCCTGCCACCGCCACGTGCCTGTCACCGCCACGTGCCTGCCACCGCCACGTGCCTGCCACCGCCACGCGCCTGCCACCGCCACGTGCCTGCCACCACGACGCACCTGCCACCACGACGTGCCTGACACTGGCGCGGGGAATTGCACCGTAAAGCTCCCTTCAACCTTCACCGAAGGCCACCTCGTGAATTTGGACTCGGTGGGAAAACCGATTGAGACTCGTCTCTGTGCGCAACACGCCTGTACCCATATTGCAGAGCGGTGCCCAGTTTCTCTCGACGGTGGCACGTCACACGACTATCGCCAGACGTATTTTCCCCAATGTGGGTTGAGGCACAGCGCGAGGTCAATGATAAGGCTTTGCTTTTATAGGGCGCCTGATTGAACACCGACAACTCAAAAAGCACCTTACACGATCATCTCATCTCTGATCATTCCAAAGCCCTGCTGGTAATTTATCCCAGGGAATTCGTCGGCAACGACGACAGAGCAGTCAACAGTTAATTGTTTTGAATTTGTACCACGACCTTGGCGGACATGGGCTGCTCAGTTTCGAATGTCACGGATATCTTCACCCTTTCCCGATCCTAGATGTCTGCAAGTTGCAGGGTGGGTCGCATTCACCGCTCAATCTCGGAACGCGCAAGCGATTCAGTCGATAATTTAATTTAGAAAGGCGTAGCGCCGCTGTTTTTAAAGACTTTGTACTCACCGAAGAAAACTGTTGCGACACAACCGCACTCTGAAAGTTGGCGCCAAACTGTGCCACATGCCCTCCCCCCCCGCATGGTCTTTTACTTCCGAATTCCGGTCCGATGACATTAATGTCATCAGACCAGAATGGGAAATAAAAATTTATGGCGTACACTTATGTCATCGCAATGGTAAAGGGTTAAACATCCACAGCGAAGGCGGGCCGTGTATAATTACGGTTGGTACACCCACAGGATTAAGCCGGGTGCGAAGGGGCAATCGCGCGACTCTCGGCGGATGCACTCCCCATCCGAGCAGCAATGGGCTCGACAAATTGTGTACGAGTACAGAGGACCGCCGCACAGGCCAGCCCTGAAAAATGAGTGAATGCTCGGGAGTGAAACGCAAGCAGCATGTAAATCGGGAACTCCATAGAGAACATTTCTCTGCATCATTCTAACAGTTCACCACAGCGGACAATCAACACTTTCAGATGTAACAGTCATTGTAACCTGGGCCTTTTGTTACAAATGGAGCAAACAAAAAATGGAGAGTTTAAGGTGAAATTCTGTTCATTTCATTTTGAACATTTTCTATTTTAATGCAACTGTTTTCCCATAACAAGCAACTAAAGCACACTATATCCCCCATTTGCAACGTGCGTGCCTCTGACATCTGTGTAAACTAAACAAACCATACCGTAAATATCGATATCCAGCTCTGATACAAGCCCTATCTCCGGAGCAGGGATGGGTTCGTGACAACTTTACACAATCAACAAGTCCTTGGCAACATGAACAATCACAGTCTTATTTCAAGAAAAATCCCTTTTCACATGTCCTGGCTTCCTCTAAGCACTCACAGCTGAATGAACGCCAAGTGAAGAGTTAAATATGAATTTACCTTTTTTTCCTGCCACAACTATTGTCCTTTAAATTCTTCCTTCATGCGGTATGCAATGTGAGTGTCGAAAATCCGGTTGTTGCGAATGGACCATAGGGCGAGTGTTGAGGCTTCTTTTCAACTTCCACGTTCAAAATTGTCAGTTTGTTGGGGGTCGGGGGGGGGGGGTTGTTTGTATTATTTAAAGTTACGAATCCAAACAAATTCAGTTGGGAGCAGCGCCGGGCCCCCCAAAGTTAAAGGTAGTAGGCACGTTCAGATTATCAAACTTGTACCCACCAGCCTTTTCTATCTTCTTCGACTCTGCGTTCACACAAACGAAGGGGGTGAGAGGAGCCGGCACACATTGCCGATACGTCACAAGAGGGACCGAAACCGGAGCGGAGAAAGCCTAAATAGTAGATTCAACTTATAACGCGACACACAGTCTTCACTCGTTCTCGGAGAGAGACAACGACTCCGACGCACACGGAATCGCAAAGCAGGAAAGGCAGCCACGTGGTGAGCCGGCAGCAACAACTGTCCAAGCTCTGTAATCCTCTTGATATATTACGGTGTTATCAATCAATTAATAAGTGATGAAAAAATATGAATAGGCTTATACCCATTCTGGCAATAAAAAAAGGTGTTAAGACTTTCAAACACCAGATAGATACCCCTATTGCAAGGCATCAAATCTGCATTAACCACACATAGCTTGTGGCAAAATATGCCAACGTGCCTTGATAAAACATGCATTGGTTGGAGTCCCCTGTGTTTTTGCTGTACTTCTCCTGGCACCTCAATGACCGAGGGAAGGGAGTTTCACAACATTTGTGTGCGCCACCAACAGTTGCCTCCACACTGATGGATTACAAGCCACGTGCAAACAAGGGTAGTAAGGCTGCTTCCTTTATCGCCCATGCCAGTGTTGTTCAATCATTTTAAGGCGGGGCGGGGGCACTTTCGCCAATAAGACGTCAGTGAGAGCCACTACACATTTGAAACCATTGGGGTTTGTTCAGCACGACTGTGGGGGGTCTTGTCACATTTTTGTACTGTCAGGGGCCGCACTGAAGGCCACCAGAAGGCCATTAGTGGTCCGTGGGCCTTGCAATGAAGAACACCGATCTATCCACTATGGCCCTACCTTAGCTGCCCTCCCTGTGCCTTCCAGAATGAACCCTGCCAGGACCTCGTGAGGAGGCAGATATTTCCGAAACTTTTCTTCTTTGGTTCTTTAACTCGGTTTTTTCCATATCCAGCCACCCCCCCTGCTCTTTCCGCGTTGCAGCACTCAGCGTGTAAACCGTCTGAATATGTTCGCCTATCCCACCTTCCATCTGATAAAGTATTTACGTCTCTGCTTAGCACAACTCTCCCAAACGTCATTGCTTTCCATTTTTGTGGAGCTTGATCAGATTCTTCAAAATAACATTGTATTACATTTTTTAACAAAAATTGTTCTAAAAGTTTTTTGTAAAATCTTGGTAAAAGTGATATATCGCTCCTGCTATAAAGTGCAGGGATGAACCAACTGCTTCCACTTGGTAGGGTAAGGAGTGAGAGAGGAGGGATGGTGGAGTAAGGGGAGTGGGAGAGGAGGGAATGGTGATCCAAATGGTGGGGGAAACGACAGTGGGGATACCTGCAGCAGCCTGGCGCTGGTTGGCTGTCGTTAGCACGTCCAGGATGGCTTTTCGCTGCTCATCCGTGAGCCCAGTGGTCAGGGCCTGGTACCAGGCTGGGTCTTGGCTCTCGATGCCTGCGGGAGGGTAAAGCGGCCCATGGTGCACGGTTAGGAACGGAAAAGTGATGTAACAGAACTCATGAGGTTGCATCACCGATTTTCATCCACAACGTGTGGAGCAACTTCTCATTGGTCCGAATATAGAGGAGTTTGGCACGTGGCAATACATCTGGAAATACACCAAAATTATACGACTGCTTTTTTGCGTGAAATCATTCACAACCAGACTGAGAACAACAACTCGCTACACTTGAGAACATGGTTTTAATCACGGACGGCTGAATCCCAGGTTCAAACTCGCATGACATTTCAGTGGTGACTGCTCGGCGCTCCAACGCAGGATTCGCCTCCGGAGCCACCCGGCCTGTACATTTTTCTTGATTTTCTCGAGATTCTTTCCCACATGGGCACAAGTTTTGGCCAAACATCCCAAGTGTGATCCTCTACAAAGGGCACAAATTCACACCACGGCATGCTGAACAACAGACCCATTGAAATGATCTCGCAGTTGTGTCATCTTCCTGACACCACATAATGTCACTCTGAATCATTGTGAGCTCTCCAAACACATTCCTTTATCTCGTCATTAAGTCAACAACGCAGAAAAAGTCAAGCCAAAGAATAACTTTGCTCAATTGGACACTGGGGGCAGCACTGACCTCCGTCGGTAGCCCTCAGCAAAAGGTTAAAACTCCACATTCCCATGGCAAGAGCCTCTTTCCTCTGGCTTGGCTCAGACATGAGCACCACAGCACAAAACCTCATAATTTAGGCACCAAGATAAAAACTTAAATTTGACGTGACACACGTAGAGGATACGGAATAACATTTCAAAAGAACATAAAAAACCCCACTATATAGCGTATGTAGGTATGTGCAGAACTTTGTCAACCCACTTCAGGATGAAGGCCTTCCCAGACCTTGGCCAGTCATTGGGGGTTGATTGACCATACTTCGCCGCGCTGGCGGGTTGGTGAAAGGGTGGGAAAGGCCACCAATGTCAGCCACAGGCGGGAATTTAAATCAGATCGCCGGCTTCAGACCGCAGAGCTCCAAACTGCGGCCACTATTCCACCCAACAATCATAATCACAATCACAATCTTTATTTAGACTGCAGAAATCCTATGAGCTATGGAAGCTCTTTTTCACATATGTCCAGTATGGGCGGGTCAGCAAGTTACAACAGCAAACAAAGGAATAAATGCAATCTCAAAACAAAGGTTTACCCCGTGTAGTCCGCACAGACTGATAGGGCAAGTGCTGCAAGCGCTGTTAACGAAAACATTTAGGTCAACGTGATGTAGAAGGTGGTATTAGGGGGGGCAAGGTACCCTTGCTTCTCCATGACTTGTGGTTTTTAAACACCAAATACTTGTTTAAGGCTGAGGCAACCTAGGGGAAAACCCCAGGAACGGTTGAGATATCATTGCGGTCCTGTGTGGAATCTATGAGAGGTGGTTGCTCCTGCTGCAGCCGAGTGTGTGGGTAGGTGGAGGCTGCTCGGGGTGGCTCAAGGGGCCCCGACCAGTACTATGCACCCGCTCTGCTCTGGGCCCCGTCGGGGGTCGGCGTGGACGCGGCGAGCGCCGGCAGGACGCCGGGAGCTCACCGCACCAGACGCGGACGGCACACCACACACACCAACCCCCCGGGGGCCGGCACGCAACAACTAAATATCGCACTTGCCGACTGGAAACCAGGACAGCAAAGGGTGTTCTGACCGGCACCATACCCAAAGCCTTGAAAATCATTTTACAGATACCCGTGAATAGAATTTTGGGGCAAGTGCCGTTGGAGGAGCACCTATGAAGTCCGACACGGCACACGAAGGGGCGGGTTTGGCCAGCAACACCACGCCCGGCCGCCTTCCTCTCCCCAGTGCCGACGTTTTTCAACCCCCCCCCCCCCCCCCCCCCCAAGTACATCACCACCGACGTTCTGATGTCAGTTTCCGGCCAGTCTACGTGCAACGCGCGATCCTATCGCGATCAAAGTCGAGTATTCCGCGGGAGCTACCGACGCGTGGGAACACGTCTGGAAAAGGTGGACGCTTACTCTGCAGGGTGACCTTGAACACCTGATACTCGTCCACCTCGCAGGTCTCCTCGTCCAGCGGCGTCGAGAAGCCCTCGAGCGCCGTCTCCTCCGTGCCGTCGTCGTCCCATTCGTCGTCGTCGTCGTCGTCGTCCTCGCAGGCCACGTCGTCACCGCTCGCCTTCTTGGTCAGCGTGTCCAGGAAGCGCTGGCCCGACTCGTCCACGTCATCCTCGTCGCTGCCCAGCTCCACTGCACGAAGACAAAGATCCGCCCACCGCCGGAGAGCCTTCAGCAGACCGTTTGGGGCAAGTGCCGTATGTGGAGCACCTACGAAGTCTGGCATGGCACGCGCAAAGGGGTCGAGCGGCCAGAAACACCACGCCAGGCCGCCTTTGTTTCCCCAAGTGCCGATGTTTTTGCACACCGCACCAAGGTACTAATTTTAAGGGCCGAGTCGACCTAGGGGAGGCCCAGGATCGGTTCAGATAATAGTCGATGGTGTTGCCCATAAACGGGAATCGAAGTCGGGTCGCTGGGTTCGTAGGGCAGCGTGCTGACTGCTACACTTCCGCACCAAGTACTCATCTAAGGCAGAGGGCAACCTCGGGGAAAACCCCAGGACTCGCTGAGATGTCACTGCTGTCCCGTGTGCAGTCAATGAGAGGTGGTTGCTGCTGCTGCTGCAGCTGAGTGTGTGGGTAGGTGGAGGCTGCTCGGGGTGGCTCAAGGGGCCCCGACCAGTACTATGCACCCGCTCTGCTCTGGGCCCCGTCGGGGGTCGGCGTGGACGCGGCGAGCGTCGGCAGGACGCCGGGAGCTCACCGCACCAGACACGGACGGCACACCGCACACACCAACCCCCAGGGGCCGGCACACAATGACAATGATCGCCCCCCCAACCCCCCCGCCCCCTGCAATACATTACTGCCGTCAGTACGGCAAAATAAAGGCCAGCACCGTGCTCAGCTACCTTTGTCTCCTCAATGTTGATGTAAACACCATTATCACTCGCCACTAATATTAGTCGGGAATCCAATTCACGTTACCGGGTTCACAGCACAGTACACCTCCACCACTCCATACAATGTAATCACGCGTCCACGTACACAATCATCGTTGGGAGCCTGTCTGAAGTGACACTGAAAATCAGTGACATCACTTGCTAATGAAGCGCCTGGCCAGGAATGAAGGCGTTGGTCACTCGGGTTTGGAGAGCAATAGTCGAACCACAACAGGGGGTTTCTCTGGCGACACGACGGCCACACTTGGAGCGGTCTAGCAAGACGCGGCCGTCTCGGCTCGCAGAGACGTAAAGAGATACAGCAGGTTGGCAGGTTTGGTGAGATCAAAGAAACAAGAGGGTGAGATGAGAGAGCTATGGACCAGAGATGTAGATTAGCGAGATGAAAGTGAGATAAACAAGAAAGAGATGACAAGAGTTGGAGACGGGAGGAACACAATAGTGGTCACATGTACAGACGTTGACAAAAAGAAAAATTAAGTTGAATAACACTGCACTACACCACACCGATGTGTGTAGTCCAGTGTTACAAAAAGAACAACAATCCACCGTACAGCCTATATAGGTTATTGGGGCAAGTGCTCTTCGTGAGTACCTATGAAGGTTATCCATGAATAAGCCGCCTTTGTCTCCCAAGCACTGTTGTTTACACACCTGTACCAGGTTGAGTGGAGCTAGGGGAGAGCCCAGGCCTGGTTCTGATATCACTTTTCAATCATGCCGAGAGTGCGATAACCACATGCAAACAGACGCACGCAAACTCTGCGCACCGTTGTCATCTTCCTCATCATTGTCGTCATCATCGTCGTCGTCGTCGCTGTCCTCATCCTCGGCACGCGAGGCGTACGCGCGCTTCAGACCCTGGAAGAGCATGAGCAGCGACGGCAGCAGCCGCGGGGCGGCCGCCATCACCATCTCTGGCCGCCGCTCCAGCTGCAGCAGCGAGCACAGCCCCAGCACGCTCAACTTGCGGTCGTGCAGCCTGGGGGAGGGAGGACGGGACGGTGGCGGAGCGCTGTCAGCATGCGTCTTCCTCGTTGTGCAAGGGAGTCAAAAGTGGGCCCCCTCCCTCCCTGTCCCCACCCCGACGTCCAATATCCTCCCCATCAGTTTAACACGTAGGCTTTCGCGACCAATGTTATTCATAATAAACGTTTTTGGGTTAGAATGCGTTATTTGTAAATGTGTCGTAGCCCTCCACCACCCGAAACGTCCAATCGGTAAAAAAGTGTCACGTTGACAAAAGACAAACAGTTCACTACTTTAGCCCACCGGTGTGTTGAAGAGTGAATCCACAACATAAAGAAAAAACGTATACGACGTTTCGCTGGTAATTACATCCAGCATCATCGGGCAATTTTCCAGAATAGTGAAGCCCTCACTTGCTGCCCCTGTTCGTAGTCCGGCGACTGGGACCCACCAGATCACGGGGCGCCACGGTGGCGAGATGTCAACTACCTTGGCTGGTTATACAGGAGGTCGTGGGGCTTGATCTCAACCCGTGAAGCGATGCATCAGGACACATCTCGCAGGCGAGCATTGTCGAGAGCGAGCTAGAGAGGCGGCACAGCGCGAACGTCTCAGCACGGGTTCCGAGTCGGACCCGGGTGGAAAAGCGACCACGTGGAAACGGGGAGCGCGTCGGGGGGGGGGAGCTGCGGTGCCACACCCCAGGAAGCAGTCGGTGTCGTTGAGCCACTGGTTGAGGAAGTGCGCCGTGACGGGCAGGCTGCTGGCCGGGAAGTGCATGTTGTCTAGGGTGCTGAGCAGCAGCGTGGGGCTGCAGTAGAGGGCAGCAATCACCACCTACACACATACACAGATAAGCCACGAGGAGGGAGGGCACACGTCAGCATCGCCTATTGAACATTCCCCGCGTCTCCTCCGGGTTCAGCCTCGTCAATTAACACAAGAGAATTTGGAGCCGCATGAACACATTTCGGGACGTTGTATCTGAACCCGTCAGATCGGGGCAGCTGGTTGTTATGGGCTGCAGGAGCTACGTGGCGGGTGGCAGAGAGAAATGCAGCAAAGAATATTTCGTTTTGTTTGGCTACATCAGGTGGTCGGCAACCTGCGGCCGCGGAGGTCGCATGCGGCTCTTTAATGACTGCTTAGTGACGTTACTTATTCAGGACCATCTCGTATTCACATGCATTGCGGCTCTTGAAATGCAGAGTTTGTTTTGACCGAATTTGAAAAGAATGGCCCTTACATCATTAGACCTCCTTTGCCAGTACCAAAATATAATAATAGGGTTTTCCCCCTTTTTTCTGGCAACAAAACTGAAACCTTTTAACGAGGATTCGTGTCTGCATTAACCACAATACCTGCAGTCAAAATGCAAACAAAAAACATACTATGATAATATATGCATTGTCCTTGAAACTGATTGGTCCACACCAAGGGACGGCTTTCTTTTGAGCCTCGACCCAATTGGTGCTCGACCAGATGACGCCAAAAGGCGTCACACAGCTCAAAGACAATGCACTATCAAAATAATGAGGGCTCGGGGTGAGCATCTACATCATTATACCTCCTTTGCATATATTATCATAGTATGTTTTTTGTTTGAATTTTGACTGCAGGTATTGTTTAATGCAGTAACATGAATCCTTGTAAAAAGGTTTAAGTTTTGTTGCCAGAGAAAAAAAGGGGAAAAACCCCTATTAAAATGGCCCTTGTTATTTTGTTTTTAGACTCCTGGGCGATGCCATAATTTTACGTCTTGATCAACTTCATTTATAAGCAGGCGATAGCCCAATGAGAACACATCACAGCAAGCACTGTGCTGTAAACGCACTCGCGAATGAGTTTGCACCGTGGAGTACTTCTCACCTGGAGGCACATGGTGCGTAGCTCGCTCGTTTTCACTTCCCGCGTCAGCCTCTCGAGTGCCGCCTCCACAAACAGAGGCATGCACTGCACCCGCACATCCAGCGCACAAAGCACGCACACGCATAAGATCAACACCCCCCCCCCACCAACAGAAGACAATACACGTTTAAGGAGGGCATACAAACGAGACAATCTAATTTCTCTTGTAAATAAGCAAGTGCTTCACAGATGGAATGTGATCAAATCACCAGGAATGCGCCCCAGCTCATTAGCTCTCGGAAGGTAAGCAAGGGCCGAGCTCAAAAAGTGCCTGGATGGGTGACCACCACGCATAACAGGTTGTTACTCCAGCATCTATGCTCCCCGCATTCGCCTAACCGCAATGACCAGCATGGTGAAGTATGGTCAAATAACCCTCAACATCTACATGGTGCGGTGAAGCCCTCATCCAGCGGTGGATTGACAAAAGTTGCCATGCACGCACGTGTAAACAGTCAGGGACTGTTTTTGCTGTTGTTTTGCTGCCTCTGCCCAAGCTTCGGAAGTGGTGTACCTATGCAATCTGAACTTACATTCCTTACATTTGCACTCCTAATGTTTTTGTGTTGTTTGCTGTTGTACCTTTCTGACCCGCCCCTACTGGAAATCTGAGAAAAAGAGCTTCGTAGCTCATAGGATTTCTCCAGGATAAATAAAGATTCTGAAGCAACAGGCCCGAGAAGAGGCGTATATGAACAACACAACAATGGCGGGCAAGGGACCGGCAGTAGCGCAGGCAGAATGAGCGCAGACTGCACACGGCAAGCGCAGCGATGTGGTAGCGAGCGCAGGTGGGTGCCGCGGTGGCGAGATGTCAACTCCCTCGGTATGGGTTCGATTGCCCTCCCCGTGGTCGCATGGATTTTTCTCCGGGTCCTCCGGTTTTTCCCCTCCACATTTTAGAAACACGCGTGTATAGTACGTGGCCCCGGTAAATTTCCACGCGATAAGTCACTTTGTTGAGCCATCGTCTGTGATAGCCAGGTCACTTCTGAAAAAGACCTGTATAGATCAGTGGGTTATTACCCGGTAAAAAAAAAAGGAAAAACGTGCGTTTTTAATAGGTGGGTGACGAAACGGAGCGAGTGTCGGGGAGGCCCACACCTGCTCGATGCCACGACCGTGGCACTGCAGGAGGATGACCTCGAGGAGCTTCGCGGCGTGGCATTCGGCGTCCTCCCCGGCGTCGCTCGTCAGGATCTGTCACAAGGCAAACGCGTAACGCAGAAACCGCGCCGGGTGGAAGGGGGGGGGTCACACGGTACAAGCGCGATAACATGCGCTAAAGCACGACGGCAAGCACTCATTAAGTACTCCTTTAAGGATGAGTCAAACTGGGGTGGGGGCGCTAAGGACCGTTGTAACTTTCTGACCCGCCTTTACTGAACATCTGTGAAAGAGCTGTGTACAGCTTATCGGATTCCTCCAGTATGAATAAGGATTCAGATTCTGATTGGTTCTGATGTCACTCAACACTGATGTTAGCCGTGGCTGGGGCTCACCCTTGAACAGAAAAGCAAAGAAAAAAGATCCCCCTCATAGACTTTAACACACTGTTGTTTTACACACCACACCAGGTGCTCATATGAGACCGAGTCGACCTCGGGGAGGACCAGGACCAGTTTAAATATTCAACCTTAGGTCACCAGGTTTGTATCGCAGTGCACTAAACCATACACTACCGCTCACCATCAATGTGATCATACACACGTAAACATGCACAAACGCACACAATCACAAATCAAATCTGCTGCACTCAACATTCAACTCATATGCTGGAACCCCCCCCCACTGCGCACCTTCTTGCACATGCTGTACATGACCTCCAAGTACTTGGGGTTGGCGAGCAGAGTGTCCGTGTCCACCGTCACATAGTTGTGCAGCACGGGCATCATCTCTGGAACACATCGCAGCCACGAGGTTTGGTGCCGGCGAATACGAGACGGTTTAAATCAAACCTGGCTGTGGTGTTTCCATCCTACCTTCCGATGTTAGTAGTTATTTTCGACTCTCTGGTTTTACATTAACAGCTTAAATGTCTTTACATTAACAGGTTAAACGTCTCACTAACACAGCCACCGTTGCTCGTTTTCCTCGATGTGGCGGTGGCTCTGCGATCTTACATTGACATGCTACTCTCTCACAATACAATGGCCACCTCCGCAGCTTCGTCGTCGTGGAGGTAGCTCTCTGATCTTACATTGACATGCAAATCTCACTTCATAATCACTCGCCCCGCCCACTTCGTTTATGACCCTTGAGCTACTCCCATTTCAAACCTTTTAAAACAGTCTGCCTCAGCAGCAGACCATGCTTTCCCACCTGATGATGGACGCTTGTGTTGCGCCCGAAATGTCGTGATTTATTTTATAACTACGTGACTTTACCGATAGAAACAAAGAGTATGATTGTACAGATTATTTTTTCATTATCTATGTAGCAGCCTCTAGTGGTTGAACAGATCCCACAACCGTATTACAGACAACATATATATATACGAATTGGAAAACGTTATTACACAAGTGATTTGATGCATATAAAGTGAGCTTAAATAATTAATGTATATCGATGGGACCTTTGTATGGGACCAAAGATAATACATATATTATCAGACCACGTTTGTGTTTCATGTTTTGTGTGGTAAAACCTATTCTTATTTGTCATCACTTTTAAACTATTACGAACCATCAATAGACACTTTGGAAACGAAGTTTCACACAAGTGTCAGCCACAACCTCTGACGCACAGCCTCGGTTGAGTAAACATACGTTACACCTCTATCGCGCCATACGTAGCCAACCGTGCTAATTGGAGCCGCAAGTATAAAGGAGAACTCAGCTGGGATTGGGTTAAGCCTTCCCCCCCTCCCTCCCTTACGACGTGCTGGGAGGTTCCGAAGAGGAAACCCCAATACCTGTGAAGCAGTCATCCCCGTCTTGTTGAAAGACTTCGAACAGCATGGGCAGCAGCTGCCACATCTGGGGCGACACCACCTGGCACGTGAGGCTGTACGCCAGCGACAGCACCTCCTCGTAGAACTCTGCGCATCGCAATCACACGCGTAACACTGCGTCACCCGGCCGTTCGTCGCCGCTCAAACCGGCACGGCTCCCCCCTTCACCTCAACCGACATACGATGGTGTTCACGCATCTGTGGGTCTGCTCAGAACAATACCGGCTGAATGCATTACCTACTATAATCGCCCAGAAATGTCTGTCCGTCCCGCGTGTGACTTCACTCCACAAGAGGCCCACACCCCCCCCTCATTAATATTCCATTAGTGGGTGGATTTTTACACTAACGCGGAGGAAGGTCGAGCTGAATTAAATCGTTTATTAGGCAAAGTCGCTTTCAAATATGACGTTTCTTTACAGAAAGTGACGGTAAAAAAATAAATCTACGCAGCACAGTGCTACATCCGTGCGTGACGTCACTGCAAAAGAGGCCCCCCGCCTCATTAGTATTCATGCCCGCGTGGAAATTTACACGAACGCACAAGAATGTCACACTCCACATGCCGCACCCCTCCCCTCATTAATAATCATGAGCGGGTGACGTCACTCCACATGCCGCACCCCTCCCCAATAACCATTTAGCGGGTGACGTCACTCCACATGGTGCAACCCCACCCCCCTCATTAATAATCATGAGCTGAACAACTTTTCTATTGAATATTTCAGATTTACTGCAATATACACTCGTCCTTGGACAGGCAAAAGGCTAGTTGCTGTATATTCACCCACCCGTAGCTCCTCTTCATCAACATCAGTCTCAATGCGTACTCGGGGGATATAGGAGAATGAATATTGGCAGATGAGCTCCGCGTGTTTTACGGTGGGCAGCAGAGGGCAGTCATTGCCGACCAGGTTGAGACCGCCACCGCGCTTGAGAAAGCATCTCATCGAAAGTGCTTGCCATTGTGCAAACCCAGTGTCTCAGTAGTGGTGCCAGCTCACTCCACAGACAAGGCATTAAAGCTCCCCGATCCACCTCACTATCAACATCATTCTGTCCAACTTAACGGAGTTGTTTCACAAGGCCTGCTGCTGCTGCAGCTGAGTGTGTGGGTAGGTGGAGGCTGCTCGGGGTGGCTCAAGGGGCCCCGACCAGTACTATGCACCCGCTCTGCTCTGGGCCCCGTCGGGGGTCGGCGTGGACGCGGCGAGCGCCGGCAGGACGCCGGGAGCTCACCGCACCAGACACGGACGGCACACCGCACACACCAACCCCCAGGGGCCGTGGAGCATTAGACTTTCATGCTATCGAGGCCAGCACAGCACACAAGGGAGTGGCGTGACGAAGACCTTTGTTGTCTTCCCAGTGCTCGTCTTCACCAGTAAGTGGCGAATATGAATATGACGTGACCATGGGTCGAACACACTTGCCCATGTTGGATGTATGGGTGTGGTGGCGCCCAGCTGTGGCCCACAGTTTCAGAGGCGAGGGTTCGTGGATTGCTTCGAGACTTATGAAGTCACAAAGCCACTTTGCTATAAGGTTAGCAAGAGATGGCAGCGCAGCAAGTGGGTTCATGCCCCTGTCTGTGCATAACAGGGGTTTGGTAGCTTGGTGAGCCGAATGCAAATGGAAAGGGAATAGCACAAGAGATGACCTTAGAATGGGATGTCAGCCCCATTGGCCAAGATTTTGAGCAGCAGATGGCCATTACTGTACTTACATGCTCCCAGTCTATGCTTCCCACCTTCACCAATGTGCACTATCCAGAAGGGAGAAGTATGGTCAAATAACCCCCACCACCTGCACGGCATGGGAAGACACTCATCCAGCGGTGAACTGAGGTAAGTGCTGTACATGTGCAGCTCTTCCGTGCATGGGTCTGCTGTCTCTACGAATGCACAGCCTTACCACTGATGTGCTGCTGCATGACTGATCCAATCACATGCAGGCAGATTCCCTCCAACTGCTGCGTGATCTGTGCGCAAAGGACCGGGGAAGAGTCGCAATACATGTATCAGCGACATGCCTGGGTGTAGGGCCAAATTATATCCGAACAGCATCAGGGACTGACTGACGGTGTGAAACGTGAAACGTGCTAATGATGCTCACTCTTTGGTTTTTTCGGTCAAGTCGTAAAAAATAAATAAAATAAATGAAAACTAAATTAAATCACGACGTTTCGGGTGCAACACAAGCGTCCTTCTTCAGGTGGGGACAACGTAGCACAAACGCTTAAGTGTGTCTTTTTAACCTACGTGACTTTACCGAAAAAACCAAAGAGTATGAATCCTTGCAGTTACGAAATCTTCAAATCTAGAATTAATGCTAATGATGGATGCATCCACAGTCTGGCTAGGCAGCTGTGGCAAAGCGCGCGGCTCGCAATCAAAAAGTTGCGAGTTCAACTCCAGGATTGGGAGCGACTCAGCCCATCATCCCCTCCAGGGATGACAAAAAAAAGCTTCCACTTTGAGTCACGGAAATTTAAGTTATTCAAGAGAGACACCACTGATCCCCACACCACAGACATGTTAACAAATGTTCACCAGCGGTACCACGAACACTAACAGCAATGAGCAGCTGTCGTTTAGCACGGAGATGTTGTCTCCTTAACAGTTAAATTATAGATTCGTCTTTTTTATTGCGACTGTCGCAATGCTTGCAGTGACATTATTTTTTATTGACGATCACTCATCCAAGTGTGAACCGGGCTCAACCAAGCTTGGCGTCGGCACTCGGCAGACACACGGCACAGCGGGAATGGCGGACGGTTAAACCGTCCGCTGCCGGCACCGCGTGCGCGCGCGTTCCGTACCTCCTTGTGGTCCTCCATCACGGTGAGGATGGTGTCGATGGTGTTGAGGATGCCCATGGCCGTGATGGCCTTCTCCTCATTGCCGTCGTCGTTGTTGTTGTTCGAGATGAGCTTGGTGAACGTCATCGCCTGGTGGGGAGCGAAGTGGAAGATAAAACGGTCAATCTCCAATCACGATTCACCACAAGGAGCACCATCATCACACAATGGCTCGCTGCAATGAAGCAGGTCCACTATCATATTTCATCACCATCAGAAAGCATCGCTAACACAGTTATCTACTATTGCCGGTATCAAAGTCCACTACTTCTTTAATCAAGGTACCCACTATCGAGTTCACCACCACCATTACCACAAGCGACTGCTGACAACTTTACTTCGATGAATCAAAAGGTTCGAGTCAAGAATTCATTATTATTTGGTCTCACGAGTGGACTCGTTTGCAGTCAGTTTTCAATGCATGGTCTCATTTGTTCCGTCTCAATATGCACCATCGATCTTGTTCGTAGTCGGCACTTTGTGTTTAGTTTATCTTGATTCTCATTTGCTTTATCTCATGTGTGCTTTGTTGTTTGTTCCGCCTTATTTTCCTGCATCTGTCATTCACAATTGTTTGTGCATTCCGACAATTAACCAAAGCAATAGCATCAAATTAGAATAACTATATATAGAAAAAATATATATTTTACTGGACGCACCGCGAGTGCAAGAGTCATTACATGCCCACATCCAACGTTTTCCTCCTGTCAACGTGTCCCCCACCGCAGCAAGCCGCACCGTCAGCTCTACGAGCATCACGGTTCACTGGCTGCGTTCTCACCAGGTGTTGCGTCATCTCCACGGCGATGGGCGTCACCTCCTCGCTGTACTCGCAGATCATCTTTTGCACCACGTTGGTCAGGTCGTCGTTCTCTGTCTCGCGAATGATGTACAGCAGGGCCTGCATCACCGGCCCGATGAACGCCTTCAAGTAGTCCTTGGCTACACGGGGGATGCATAGACGACGGGCCAGACACGTGCGGGCGAGGTCACGGGACTAGGGTTAGAACACACGCAGACACAATAGGAGACCACAAGGTTCCCAGGTGTAGCCTATGCTCACAGCAGTTGGGCCAATGGCTGTTAGTTAATACTTATGAAGGCCAGCATGGCACACGAGGTGGGTGGCCAATACCATGCCTGTCCACCTTTGTCTCCCAGTGCTTATGTTTTTACACATCGCACCAGGTACCCATTTGAGGCCGAGTCGACCGTGGAGAGGTCCAGGTCTGGTTAAAATAATCGTCACCGGTGTTGGCCGCGAAAGTGAATCAAACTCGGGTCACCGGGTTCGTAGCGCAATGCGGTAACCACTACCCTACCACTCCCCAAATATAAAGACAGGCATGTGCCTGTACACACTACAGACACAAGCACATGTGCAAACACAGGCATAGAATTACACATACATCTGTTAACATAATCACGTGCAGGTCTGGCCATTTTCGTAACACTAATCCCAAGGTTCAGTGGGACAAGGATCTGTTTGGCATGATGCCAAGCAGAGTCTGGGCGCGTGCTGCACAGAAGGGGGAGGGAGAAGAGGGGGCAGAACCAGATCTCACCTTTGTCCTGGCTGCAGACGAGCACCTGCAGGGCGATGGCGGCCTCCACCTTGACGGGCAGCTCGTTGTCCTCGATGAGGCACTTGCGCGTGAGCTCCAGGGCATTGCGCAGATTCAGCTCGCTGGTGAAGCGCACGTCGCTGAACGAGTGCAGCACCCAGCACGCCTGCGCCGCCAAACACGCGCACACACGCGCGTGTACATTCCTTGAACTTCTTTGGCGCCGTTTGCAGCCAACCGTGCTAATCGGAGGTGCGAGGGAAGGAGAATAAAACACAAAAAGCAGTGCCAACGCCGCACAGTTCCGCTTCAACGGCAGGGCACGCATTTTATTCACGTTGCACGGCAGCCTGTACCAACACCTGTAATGCATGGTGGCTGCCAAATTCTAATAATGCCCAGAGTTCAGCTCTCTTCTGCTCAGCTTCCGAGATCCGAGTTTGTACTTTTAAGGATTTAAACAGAATGTTAAATACATTTGCAGCATAAAAGAGTGACCTCCGCACGGAGACTGATGGGGTAGACAAATAACCATTCCTCACCCGCCCATGATTCAATCATCACGACTCGGGATCTAAATTAGATTTATGAATCAATTCCCTTTTCTCTATTTTGTTTGTCCAGTTTGTCTCTCGTTCAATCTATCACAAATAGAAATAGCATTTCATTTCCATAATTTGTAAGTGGTTTATATTTATGCAACTACCTCGATGCATGTATCATCGTGAGCGCAGGATATTGTGCCTCATCAAAATATAAATTATCAACCGCCTACTGGTGGTGACATTGCAAGACGCCACTGCCGTTGGTGCAATAACACTAACAAGAGAACACGCCCGATTCACAACACGCAATAACACTAGCAAGAGAACAAGCCCGATTCACAACACGCAATAGCACTAACAAGAGAACAAGCCCGATTCACAACACGCAATAGCACTAACAAGAGAACAAGCCCGATTCACAACACGCAATAGCACTAACAAGAGAACAAGCCCGATTCACAACACGCATAGAATTAATGCAGCGAGTTGCTAACCAAAGCCAGAGGTGAGGGACTGGTTGCTACCAGTCGCGGATGGAGGACTGGGAGAGCACTGAATACTTGCAGATGATGTCGCCGGGTCCTGGCCCGGGCAACCAAGCGTAGGCGGTGAAGACATCGAATCGCTGTGGTCGGGTGCGAGAACTCACCCTAGCCCTCATGTATCCCAGCTCGCAGCTGAACAGCGGGAAGACAAAACTCTGCAGCATCATCTCCAGCTGCCCCTTGTACTGCTTCTTCTGTAGGCGGCACACACGTCCACACGCGCTTACACACACGTACACTCTCGCCAACGTCAGCACCACCACGCCCCCGACCGCCTTGGCCTCTCCAATGCTGATGTTAACACCACATCAGGCAAACAATTCAGGATTAAATGATCCACGCAAAGCGCAGGTCACACGTGCAGTTGCATGACGCAAGGACATTAGGAAGCCTCTGGAGCTATGCATTTTTAAGTTGTATAGATTTAAAAGTTAATTTCTTTAGACCTGATTTTCATGTTTAGTTTGTCGTCCTTCCCCCGCACGGTTGGCTACGTACAGTGCGAAAGAAGTTCAACATACGAACCAGATCTCTCCACAAAGTGACCACGGCCGAATTTCCAGTCATCGTCGTCTAAATTAACCAATCACAACCAGTTGAGCGTATTAACTAACCATGTTAAAACAGGGCCTCACAGGAAAGAGCCACACAGTTCCGTTGATGACAGACGGCAACCAAACCCGACGCGGCCTTAGCCAGAGGCTCAGAAAGCCACATGGCGTTAGAGCGTCACATGGTACGCACACACCCACCTTGAGCAGGACCTCGGCGAGTGAGCCAATGATGTGCAGCGCACCGTCCTTCCTGCGCGGGTCACTCGCGGGGTTCGTCAGGAGCTGGTGGCAGAAGCCCATGGTCTTCTCGAGCACCTGGGAACGAGGGGACAGCAGCAGCCCAACGTTCAACCCGACGCCACCTCAGGACTTGGGCTGCTTAACTCTCTCCCATTACGATGAGGCACGTGGATGTCATCAGTTTTTTTTCTTCCGGTTCTGTTCCAATGACGTACACGTCAAATAAAATAACTTTATTGGTACTGAGGCTCCCACACAGCCATGAAGGGAGGGCGTGTGGCACAGAGAGTCCGGGGTCGTGTCGCTACAGTTCTCCGCGGTGAGTACTGTCTTTCAAAACATTGGCACTACGCCTAAATTAAATTAAACAAACGCCTGGGCAGGCTGCAGAGCAGGACGATTTCAACGAGACAAGAAACACGCTGTAGCTTTGTTTGCAATGCTCACCCCCTTCCGCTTGCTAGCGGCAGAGTACAGCAGAGTCTGTGCCGCGGTGGTCGGAGAAATGAAATCCTCAAAGACGTCTGGTGAGAACACAGCAGAGACGCCGCATGTCAATGTACATCGACAGATGTCCACATCGGCATCACGGGATGCACAGCAATCGGCATGACAGTGGTAGTATGTTAAGGAAGAACATGCAGGGACTACTATACACGGAGGCATAAAGGTTGAGATGCTAGGAATCCGTGGACTCCATCAACAATGCACACCGGTTTCATAGTTGAGAAATTTTCAACGGATAATGGCTTTTGAACAGAAACACCATGCCATCTGTAAACTCCAGATACAGAACCTACGTCTCATTATGGTGACTCAAAATTCGGACAGCACAAATTTCGCCGATTCCTAACAAGCTTGCACATATTCTTAGTTTTTTCGGTAAAGTCACTAAAAAAAAACTAAGAATATGAATTACTGCAGTCACGAAAGCTTTAAATCAAAGCTTGCACATGTGCTGAGAACACATTTAAGACATTATTATCTCCATATAACAACCACTGCCGACTCCAAGAGAGTGCTGCTCAATACAGATCAACGCCACATGAACGATGAGACCATGTCAACCCCTTACGTGCATTTACGCCCGTGCCCTTTCAACCGAGTTAAGGCTGCCTAACGGTGTCGGTCAGCACCACCATACCCCCACCTTGGGGAAATCAATAACAGCAGCGCACGGTCAAGAGTTGGGGCTCACCAAACTTCAAGCGGATGTACTCGTAAGGATCGTCATTCCAAAGCTCGTCGTCTTCGTCCGTGTAGCACATGAGCGGAAAGATCACCTCTTGCACCACCGTCTGCATGCACAGAGAAAACACAAGAATCCGTTCCATCAATCAGCTCAAAAGGAGCCGAACAAGTGGGGTTTGGCTGGGCGTAGTGGTGCACACTTGTTAACAAGCGCTGCGGAGTGTCACTTCACAGCCCAGAGACCTCATAGATCCATCTGCTGTGAGAACTACTGTGTGTTATTTCCTTATATTAGTGCATCTTCTCCAGTTTCCTCCCACACACAAAACGTTCCGTAATAGAGGAATTGTCCAAACATCCCAATGCTGAGACCCAGCGAACCCCTTACCGGGAAAATCACGCATGCTACTGTCTTATGAAACACACATGGTCTTGCCCAGGGGTTGGAAACCTGCAGCTCCGGATCCACATGAGGCTTTTTGGCTTCCCCCTTGCGGCTCTTTGGCAGCCACATTGCGGGCAAGCCACTTTAAAAAAAAAACATAATTTAACGTGAAAATACTTGATTAAATATTGCAGGGAATGGGTCACTATGGAACGTCTTGGTGACAACAAAATGTAGTCAAACTGCATTGTTAAAAAATAACGAGTGGAGATAAAACTAAACAGACGCAGTTTATTCCATCACTTATTTTGTATATTTAAGTCAGAATGTATTTATTGTCTACTGTATATCTGCTGTGTCTGTGTACAAGTAGCTCTGCGTGTGATGCTGCTCTTGAACAATTTTGGTAAAAGACAAAAACTAAAAAAATTCCTTATTCGAAAGGTTGCCGACCCCTGCTCTAGCCCTATCGGCAGAGACGGTCTTGTGTAGAAGCGAAGGCGGTGGGAAAATGGAAGAATCAGAATCTTTCTTTAGACTGGACCAAGAGACCTGCATGTGGGCCTTGAGCGTTCTCCACGTGAGGGCGTGGGCCACGGCCTGCTTGAGGAAGTTGAGCGTCTGCTGCAGCACGCGCGGCGGCACGTACCGCTTCTGCACGTACTGCTCCAGTACCTTGAGCAGAACCTGCACGCGAACGCACACAAAGAGACGCAACAGATTCCCCGTATAACCACACTGTTCGGGGAAAGTGAGAGTCGCGAGCACCTCTTGAGGCAGGCATGAGGCACGAGTGGAGGGGACGGGTGGGGGGGGGAGTGTCACCAGCAGCACGCACAGCTGCCTCCGTCTCTTCAGTGCTAACGTTGACATACCACAACCAGGTACTCATTTAAAAAGATGTGTCCCTAAGTGTGGATAAAAAAAAGTCTATTGAAGTGACCACACCAGGTACTCGTATCAGGCCGAGTCAAACTAGGGGAAACCCCGGGACCAGTTGAGATATCACTGCTGTCCCCATGTGGAGTCTATGAGAGGTGGTTGCTGCTGCTGCTGCAGCTGAGTGTGTGGGTAGGTGGAGGCTGCTCGGGGTGGTTCAAGGGGCCCCGACCAGTACTATGCACCCGCTCTGCTCTGGGCCCCGTCGGGGGTCGGCGTGGACGCGGCGAGCGTCGGCAGGACGCCGGGAGCTCACCGCACCAGACGCGGACGGCACACCGCACACACCAACCCCCAGGGCCCGGCACACAACGACAAAATATTACCCAAACTTGATTTGAAGCTTTCGTGACTGCAGGGATTACTCTTTGGTTCTTTCGGTAAAGTCACGTAGAAAGAAAAGAAAATAAATAATAGAGTACGACGTTTAGAATGCAACACTAGCAGCCGTCATCAGGTAGAACTAAATTTGAGAGAGACAAAACACAGACACATGGAGACACACAGACAGACACACAAGCAGAGAGAGACACATAGACACACATAAACACACAGAGAGAGACACACAAAGAGAGACACACAGAGACACACAACATAGACACACAGAGACCCAATGCATGTGTCGAGGCCTTAACTTTTTTTTCTCTCCCCTGGCCGCTTCGGGGTGGATTTCCACACCTCGCTGTGTGTCTCTGTTTGTCAAATATCACACTTAACTTATAATTTTAGCAATCTTTGGAGATCGAAATCAACCAGGTTATGCGTTAACTGTGTGTTAGCCGACTCCCTGTGTTGCATTGCATCACATTTAAAAAAAAATTGCTAAATTTTGTTTACTCAAACTGCCTATTTCTCTCTCTAAAATTTACCAGGCTCTCATTGGTCCAATCGCTCTTTCTCTCCATCGGTCGCTTCGGGGTGGATTTCCACACAACTCTCTAAAATGTACCAGTCTTTGTTGGGTCTTTCATTGACATGCTAATTTCTCTGCTCCAGCAGACCCACCTCTCTCTCTGCCACCCCCCCCCCTCTCTCTCTGAGGCCTCGACACAGAGTCATTGGATCTCTGTAGTGTCTATGTTGTGCGTCTCTCTCTGTGTCTCTGTGTTGTGTCTCTCTGCTTGTGTGTCTGTCTGTGTGTCTATGTTGTGTGTCTCTCTGCTTGTGTGTCTGTCTGTGTGTCTCCGTGTCTGTGTTTTGTCTCTCGCTCAAATTTAGTTCTACCTGATGACGGTTGCTTGTGTTGCAATCGAAACGTCGTCTTCTATTATTTAATTTATTTTCATTCTACGTGACTTTACCAAAAAGAACAAAAGATTACCCCCCAACAACCATTACTCAGCACAGGTGCAAGTGCTGTTAAGCGAGCACTTGTCAAGGTAGGCACGACGCATGAGGAAATGCTGCAGCCAGCATTACGCCTGGTTGCATTTACTGCCCCAGTGATGATGTTCACGCTAGTCTAGACATTCATTTTTAGGCAGAGCCAGCCAATTTGGACGCAGACAACAGGTTCACATACCACTTGCCACCCATCTACATGGTGGAAAATCTAGCCAACGTCACTAACATTGTAATGTTGTGCTCTCAGCACTTCACCGCTGCCGTTAATACACAGAGGTACGCACGATGCACAGACGCGCACACAAACGAATCATACACACATAAATAGACACGTTTTTTTGTCTGCTGAAGAAAGCTGAAGGCTTGGATGGCCAATCATGGGACAGAGCCATGTGTTCAGGGTTAACTTACTGATATGACTGGCAGCTGCACGATCTGCACTCCTGTGCCAACCTGCTGTATTTTAGCCACTCAGCTCGTGGTTGAGAGCTTCACACATGTGCTCACACACAAAGGTTAAAGAAACATTTGGGGTCTCGCCTTAATATGTTATAGTTAATCGTTCCCCTTCCCCCTTTGCCCCTCCCCAAATAGATTTTCATGTCCCTACACGTGGTCCTCCACTTGGGTGGAGCAGTGTGTCCAATTTCCCCACAGCGCCGAATTTGGGTCGCTGTTCCCCTCCATTTGCGATCGGAGTATTGTACCGGGCTCACGTTGTGTTGCAATAAAAAAAACAGTCGTTCGGGGCATGTGCTATGAGCAGTAGCACACATACGGCTCATGACGGCAGGGCAAGTGCCACACTTCACCGCATACATAACCTTCTGACACTGCACCCCAAGCACGAAGATTTATTGGTTCATGCCCCGCCTGAGTCAAGCACCCAGAAAACATGTGCATGCAGCTCCGCGGGCGCCCACACACAAACCTGCAGGATGCCGACAGCGTATGCCTTCAGGAAGAACTCTGCAAACTCTCCGTACTCCTTGGACACTGTGCCCGGACTGCCGTACCTGCAGGCGGAGAGGCACGGGGAGTGGTGACGGGAAGGAATCGCCACAAATGGAACTATACCATTCATTTCTTAAAACCACGGAACGTGTCACATTGAATGAAATAATTTAAGACGTAGTAGGCTTGCTGGGTTCATGTTAAGAGGAGGTGAGCACTGCCTCAAAGCTCGTGTGAGCAAGAAATGACTTTTGACTTGCGATGTAGTTGCAAAAATGTTTGTACAGCAGCATTAGGCATACGATACCAACAAAATGAACTCGTACTGCAAATCATGATGACACGTTCTTTGAAATCTGCTTAACTGTACACGGTCCCATTTGCTAATTCCGTGCGGGAGTTCTACTATCCACTTTGCAGGAACTGGCTTCAATGGCGAGCACACGGACCTCTCTCAGTGACACATTCACGTGTATCAAAAACAAGAACTTCACAGCAGCAGCATTATGGCACTTATCACGTGTTTAGTCTATGAAGGTCGCAGCTGCTGCTGTGCACTGAGTGTGCACGGAGGCTGCTGGGGAGTAAACACACCCCAAGCAGGACTATGCACCCACTCCGCATCAGGCTCCACTGGTCAGTGTCAACACGGATGGTACACCGCGTACACTAACCTACAGAGGCCAGCACACAAGGATTGAGAACCCCTGTAGGTGCTAGTCCTGTTGGCAAACAAAGCTGTTACCGCCTATTAAGGCCGGTACGGCACAGCACACAAGGGCGTGGTGCAGTTGGGACCTTTGTCTTCCCAGTGTTCATGTTCACAAATAAGCAGATAAAATCTGTAATTATGTCTACATCTATATTTGACTGGAGGACCTTAGCCTCGTCAGCTCTAGCAATATCAATAAATTAAATACCATTTAAAAGCTTGTGATAGAAGCGTATATGATATACTGCTGTATATGCAGCCAACTAAGTATAGACGTTTCACGAGGGCTGCTACGACTGCTCCTGCTGCAGCTGAGTGTGTGGGTAGGTGGAGGCTGCTCGGGGTGGCTCAAGGGGCCCCGACCAGTACTATGCATCCGCTCTGCTCTGGGCCCCGTCGGGGGTCGGCGTGGACGCGGCGAGCGCCGGCAGGACGCCGGGAGCTCACCGCACCAGACACGGACGGCACACCGCACACACCAACCCCCAGGGGCCGGCACGCAACAATAGACCCCCCCCCCGCCCCCCGTAAAGCATTGGTCCTGTTACCGGACTCCTACTCAGGACGGTATGGCACAGCACACACAAGGCGTGGTGCTGCCAGGACCTTTCTCTTCCCAGTGGTCGTGTTCACCGAATAAGCGCCTAATCTGTATGATTATTTGCATCTCTTGTTTGTCTGGAGAATGGAGAACTTCTCCGAGACAACTCTGCTAAATGTAATGAGCGAGCATTCTTTTGAAAGCCTGAAATATGCAGTTTATCAGAGTTAAAGGTAACATTAACAAAATAAACCGCTAAATTAATGTGGCTTATTATCAGACCATATAAAAGCACCATTCACGATCTACTGAACCAACTGTCTCCCACACACGCGCACTACTGCTAAGTAAACCACTACAAAGCATGTGTTGGTTTTGTTCTGATCACTTGAGGTTCGTGACCACACGACATTAAGAATAAAAGTCGGCAATGCTTTTGCGTACCCAGGACTGGGAAACACTGCAGTAGAAAGGATTTTTTGCTGTAACGCTGCATAGTACGCGTGCGCCTGCATTGTTCACTTATTATTGGCAGGAACGCGACGTGAGCGTGGGCTGAACGTAAACTTTGATGTTGGCTGCATGGACGCAGTGGCGGCGGTGGCACTGTTTTGCCGCGGTGGCAAAAGGTCGGCGAATCGCTAAAAAAAAAGAGACTTATCAAAAACTCCCAAACCAAACCCCACTGTGTTGACAGGGCCAGGAGATGACGGTAAAACAAGTGGAGCTCATCGACCTGTCTGTGCGGACCGGTGGTAACTTAGCATAGCTGATGGCAAGCAGAGAAGCAGAAGCAGCAAAAGAGAGAGGCATTTCAGATGAGATGTCAGTACGAGGCTGCGCCCGTACCTTTCAAAGAGTCGGGCAAGGATGTGCATGGCCCACTTTTTACACTTCCAGCAGGCGAGCTCTGGCCGCTCATCCTCGTCGATGTTATGCGCCTCCTGGAGAGGCACGCACACGCTGACAATAACCCGACGACACTTTCTGCAGAGTATGAGCAACCGTCAAGAATAAGAATGCAATGTAATTGAAAGGTGTACCATTTGTACCAATAGAAATGAGGACACTGCCCTAATAATAACAAATAGGTTTTATGGCATCTGCCAAGTGTCCCACGATGGCACAAAAGGCACAAAATGTGAGGGTAAATATAATTGTGTCAAGGACAGTTCTGAATTCTTAATCAACAGATAACTTGCAGAGTGAACCACTCACAGATTAATAGCACAGGCCACCTGCTCTGCAAGACTGGCTGTTGAAGGATTGCAAGACTTTGGTAGTCATCTCTGACTCAATGAATAAAGGACAAATACAATATTTAAACATCGAGAGAGAAAGCTTAACATATGGATTAGAGGACATTCAAGCTTTTGAGAAAAGGAATTGGGCTTGGGCAGGACACGTTGCTTGAAGGGGTGATGATGACTGGTGGTCGAGAACAACGATAGTGTCAAAAAAGGGATGGAACACACACCGACCGAGAGAGATGGAGTGATGAAATAAACTCGTGTGCATGTGCTAGTTGCATTATTACATCATAGGATTGTGAGATGGCAATAGCTTGGGAAGGCCTTCATCCAGCAGCGGAACGAACAAGGCCGATGCTAAAATACAAACAAATCTAGCAACTTAGTCCAGCTCACCGGGGGAACATCACGGTCCACGACCGCTCGGAAGATCTCCATCCACTGCGTGAGCGTGTGTTGGTTGACCAGCTCCAGAGGAAGGGAGTACTGGTGGGGAAAATGCAACAATTGGATTTTAATAAAGCTCTGCATCTATCTGTTAATAGTAGGATACACACACACACATTGTAACACGTGCAACAGGGACAGTGATAATGTTGAGTTGTTAAAATAATTTCACTGGACTAATGACAGCTATTTATAAAAAAAAAAAACAATCTTCATGTGCTTATCGTATAGACGTACTCATAACTGATAGCTGGGTTGGACTTGCCATAGACTCTAGAGCATCACACTATACGGGCGGCGGAGTAAATTGGTTCGTATAGTTGTTTAGCACGAGACTTAAAGTGATTAACTACTCTAGACTGACCTTGCCCTATGAGTTAGACTGATTAAAAGTTCAGGGCCATACATTTTCGTGGAAGGTAAATAACAAGCAAAGTTATGCTTAAGTAACTTCTCATTTTCAGATTTATGCATTATATACGGTTCTAAAATGCGTGTACAGTTTACTTATTCAGGTTCCCTTGCCTAATAAAGTATCAAGTTTATTTTGAGTCACCAGGTAAGAACTCAGAGACAAAGATTGTCTCTCCTTCGCAAGAGTGACCTGGCGCACGAGACTGCCAGTAGGAGGCAATGCTTGCCATGCATAATCCCAAATGAGTATTTTCTGGGTAACTTTATAACCTGGAAAATTAGCATCCTGACACTCGCACCCAACGGCCTACTATTGCTTGCAAATAATGTTAAGAGGATCTTTACCGTCCACTATGAAGCAGACGGCACGTAGTAGTCGCATTGCGATTATTACACCCCACCGATTCGAACCGTGAACCTCTGCAACAAGCAGCAAATACACTACCGTTGGGCTATGATACAACGCCAAGCCAAAGGGGGAAGGCAATGGGGCTTGGGTGGGCATCCTATTCCTCTATTTTATTCTGCACAGGCAATGACCATCGCCGAGTTTAATTGCTTGGTAGTGCGCCAACATGTTGCATAACAGAAGCAACAAAGATCCAGTGTTTAAACATGGGATGTTGCGCAACACGTGAAGAATGCAATCGAAAAGTCGTTTCATTTCGGCCTGACGTATGGCCGGGTGACACTTTGACACATCAGTGTGGGAATTTCACTTACCGAACTAACCCACTCATGACGAGAAACACGTCCAGTTTAACAAAAATGGGCGTGCCTGTTCACCAACAAAGCACATGACTCTTAAAGCACGGCAGAAATTTATAGCAAGATATTATAACTGCAGTATTTCATAGTTGTTTTAAATCATCCTGGGTGTGACAAGTCCACTGTTGTAAGTCGCAAGTCACAAATCCCGAATCTTCATGGTTGCAGGATACTATGCCCAATTCCAATTAGTCGATCACCCTTCATACACTTACCAGGCATGCCTTCCAGTACCTTGCACGTGTTTGCCAAGTTGTATAAAAAAAATGTACTTGCAAGGAAATCATTGTCCTGCTTATAATAAAGCAAAGTGAACTGTAAACCAATTATGTGAGAATCAAAACATAGTGTTTCCATGGGCAGAGATTAATGCCCTGGAACATGGAAAAAACCCAAGCGCACTGCACGCCAAGGTAGATAACCTAAACACATTTCTCATTCAAGCTCACTCATTGTATTTTCCCATTCATCTAAAAAAACCAGGGTTCTTCCAAGCATATTGTCTGGTGGGCCACAATAATATTAGGACTTTCGTGGGCCACGTGACAAACTGTCATACCATCCATACGTGCCCCCTAATCCGTGCTTCTTGCACCCCATTTCACGCAGCTGTCTCTTGTTTACCTCTTACATTTCATGAACCTTTATCTCTTGCCTGAACCTCCCATTTGTCTTTCATCTCACTCGTGTATCTCTTGACACCGGGTCTCTGACAAGACTACTTATCTCCATTTGATCTCCTCCAATCTTAATTTCCTTGCGGCTCGGCAAAAAGTAACTGTCGGCGGGCCAACTCCAACAGCCTTCAACTGGCCAGAGACGTAGCTCACAGTGTCGCCAACTGCAGAAGCCCGTCCATCATACAATGCCGAGGACACGCACCTGCACGAGCGCATAGAAGATCTTCAGGATCTGCTTCTGGATGAGCAGGGACTGCTCTGACGAGTCGGCCAGCAGCTGCACAAAGCGCTGCTGTAGCACGGGCATGAAGAGCTGCATGGAAGCAAGCATTGGCATTCGCTCCTGCGTCTTCTTGTACCTGCCAGAGCAGCGGGAGAGCGCGAGGGGGACCCAATTAGAGAAGGCATCTTATGACCCCTCCACGCCATCGTCCTGGCGAGCAGCAGCAGCTCGAGGGAAGGGGTAAAAACCATTCCCTGCGTTTAAGCACTAAGCGGATAGTAGGTAGCCATATGACCAGGTACTGCAGGCAGTGCCGCGCGTGCAGCCGAGTGCGAGCTGAAGGAACTGCTTTCTTTATAACTGCTTTGTAATAACAGGGTTTTTCCCTTTTTTTTTCTGGCAACAAAACTGAAACCTTTTTACGAGGATTCATGTCTGCATTAAGCACAATACCTGCAGTAAAAATGCAAACAAAAACATACTATGATAATATATTCATTGTTCTGCATATATTATCATAGTATGTTTTTTGTTTGCATTTTGACTGCAGGTATTGTGGTTAATGCAGACATGAATCCTTGTAAAAAAGATTTCAGTTTTCCTGCCAGAAAAAAGGGAAAAACCCTATTATTACATTTTGGTACTGACAAAGGAGGTCTAATGATGTAAAGCTCACCCCGAGCAATCATTACTTTGATAGTGCATTGTTTTTGACCTGTACGCCTTTTGGCATAATCTGGTCAAGCACCAATTGGGTCGAGGCTCAAAAGAAAGACGTCCCTTGGTGTGGACCAATCCGTTTCAAGGACAATGCATATATTATCATAGTATGTTTTTTGTTTGCATTTTGACTGCAGGTATTGTGGTTAATGCAGACATGAATCCTAGTAAAATGATTTCAGTTTTGTTGCCAGAAAAAAAAGGGAAAAACCCTGTTATTACATTTTGGTACTGGCAAAGGAGGTCTAATGATGTAACTGCTTTGTGTTTAATTTGTTGTCCTAACCCAGCACCTCCCATTAGCACGGTTGACTCCGTAAGGTACGAAAAGAAGCTCAACACACGTACATTTATTTCACAGCATGTGGAAATGACATCAGCGTGGGAAACGCACCGCTGCCTCGACCATCTGTGAGCGCTCGCGGCCTTCGGCAGTGTGCGTACTCACTCGTATAGCTTCACGAGCTGGTACAGACAGAGCAGGCTGCCCAGCCAGAAGCGGCTGTCATCGCCCTGCAGATAGAGGCTCATCTTGTCAATGACGCCGGGCCACCGGCTCGGGTAGTCGTTCTTGATCATGTGGTTGATGCACGTCGTGAGCTGCACCCTGCGAGACACCACGTGTACGTCACCGCGACGGTCAGCGGTGTAAAGCAGCATGGGAGAAGGCGGCGCGTGCAGCAAGCGTGAACATGAGTAGAGGCGGCACCGTATCAAAGGGGTTCATGTATCAATTGCGCACGACTGTAATGTGTTTATGTGAAACCTGAGCTCATTTCATAGCCACAATATTATACAAGTAATGCAAATAACGATGATTGGTGGCGCAGTGGTGAGCGTGCTGCGCTATGAATCCGGCGACCCGCGTTTGAATCCTAGTCACAGCTAACATCAATGGTAAGCAATGTCAAAACTGGTCCTTGCCCATCTCCACTTCATCAACATGCTCTAACCAGCATGCAGTATGGTCGAAAACCCTCATGAGTGACATGGTATGGGGGGGGAGGCATTCATCCATCGGTGGACTGACAAAGGGCTGTAAAAGCAACCGCACTTCTGGGAAAGTCAACGCTCGTTGTGCAATGGATAGCCCGGCCTCTGCCACAGAAATGCAGAATTTACATCACAGGTTTCAAATATAGATGGGCACCATCCTAAAAAAATGTGTTTAATAAAATTGCCGAAAGAAAACCTAACTTTGCAAAGTGTATCACAGCCAAGTAAAAGTGTCACTGCTCAAACAAGTACAAGGGTGGCACTCAATTGGTGACACCAAGCAAGAGGGCTGGTCCCCCCCACAGTACAACAACGACTCGTGTAATACATCACAGCGACAATCCGGCATACTCAAGACAGCACACGCCGTTGGTTCATTACCAGTGAAATGTACAGTGTACAGCTGCAAAGCAGACCGAATTATTTACCCATGGACTGACAGACTGTGACTTAGCATTATCCAATTACACCGTCAGGTTCAGAGCTCTAGTTTCAAGACCCCACATGGCTTGGTTGCATCAGCTCTGAGTGAAGTGCTCGTCGGAGGCGCTCACCGGATAATGTCGGGCGCGTGCAGGATGGCCTCCACGATGACCTCGCGGATCTTGGCGCGGTCGGCCTCGGGAAAGCAGAACGGTGCCACCTCGCCCGCCGCCACCGCCGCCGCCACATTGCGCTCCTCCCAGAACTGGCTGACGCTGTTCTTCAGGTAGATGGCGCCTGAGTGCGTCACAGACCGCAAAAAAAAAAACGCCCGCCCGATTTAGTCACACTCAAGAGGACAGTTATGTTGGCGAACTCTTAATTAGGGCTGGGAAAAAAAACAGATGACCCTAATTTTAAATTATATTTCCTTATTACCAAAGATTGGCCCAGGTTCATACCTACAATATAATAACCCTTTTCCAATGGCACATCCGAGCTGAGCCGGTGCAGGTCACTCACAGGACCGATGTTTTTCCACTGGCTGTTTTCCTCTGCCGAGCCAGAACAAACTGTCATGCGGTGTCCTAGCAAGACATCTGAATCTGGCTCAGGGCCAGCGGTGGAGCTAACAAAGCATTCACCGTGCGTGACTTCAGAAGCACGGCTCGGCTTTTGCAGTTGAAAAACAAGCTGGCACCGCACGGGGCTAGCTTAGCACGGCCCCAGCGTAACTCGGACATACAGCAGACGAGAGGTAATAAAATATTCATTTTTGGGGGTTGCATATTTCTTAAAGAGTGCGGCTCACTGCGAGGGTTACATGAGGCACTCACCTGCTTGCCGCACGGACAGATCAACGGCTTCCGACATGACGATCTGTAGCAGCATGGGAGCGAACTCGTTGATCTTACAGGCCTGTGGCGGGCACAAGAATGGCAAGGAATTAGGTTATGTTCGCAGCAGCCTTCATCCATTCCTACATTATTAATGAAGAAAAAAAGTTGTCATTTGTATTTAGTTTTTTTACTCTTGAGCAAACCTGGAAATGGGATTTATTGTGAGAATGCGCAGTGCAATTGGTTTATTCAAGAAAGGCCCATTGAGCTAAGCTCTTTTTTTTACGGTAACCCAACTTTTAATGGCAACTTGATATTGGGACTTGTACAGAGCACATTGGCATGGTAAGACAAAGAATGGACATTGAACAGGTTAAACCATTATTAACTTATCAATGCATGCAGCCACCTCGGTACATAATTTTCTACATGCCAACATGTTCACAACTTTACGTGGCAAGTACCAAAATACTGAAATAGGAAACTGTTACGTTTGTAACACTAAAATTGAAAGAACACATCTGAGTAAGCATCAACTGCGATGTGTCGTGAGACAAGGACCGTACGTCGATGTCCGTATGTCACATTTACTCGCATGACAAAGGATGCACCAAAAAATGTACACAGAAAATGCAGGACTACACACACAACAAACGCCCTCCAATGAGTGCGGTGGAATTTGATGCAGCTGTTTGAACATAAAGAGTTTATCCCATGGCTCAGCTCAAAGAATGCTTGCGATGTCTCAGCGTATGTGATAAATAATCGCAAACAAAAAAGCGCAATTATAAAATGGTGAACGCAATTAAGAAATGAGAAATTATGCATCATAAGTTAATTTACCCTAAATGAGAACGTATCCATTAGCTACCATGTCGGTTTTTTTAGTGGTTGTGCTGTACAAACCAAGAACGCATTGGGAGAGCTTTACCCATTATCCGATTCCTGATCTATTCATGGGTTAGGCCTCGTAATGACAACCCTTATGTCATGAAGACCGGCCACCATTGACAGTCAAATTCAAACTATCAAGTAAACAAGTGGCTAACATGCCAATTATTGTTACAGGTCACTGGTAAGTTGAAAAATATTTAACCAAATGTAGCAAATTATCAGAATCTTTCATTTGACTGCAGGAGGAATCCGATGAGTTATGACATGATTTTTTTACACATGTCCAGTAGGGGAAGGGTAGCAAGTTTGAATAACAATCCAAAAAAAACAATACAAACTTAGACTGTTGCATTTGAAACTACGTCAAACATCATTAGGACAAAATCCAGTCATTCATATTAGCTGTGCAACCTATATCGTTAAGGTTACCTATAATATATTACTATATTAAGAACATGCCATTAAAGCTCCACGTTGTCATGACAAGCAAACAAAACGACAGACCGTGAAAGGGCATCAATTTAGTAATTACTTGTGAGCAGGAATCAATACAATTGACATTTATAAACCACTTAAATGTGATCACATCATGGAGAAGAAGGAATTTACTTTCAAGGAGAGGGGCTAACTTAGAGAAGATGCACCTCAAGCATCTCACGTCACGCATCTACTTAGAGAAGATGCACCTCAAGCATCTCACGTCACGCATCTACTTAGAGAAGATGCACCTCAAGCATCTCACGTCACGCATCTACTTAGAGAAGATGCACCTCAAGCATCTCACGTCACGCATCTACTTAGAGAAGATGCACCTCAAGCATCTCACGTCACGCATCTACTTAGAGAAGATGCACCTCAAGCATCTCACGTCACGCATCTACGAGCATGTTGTCATACTCGAAAATAAATTAAAAATACCCAGGATGTTGCAATTTCACAGATCGCGCGAGCAACAGCACAACCCGCAGATATTTACACGTGCCTTGTCGTTCACACTTAAGAGTCTGTACAATACGTTTACAGATTGTATTTCTAAGCCGTCATCAGCTGCCATGATCTATCCCTTCCTGCACCAAGATCTCCCCAAATTGTGGCCATGCCTCGTAGCCTTTGCGATGCAACAGTCCAGAGAACTGCATACGAGCTGCTTTCGTCGCTCCATCTCTGCAGGTAACGTCTTTCCCAAAGCCCACTGGTTAATACGCCGGCGGGATGTCTTAGTGCAAGTGTTCCCCTCTAGTAAAAAGTCTTTCCGTGATGCTGCTCCACTTTTCTGGAATACCCTTGCTGCTCATCTACAGCTCAGTTCCCCCCACTTTATATCCCTATTAGGACAAAACACAAGAGCTGACTTGCACGCAACTTTAGTCTGGCACCTCTTGCTCCCACATGTTTGCAGCGAGCTTTTTCGATTTGAGTGTTTATGTAACTGCAAGACGAAAATATAGACCTTACTTGCACCGGTACCTAAATTGTCTCTTGCGCCTCTTGCTGTAACACTTGCAGCTTTTTTTATATTTCATCGTTTCGTTTATGATTGTCAAACACCTCATTTGTTAGCTGTGCAATATTCCATGAGGACCCTGTCGAGTGCTCATTCTCTGCAATATTGGTGTTTGTTTTTTTTGTTGCTGCTGTGCTCACGCACCACGACTAAGTAGGATCATCCGTGTAACAAATCAAATAAATTCGAATTCCAAATATAACTTCCCATGCAATTGGCCACTTTTAAGTTTTTCAGCTGGCAGCTAAATCACCACATTGTATGAACAGATATGCACACACAAAACCAACAGATGCAATAACACACAAAGACTGAGACACCTATAGGATTTTAAGGTTCAAGATGAATGTCTAAAATGTATAACTTGCAACAAGAGGCATGGCCAAACAAAAAGACCAACATGCTTCATGTTAATAAACAAAAAATACCAAAGCATACAATGGAGTCTCTGCAATAGACATATCCACATTGCAGCTCATCCATGAATTCTAAAAACAAAATGGGGACACAGGTTTGGGCCAAGTTGTTTAATGTATGTAGAACTATTTTTGCACCGTATATGTAGCCAACCATGCAAATCGACAACTTGGTCACCACAACGCGACTTGGGAATAAATGCAAGCCACCTACACACCTGCAAGGCAGCACTCGTGGAACCTACGCTGAACAAATTCCCCAACTTCTGCACACACATCAGCCCGCCAGGGACACATGAATATTGGCTTTAGCTCACACTAATGAGGTAAACAAGACAAACAAAGACGCATTGTGGGATAAAAACGCTGAGTGGAGTGACCACAAATTTATTAGGTGCAGCAGAACATTCACACTACACCTCCCTCCCTCAATGAAGCGCCTCATTAAAATTCTGGTGCGAGTGGAGCTTAGAGCAGCGCAATGAATTGCATTGTGGTTAATACTTCATGTGCAAGATTGTCTCTCGTAGACAGAGCACTCGGCAAATAACTGTATTGACAATCACATATCACTAAGAACCAAGGAAGACGATGTGGGTGAAAATCAGCTGGTTAACGGTTTAAACAAGATAATTTATAGAACATATTTGAGCAGCTTAAATATTCAATAAATTAAAACGGTAACACCAGAAAGCCAATATGAATATATCATCATTTAACTTTACAACTGTCTTAATCCACCGATGCAGGTTGGTCAAGGCAGGTTGCAAACATATAGGAGCATAGAAGTACAGAATAACGGATTTTCCTGCACTGCCTTTTGCTGTCCCAAACGTAATCTGCCAAGGGGCATCACCTGATATATGAACATTATGGCGGTACCCTGGGGTACCATAGTACCCCAGCTCTCGCATAATGTCCGTGATGCAGTCATTTTTAGTCTGTTGATGGGCGGCGATGCGGCAATCGACTCATCTCGACGAGCTGTTCACGATGCACCACCACGGTGCGTACGAGCGCTCAGGGTTTCAGTGCGTTTCGACATCGCGGAGTAGCACTGATTTCGGATTGATTGGTAATCCAGTCGCGGAGTTAAGTAACACCCCTGGAAAAAAAGAGTGTCCCAGAAATAAAATATTTAATTTGCCTCGGCAATTTTGTATTATTTGGTACCCCGGGATAATTTCCAAGCAGCTTTAATAATTGACAAACCCGTGACTGCTTAAAGATCGCTCCATTTCATCAATATTTTTCAAGACTGTACACGCGTTACACATGGGGAACAGGGTGAACGCAATTATGTGCTTTTAAGAGGACATTACTCTCAAATAATTACAAGTAAAATATAAGTATAAGTACGTGAGTTGTAAATGTTGTGGGTTTACGCTCCAATACACCGTTTGCTGAACTAGTAACGAATTGGCATGTGTTGTTAACGTGACAAACCTTACTAATTAATTGGCTGTGTCAGGTGGTGGCGGGTTTAACGACACATTCATATTTAAGCGATCTAACCGAAAAACTCCATTATGGATAAGTATAAGTAATTAATGCCAAAATGCTTTTTTTTTCAGATAGTCCACATTTATAATGAAATATACAGTACAGCAAAGAAGAGAACGTATTAATTCAGTCCATAATTCCTGCTGTGACATGGATAGTAAACGTGGACAATGACAAAACTGGAACAAAGTACTAATGTTGACGAGCACAGAGAGACACGTTATTTATAAGTGTCGCAACCCTCCACCACCCAACACAACAAATTAGTAAAAAATTGCGTCATGTTGACAAAAGACAAATAGTTCATTACTTTAGCCTACCGGTGTGTTGAAGAGTGGATCCACAACATTTACAATGAGTACGACGTTTCGCTGGAAATTACATCCAGCATCTTCGGGCGATTTGCCAGAATAGTGAAGCCATCCCACCTGCTTCCGGTCTTAAATAGTTCAGGATGACGTCCTCATTGTTGCACCCCATCAGGATTCAAGATCAGAGGCGGAGGTGGGGGTGTATGCAATTATGTAATAGATCAGTAATCAGCCACTTAGAATGTGACACCTGTAAGGAATTGCAATGTGTGTTGTGTATTACTTCTAGGCTACTGCGCTGGGTCTATAGCTATCACAGCGATTGAAATAATTTGAATTCTTCTCATTTTGAATTGATTCGATAACTAATCTTGGTCAGTAATAATTAGTTCTGCATAACACTACGTTATCAAAATCAATTCAATGTCCTTTGTTGGCAAGCATGCTCTGCAACTGCTGACAGCTGTGTTTGGGAGAAGTTAATGTTCCTTTGGTGTTCTTTTAGTCTTACACTAATGTTACATCCCGTCTGTCCAATATAACACTTACCGCATAAGCAATTGATCCGATATACACCTTCTGTGGATAACTTCGGGAATTAATCTTTAGCACAAGACACTAGTTTTTGAATTTTCTGTACCGTAATGTTTTGCTTTTGCAAAACACGGGCTAATTTGTCAGTAACTCCCGAGCTATGCTATTTTGTTTTGATAATCTGATCACTTTCAGCAGTATTGTTGTTCGACCTTGATTTGGCATTCAATGCTCTGTTAATTTGAGCATTATTGTAGCCATTCAGTTTCAGTGCTTCTTTAACATGTTTAACCTCTTTCCTTAAACTTTCACCGTCTGACACTGTCTTTGCCCGATGTACGAGCGTCTTGATGAGAAAGGATTTCTGTGCTGGGTGATGATGCGAATCTGCATTCAGATAGGCATCCATGTGCATTCCCTTTTGGTAGACGCTGTGTGGTGTTATTTTGCCATTTTGACCACGTCCAAGCAAAATATCCAGGAAGAGGAGTGTGTCGTTCACCTCCATTTCCATGGTGAACTGAATGGCTAGGTTTTGCGCATTGAGAGCATTTATAAATTAATTAAGTATCTTTACCATGAGGCCAGACAACCAAAGTAGCATTGCCATATCTAAACCAAAAATATGGTTTTAATGTACTTGAGGCAAGTGCACTTGTTTCAAAGTTTTCCATGCACAGATTTTCTATAGCAGGAGACAAAGGAGAGCCCATTGCTGCTCCTTCCTTTTGTTTCAAGAAGTCACCTCTCCATAAGAAATAAGTGTTATTTAGACAATGGTCAACTCGTTTTGGAATATCTTCTGGTAAACCCGTCTTTTTTTACCAGTGTATCAAGTAATTTAAGTGACTCGTTAACTGGAACCTTAGTGAACAGAGAAATTATATCAAAACTTACCAGATTACCGTGAGGGTTAATTTTAATATCTTTAATCACATTGCCAGGATGTTCTGAATTTCTTGTAAATGAAGATGTCCTTCCGATGTAGGGTTGTATTTGTTAAGTAACATATTTGCTAATTTATATATGGCGGAGCCTATTGTACTTACTATGGGTCGTAATGGGATACCGATTTCATGAATTTTTGGTAGCTCACAGAATCTTGGTGGTTTTGAGGCCAGTGGCTTAATTTGGTATTGCTCAGTGTTGGGGATTAATGAATTTGTAATGATTGCATTAGTCTTGCGTTCTAAAGTACTGGTTGGATCTCGTTTAATTTTAGTATAGGTATCTTCCTCCAGTAAATCTTTAATTTTATTATCATAATCTGATCGGGACATCACTACAGCTAAGACATTAATTTAACCCGCTTAATGCGGAGTTTCTCCAATCTTCTGGTTTTGAGAAAAGTTTGTCACGTTGACAAAAGACAAATAGTTCACTATTTTAGCCCACAATTTTTTTACTGATTGGCAATATAGGGTGGTGGAGGGTTGCGACACATTTATAAATAACGCGATCTAACCCAAAAACTTTTATTACAAATAATATTGGTCGCGAAAGCCTACATATTAAACAGAGAGACACGTGTTGGGGGTTCCACTGACATACTGGCTTCATGAAAGTGGGTTTGGGCACGACATATCTGGACGCGATGGTGATCAATCAACGAGAATAGTGATGGAATGTAAGCAAAAGGTTGGACCTCAGAGCATGCCCAACGCAACGATGCAGCAATTAAATCGGTTGACGTGCATGCGCGAGATGGATTATAGCATCATACAACCTTGAGGGATGACGTAGAAATAAAACAACTTTATTTAGCAGTGGCTTAACCATAGCTGATGAAGATGAACTCTTACAGAGGTCAGGTAATGGGGGAGGGTGTAAAAGGGTAATCTGTGTACATTTTTAGAATACTGATGGTATTTAAAGACTCCTCCGGCTCTTAACACTGGTAATATCATACATTTTTCCCTTGCTGATCAGGTTATTTCAGTGAGATAAAACAAGACTGCTTAAACAAAAGGGTATGGCAGTTTAAAGTTTTCACAACTCTCAGTAGGTCGTGGGTTGTGTACAGCAATTCTACTCTTATTGTTTGTAAAACATTAACGTAGTGTAAAGGAAACGCTGGGGCATAATAATGCCCTGTGTATTGTATTAACACTGAAACATGATAGTTTAAAGAACATTTATGGGACATGCTAGACTGTTTTTAATTATGGAGTGCTTGGATTTTATGCCTTTTAGCTGTACAGCAACTACTCCATAAGCAGCCTTCAATTCCAGTTATTCCACTCAAACTGCGAGTCTTTCATTAGAAAGACAGCAGACTGAAAAATGTAAAATTAGGAAAAAAATATATATTCTGCAGCCTGCTACTATCACCATTACCAACGCATACAAAAGTTAGTTTTTAACAATACATATACTGTACAATTTTATAAGACAGTTTTGACCGGCTGATTTTCAGAACAGACTAACTGCCTATAGGCAGATGTTTCCAAGTTACAATGCGAGTGTTGATTCGTGATGAAAGCAAAGCACACGTTTTCTATACTGCTGCCAACTTTGTTCCCCAACTCATTTGTTCGACTAGACGGTACACACATTTAACAATGTAATAGAGCACCCTGGGCTTTTAAACCCTGGCACGAAGAGTCAGCACTGTGTTTTTTGCTTTTTTTTTGCAAGGGTGTCGAATTTTATTGAAGAGTTCAAGTATCTCCCTGCCCACCAAGGCAAGATGGTGGTGGTGCCAGCCTAATGTCAGCGATGGACATTCGACGTTACTTTATTTTGTGGTGTGCAAATTACAAGTTGATAAAGCTCTCAATTACAGCAAAGTGGTCCCATCAATCAAGTCTCTTGATGGAACCACTTTTCCACTCTGCTCGGAGAAACGCGAGTCGAGTTGCCCTCTTTGTCTAAAACGTAAAACTCTTGAAAGTCTTCTTGGTTCTTTCGGTAAAGTCACGTAGAAGGGAAACAATTAAATAATAAAAAATAAAACATAAAATTCTCACGACGTTTCGACTGCAACACAAGCAATCATCGTCAGGTGTGAAAACCACAACAAGAAAACTTGAAAAAAGTGGCGGGTTTTTTTTCAAATGTTCTTGCTGTGGTTTTCACACCTGATGATGATTGCTTGTGTTGCAGTCGAAACGTCGTGAGAATTGTATTGTTTTATTATTTTATTGTTTCCCTTCTACGTGACTTTACCGAAAGGACCAAACATATGAATCCCTGCAGTCACGAAAGCTTTAAATCAAAACTCTTGAAAGTCTTCCGAAGATTGCCCGTTAAGTTGCTCTCTGCTCGCAGCACCACAGAGCCGACGGAAAGAAATGCAAACTATTAATAATGTATACGCGCGCAAATGGCAACTTTAACTAGTTTAAAAAAATACTTGATATTTGAATACGTATAAAATCTAAACCCCGAATTGTTCACTCAATATACAACGGGTTCTAAGACCCTGGGCCACTTGGTTAGAATGGTTGAGCATTAATTAGCGGGAAGTATGGGCGTCAGGAAGACACTTACATCGAGCAGCGCTTATATTAAGTATGGATAAATGCTATTGCGAATAACTAAAAAAGTATTATCATGGCCTCATAGCATTGTTATATAATCACGACCGATATACTCTTTAAAGCAATTGATTTAACACGAAATACCACGAATCCCGTCGTTGTAATGTACCCCGCGCGGCCACATGTTAAGCGGGCTCTCCTCCTTCCCAGCGAATGCACGGCGTCAATTACCCCACGCTACATGAAACCACTGCCCATACAATAAGCCATCCCACGCCTCTATCACTAATCGGACGCACATTACACGGCGAAATGTTTCACCGGGAGACGCAAAATAAACCACGAAACCCCGGGCAACATACACCACGTTTATAGGGCCTAACCGGCAGAGTAGACACGCTGCTCGCCTAGCGCCTCTGCCCAATCGAGGCGAGCCACCACGGGTAGCCTCGCCATGCGAGTAGGGGGGGGGGTCGGTCGGTGTCCGGTGAAGCGGTTATCGGCGACTGCGGAATCCCGCGGCCGGTCGAGCGAAAAGCAACCTGCCGTTATAGTTTGTCAAGGTGTGGAATAGATAGGGGGGGGGGACTTAAAGGCGAAAAAAACCCTTACATTGTCGAGCTCAGCCTCGGCCGCCGCGCGCTGGTTCGAGTCGATGGTGCCGCTCAAGGCCGCTACGATCTTCGCGGCCTCCATCACGGACGCGGCGGGGTCCCCGACTGCGCATGCGCGAAGATTCCGTTTCTTGGGTTTTTCCGCGCCCCCCACGTGTTTCGCCGGCCGGTCAGGCGGGCGTGCGGAGCACGTGGGTTGGGGCACTTCCGGTCGTCTCTTGCCGCACGTGGCCCGGGTGGTTATTCCCCCCCCCACCACCATTGAGAACATTGAGAATTATCTTCTTTGGTTCTTTCGGTAAAGTCACGTAGAATGAGACTAAAATAATAAATTGATAAAATAAAATAACACAATAATATTCTCACGACGTTTCGGCCACAACACAAGCGGCCTTCATCAGATGAAGGGGACGAGACTGTCTGGAGGACAGCGCTGTCCTAAAATAAAATAACACAATAATATTCTCACGACGTCTCGTCCCCTTCACCTGATGAAGGCCGCTTGTGTTGTGGCCGAAACGTCGTGAGAATATTATTTGTGTTATTTTATTTTATCAATTTATTATTTTATTCTCATTCTACGTGACTTTACCGAAAGAACCAAAGAAGATGAATCCTTGCAGTCGCGAAAGCTTTAAATCGAAATTGAGAATTATATTGAGGGGGGCTGGCCGACGTGGAGTGACGTCACGCGCGGGACACACATTCATGGCTCATTATAGTAGTAAATGTAATTTGATTAACATATATATTTTAAAGTGATTTGTTTACATTTTCTAAACTTTGCACTCCTACCGTGTTTTTTTATATTGTTGTTTTGCTCTAACTGTATAAAAGTCAATCTTGATTTGAAGCTTCCATGACTGCAGGAATCCATAGTCTTTGGTTATTTCGGTAAAGTCACGTAGATAAAAAAAAATGAATGTATAAAAGTCACGTGTAAAAAGAGCATTGGCTAAATAAATTGTTATAACGTTCTGAACTGCCCCCACTAGACATCTGTTCAAAATAGGCTTCATAGCTTATCGGATTCCTCCAGTGTAAATGAGTATTCTGATACTGATTGCTTTTTGAAGGGTCATTGACCGAAAGGTCCACCGATTATGTATTTGATTTTCCTTTCAAGGCAGAGAAATTAGTTTAAGGTTTTTATTTGCTTGTGCACGCCTTGCTCAATGCACTCCCACTAAATATTGTAGTGCAATGAGAGAGTACTGTAGTGTATAGGCAAATTGCACAATGGTTTGTATTAAAAGTCTATTTTATTATTGGTGATCTTGTAGTTCATTGGTTTCCGAAATTGTGCCTCTGACCAAGTCGCATGGAGTGCGCCCGATATCGGAAGCCAAACATGGTAAAGCCTGGATAGTGATCAATAACCGCGACATGAACGCCCAGTTGGAAACCGAAGGAAGGGATTCCTTTACATTACTGTTGGAACGGAGTGGCTAGTGCTTTGGTTCTGGCGTCATTGCATTATGGCGTGTTACAGGATTATTCTTATGGGATTAAAAGCGTTTGAGTGCTCGATGATTTTTATCGGATTCGAAGTGCTTTCATTGCGAATGTCAAACGAATATAAAAACGTCCAACCAACTTTCATTTGACCATTAGGACGTGACTTTAATTGGTAACCCTGTAAAAAAAACGAGCCTTACCCTAAATACTTAGGCATAGCATTAGCCAGAAGCATCACGTTGAAAAAGCAGATTGGAAAGGTGTGCAAAAAAACACAAAAAAGAGGATTCTGATTCGATAACTGACCGCAACAACATTGGCAGCCGCCGGCTGAACTGTACGTGTGGTCCAGTGTCGAGATGTTAATTACCTCGCCTGGTATGCAAAGAGGTCGTGGGCTCGATCCCGACCCTGACACCTGTATATTTTAAGTTTGCGTGTTCTCCCCGTGGTCCCGTGGATTTTTTTACAGCTCCTCCGGTTTTTCACCCCACCTTTAGAAACATGCGTTAAGAGTATTTGGCTGCGATACATTTCCACATGACAAGCTACTTCATTAAGCTATCATTTATGGTCATGTCACTTCCTAAAAAGAGCGATAGAACTCAGTGGGCCTTACCTGGTAAATAAATAAAAAGTCTCAGTCTGGGCATCAAGCACCGACACTGAAATCGCACCACCAGATCAACAGCATCCTTCGAACAATAACGGGCACACTGCCTTGCGTTCCCACCGAATGGCTACCCCGTTCTGGTCAACGTTATGCCAGTCAACTTCTCGCGGGATGCCGCGACATCAAACCAACTGGGAAAAATCCGAAGAAGTGTAGACCTTCCCGTTAAACCAGTGTTCTCTCATTTTCAGAGGGCCGCCACACCGCCCGCAAGGGGTCTTTTCACTCGTTGTGTATTGTCGTGGGCCACACGTCAGGGGCCGCACTAAAGGCCACCAGGGGCCACCAGGGGCCACCAGTGGCCTGCAGGCCTTGCAATGAAGACCGCTGCGTGAAACCAAGACCTGCCGGCACATTTAGAGCCACCCTCAAGGCCTTCTTCCCATGGGCTTCTCGTTGTTATGTAGCTCTCAAGTCAAGTTCGACTCCAGTCCGTGGTGTCAAACTCATTTCAATGAAAACACGCAGCAAACAAAAGGTCATGCTACCACAGCAACGAATGCATATTTATACTAAACTAATCTGTTCAATGGTATACCCACGACACAGTGACATGCGAGTAATGGGGGTTATTTGACCGTTATCACGCTGATCATTGCGGGTTGAAGGCGGAGAGTAAAGCCTTGGAAGCATAGAAGTACAATACAGCAAACCCTGCTGCATTACCCTCTACTGCCCACCACTTAGCCTCACAACAGCCTACAACATCGTCCAAGCATCTGGGCACAACCCTGCTTTGCTTCCGTAATGGGACAAGATTGGACACATTCCAGGTGATTTGATCATAGGCATTGCGTTTTATTACTATTCATAATTTTGTTCATCCAGCACGATTATTGTAGTAGTCGTACAGCTCAGGTGTGGTGGTTGCGATTTGTGGGGTCCAAGAGGTGGCAGCTGTGAGCTGCCAAGCCTCAGCAGAGACACACGCGGCCTCCGTGGCCTTTGGCTCCTACAACACACGCAGGGGAATCAAAGTAACGATATGTATGTACTTATTATGAACTTCTTTCGCACCGTACGTAGACAACTGTCCTAATCGGCGGTGCATCTAGCAGAGGAGAAGCTGGGTTATGTTTTGCATCCATTTGAGTAGCTGCTTGTAGACGAGCACCTTGAGTGAGACTTGTCATTTAGATTATACTGCACGTGGACTTAAACCATGGACCAAGATAAATGCAACTGAAGGTGTGTGAAGATATAATGCGCACGTTTCTCAATCATGAGGTCGTGAGTTCAAACCTTTCACCACCACCATTGTCATGGATATCATCATTGCTATTAACAAGCAGGCATCATCAGTCACATCATCATCAACAGTAGCAGCATCAATGTCACTGCATTGGGATGATAAAAAATTAGCACCACCTAGTGGGGTTGCACCGTTTGGTGGGTTGTCCTGTTGAGAAACGTATCTCTTGAAAAGGAATGTAGAATTTCCATCACTGGCTCAGGACCACCAACATAGATGAGCACCATTCAGTGCTCATTTGGGCATGGATTCACTCATTGTTTTTGTTTAAGCAGTATATCATCACACCGACAGCGTAAATTCCCAGCGGGTGATGAGACCTACCCAGCAAGCTGCTGAGGAACGAAGCGTAAGTTGCATTCCCAGTTACAGCGCCGGGCAGCGCGGGATTGCGCCGAGTGGTCGTCACACTAAAGGGAGGATCCCCCACGCCCCTCACCTCGATCTCCACGATGTGCCAGTCCGGCAGGCTGGGAACATGAACGAGAGTTATTCGAGATTGCGGTTTACAGAAGAAATCTCATTTGAACTCCTAGACTGCAGGCTACCGAAGTCATCCAGATTCACAATTGGTTTTTGGGTCAGATCGCTGCGTTAGTACAATGTGTGGTCTAAACCCTCCTCCACCTGACACGACCAATTAATAAAAGTTGCCGCGTGATGAACAAACGTGCCGCTTTATCACTGCTTCAGCAGCACCACCGGTGTGTTGGAGAGCAATTAATGACACTTACCAATTGAGTACGGACGTTTCATTGGTGATTACAACCGGCATCATCAGGCAGTTGCCAGAAATCTGAAAATGTTGTTCAAGTTGCGTCGAGCAGGGTTTACGACACGCATTTTACTTAAATGATCTAACCCAATAATCCAATATAAATCGTAATATTGGTCACGAAAGCCTACGTGATGAATCAAAGTCACCCGGATAGCCAGGCTTTAATGAAGGGTGTGATGATGTACACCTGTGATTCTCCACGTCTGTAGCACAGATTGGTGGATCATCCATACATCTGTGGGTTGGTGAAGGCAGGGAGCATAGATTCCAGAGCGTAGTACAGTACAACAATGTATTTGCCGCACGGCCCTCTACTGCCCACAACGTAACCTCGCAGCCACTCGTAACACCTGTTTGATGCACACGGTGGTTACCCATAAAAGCACTATCCAGGTTGCCCCTGCTCTGGGAAATCTGTACATTATATCACGTGACTTCTGTGTGGCCACTATGAATCCCTCTCCCTCTCCCACCCCTTGTGGAAAAAAACAGACGCTGCTCCGTGCAGCAGCGTCAAGACCCTCGTGTAGCCTCTTCCTCCCTCTCCTCATCTCTCCCTGACCCTTCGCACACATTTCCCATTCCTTTTCCATCCTTTTCCTCTTACTTCCACTTTCTTTCTCTTCTCCCCTTTCCCGTTCCGTTTATTTACCCGCGCATCATAATCCTCGTCCCTACTCCCTGTTCGCGCGGCGTGCCATGGTTACAACAGTCGCTAGTTCAGAATCAACGTGCGTTGGGAGTATTTGGCTGCTATACATTTCCACGTGATAAGACACTTGGTTGAGCTATCATTTGTCGCCAGGTCGCTTCTGAAAAAGAGCTGTGCAGCTCAGTGGGCCTTACCTGCTAAAATAAAAATTAGCTTAAGTATAGTTTAGTTTAAAACCGACCAAATACATGACCGGTCGCGAAAAGACGAGCTGCGCTTGAGCGGCCGCTCGCACGCTCGCACGCTCGCACGCTCGCACGCGTGCTCGCACGCACGTGCGCACGCACCTCGAATCGGCCACCAGTCGGCCGGTCACGCCGTCGAACCCCAGGTTGTGCGCGGCCATGGCGGCGGCCGCCATCGTGTTCACGTTGTTCGGGGCCAGAGGGCAGAGGTGTCGCACGGGGCCCTCGTACAAGACGCGGCGTCCAGCCCCTGCACCTTCTGCCAGCGCCTGAGCGTTCGCCTGCCGAAGGGCACCCTCGAGCTTGAAGCTCGCCGGGTGTTTGGTCATCGTGACGGTCAGGGCCTGCGTCGGCAAAGCGGGCCGAAAGGGGGAGGTGGACAATCAGGCAAAGGTTAAAACGGTAAAGGTGCGGCCCCGTGACATTTTGCTCTCACCACTGCAAGCGGAAGGGGGCCTCCACTACAGGGAGCTCAAAAAGTGAGACACCATTCCCTCGTTATTCGCATTCCTAAAGAGGGACTGGTCCCCTCCATAGGAATGTGAAGTTGCCGCCACCACCACTGTATCTAGGCTACCAACAGCGGTGGGATATATGGCACTGTGGCCTATTCTCTAGATCAGAGGTTGGCAACCCACGGTTCAGGAGCCGCATGCGGCTCTTTAAGGACTGCTTCGTGGCGATATTTATTAAGGGCCACTGTCTCGTATTCACCACACGAGTTGCGACTCTTTAAATATTTAGAGGGTTTTTTTTATAGAATTTGGAAAAAAAAACTGCTCTTGTTATTTTAGTTGCTGATCCCTGCCCTAGATCATGTGACCTAGCATACGATTGATAAATGTAGGTATGTTGTTCATGTCAGGTAATTCAAATTGCCGAGTATCAGGTGGCATACATACCGAGCGACATATTGAACGGTGGTAAGCAAACTTGCAATGAAGGCCACAAGGTGCCAAAATGCACAAACCACCTCTAACGCAGGGACACACAAATATATTTGACAATGATTACAGGCTACAACTCAATGCAAGCGCATGGCACAACAGCTCTCCACCCTGTCGCATGACACCTGATGGCGTACCAGAACTTATTTTGTTCCGAGCGGTAGGTGGCTATGCACGCTTGTAACTCAGCACTGTGGAGGCGTGGGTTGGTGGATCACACAAATGTTGTGAAACTCCATTCCCGCGGGTGTCGAGGAGCCACTCCTTGGCTCGCCAGGAGAACGCGGCAAAGCGAAATGTGGACTGCACCTGTTCTATCTGTATGGGATAGAGTGTTGCCCCCTCGCAAGTGTTTCTCCGGGTGCTCCGGTTTCCTAGCACGTGTAAAAACTCATTAACTGACCGATAACATCTTATTATCTTAATATAGAGATGACCGCAGAGCTTGGGCAACCGTTGGTAGTGCCGGCTCACCGCCTGGCTGGTGCCTTTCCCACTTTTCTGCGGCTCCTCGCGCCTCTTGGAGCCGTTCTCTCTCTCTTCGGTGGCGAGCAAGCACCGTGCGCATTACAAGCCGACGTAAAAAAATTAATGATTGTTAAATATCTTTTTTTTTTCTTAAAAAGTTCAAGCGCTGCGGACCTTGAGCGTGCCTCGGTCGGCCATTTTCTGGATGTCGTCTCCTCCCCAGAAGGCCCCAGCGGGCACGTAGAGCGTGCGGCCGTGCGTGGCACTCGCCTCGCGCAGCCGCCTCTCCGTCGCCGCGTCGGCCAGGGCCGTCGGAGAGCCCACCTGGGCCGTAGCGGGAGAGACTTTGACGTCGTTACCAGCGCCGCCTCTGGATTAGCACTGTTGGCTACGTGCGGTTGCGAAAGAAGTTCAGCGTACATACGTACATCATCAACATCATCATCCTTAGCATGGTGGGCTACGTACGGTGCGAAAAAAGTTCAACGAACAACCATACAATCACCAATAGATAAGTTTTATTTTTATATTTTAGGTGATTTGTTTAACTTTCCTACACTTTGCACTCCAATCGTGTTTTTGTATTGTTTGTTGTTGTAACGTTCTGACCTACCCCGACTGGACGTCTGTGAAAAAGAGCTCTATAGCTCATCGGATTCCTCTAGCGTAAATACAGATTCTGATTCCGATCAGCGCGGTTGGCTACGTACGGTGCGAAAGAAGTTCAACGTACGTACATTCGTGCAAGGTTTGCTTTTGAAAAGGACACCAATACCCCGGTTTACGTCGGGGGATGCGTTCCTGAAAGGTGCGACGACAAACATTGAAACGTTGTGAATCCAATCTTGATTTGAAGCTTTCGTGACTGCAGAAATCCATACTCTTTGGTTCTTTCGGTAAAGTCACATAGGTAGAAACAAAAAATAACATATCACGACGTTTCGACCGCAACACAAGTGGTCGTCCTCAGGTGACCGCTTGAACCAGCAGTTCCACTGCTGGTTCAGCAGTTCCACTGCTGATTTATATTTTTTCCGCCTGAGGACGACCGCTTCTGTTGCGATCGAAACGTGGTGATCTATTATTTTTAGTTTTATTAAATTTTGCTACCTACGTGACTTTACCGGAAGAAACAAAGAGTTGATCATTGTTTTTTTTTTACCCTTTTATCTGGCAACAAAACTGACACCTCTTTTTTACAAGGAGTCACGTTTGCATTGACCGCAATACCTGCGGTCGGAATGCAAACAAAAAAACACAACTCTGATAATGTAAGCACTGTCCTTGAAATTGATTGGTCCACACCCGAGACAGCTTTCCTTAGAGCCTCGTCTCACGTGGTGTTGGACCAGATGACGACAAAGAGTTGTGAATCCAAGCTACTTCCAGGGTGGTGATGGTGAAGGAGGCGAAGGCTGAAAGGCGACAGGACGACGAGAGAGGCCGGACGACGCTGCCAGCGACGTGAGTGTGAGTTGAGGCGACGCAAATCGGGTAGCGGTGTTAAAAATAAAGTGACGACGTGTTTGCGAAATTACATAAAAGGGGAAGACGTAAATAGGGGTATTGCTGTAATTCGTTTCTGAGTTTGTTGTTGGGGTTTATTTGTAACAGTTGCTGAGCACAAAATGAGGGTAATCATAAAATATACTTAGCTTACACTACCAGCCGAGTAACAGTAATGATATCGCACACTGAAAGAGGCGTGATAATATAGGATTACAAATACCCGTCTTTAGTAGTATGAATAATACAAGAAGAAATGTTTTTATTGAATAAAGTGTCATTCATGCTAATAGCATCCGACAACGCTGCACATTAATTATAATATATGAGGACCAAATCCCATATACAGTCACTACCAAGCAAGATTAAAACCCTTACTATCGAGCAAAAAAAAAATTGCGCCACAATAAAAAGCACGAACAACAAAACTGTATCGCCACAAGGAAATGAGTCACATCCCATAACTTAAGTGCGAATGGTTAACTCCCCAACACCGGCTTCACTGACTCCACAAGAAAAGCATTGTCGGTGCCACGCGCGCTCCTCACTTCTCCACCCCAGCTGCTGTTGCTGCTGTCTGAGGACTCCCTGCAAATGTGCGCCCATGACCCCAGCTCACCAAGTAGTCTGCGTGCTGCAGGAACATCTCCCCAAAGTCCCTGGAAATGTTTGGATGAGAAACCTCCACAATAAGATCTGCCCTCCTGTGCAAAAAGACAAAGACAAAGATCCCCCGTATAGCCTTAACAGACTGTTGGGGGCAAGTACAGTTAGCGAGCACCTGTGAAGGCCGGCGTGGCACACGATGGGGTGGGTGGTCAAGACCACGCCCGGCCGCCTTTGTCTCCCCAGTGGCGATGTTTAACACCACACCAGGTATTAATTGAGGCCGAGTTGACCTCGGGGAGGTTCAGATAATCGTCACTGGTGTTGGCCATAAGCGGGGAATCGAACTCAAGTCGCTGGGTTTGTAGCACCGTGCACTTAGCGCTACGCGCACACACACACACACAATGCCAGGGCGAGTGATATTAGCAAGCGACCCTTAAGGTCGCTACAGCAAACGATTGGGGAGAGGTCTCTGTAAACATGCCACGTTGGGCCAAAGTCGGGCCAACGTTCGCAAGCGATTGGAACCGTTTGCTCAACGTTGGCACAACATTCAATTTACCGGGAAGTGGCAGTGGGTCACGCACAGTGCTATGATATTAACCCGGTGACCTGAGTTTGAGTTCCGGCCACTGCTAACATGGACAGCGAGTGATATCTGATCCCGTCATGATCCTCCTCACTTCACCACCATGCACCCATAAGTATGGTGAAGTATGGTCAAAGGAACCCCCATGACCAACATGGGGGAAGGCTTCATTAAGCCCCTCTGATTATCACGGTTGACTACGTACGGCGCGAAAGAAGTTAAACATACTTACATTAAGTAGTGGCCTGAAAGAGCGCTGTAAACTTTATTAAATAAGGACTCAAACTGCAAGAGGTAAATGCAGACACACCGCGCCCATCGTGGACTTCAATAGGCAAGCGTATGAACGTGCTTATTCAGGAACTAATGGTCGTGGGTGACACACACCTATGTATTGGTGCGAAGCATCGCTCAAGTTCCTCAGAGATTGATTTGGAATAAAATCTCAAAAGAATGTCGTGTTCTGTTTGCTCATATCGCCTATGGAAGAATCAGCCACTAGAATCCCATGCAAATGGTTGGAAATGTTAACACGGTAATCGCCGATCGCAGAATCTCGATTCCTGTATAAATCGTCCAGGATGGAATCTAGAAATTGCGTATGATTCCTGCAGGGATCATCCAGGATTGATTTGAGGAATCACAAAAGGTCCCTGCAGGAATAATCCAGGGTGGACTTTTCAGAAGCAAAAAGGATTTCTGCAGAAAACATCCAGGACGTGATTCCTACATTACATCCTGGATGTGTTCTGCATTAATTAATTGATTCCTGCAGGAATAACCCAAGATGGAATCTAGAAATCACAAAATGTGAATACAGTAATCATCCCGGATGGAATTTAGAAAGCTTTGTAACTGGGTAAGATTCCTGCAGGAATCATCGAGGATAGAATTTCAGGAACTGCGTTGCAATTCCTCCAAGAATCGCCCAGCTCCCGTGGCAATACTGAGGGTTCACCACGTGTTGTGGAATTCATGGCCAGGGCCAACTCACCTCTGAGGGTTCACCACGTGTTGTGGAATTCATGGCCAGGGCCAACTCACCTCTGAGGGTTCACCACGTGTTGTGGAATTCATGGCCAGGGCCAACTCACCTCTGAGGGTTCACCACGTGTTGTGGAATTCATGGCCAGGGCCAACTCACCTCTGAGGGTTCACCACGTGTTGTGGAATTCATGGCCAGGGCCAACTCACCTCTCGGCAAATCGCTCCAAGTCACGCAGCTGCTGATCCGGCTCCACGTTTCCCTGCATGCGCTCAGCGCTCCGGTTCCACACGAAGGCGAGCTCCAGGCCATGTGCTCCGCCTTCCCTCTGCAGCTCCCGCACCAGATACTCCCCTGTGGATGGGTACAGTTCTTTTGCAGATCCGCTCCTGGATGGGGGCATCCCCTCGCCATGCAGGTCGTGTGGGTTACTTGAAAATGCTTCACCGCGCTGGTCAGTGCGGGTTGGTTGAAGACAAGGAACATAGATGTTGGAGCATAGTATAGTACAACAATGACTATTTACGCACTGCTCTTTGTTGACAACCTAGTCTCCCAGAAGGCTACAATGCATGTTTTGTGCATGGCAGCCACCGATCCGAGCACTATCCAGGCTCAAACCAGCTTAGCTAACGATATCTTACGAGATTTGGCGCATTCCGAGTGATTTAAACCAATTAACGAATCACCATCAGTCGATAATGATCGCTTATCGATACACGAACTGCACTTTTGTGAACGTCCACACAGAGTACAGTACAGCAATGGATATTTCTGCACTAGCCTTTGCGGACAACAGAAGTCCCGTAGAGCCGTCTCCAGCGGTGATGCCAGAAGATTCTCATGCCAGATGATTCTCATTGCAGCTAGAATGATGAGTAACTATGGCGTGGTGGGCTGATGGAATTAAATGGTCACTGCTTTGTGGGATTCATATTTGCTTCCTTACACACAAAGTGTTCGCCACAAATGAACCACAATGCATTGCTGATCTCTTCAAGGAACATAAACTATCCTCGCAGCAGCTGCTTTTGGCCGGCCATCGGACAAAGACGGGTCACCACATCGCACGCTTGGGGCCGTCTGGAACGTTCTTCCTTCCGATAATAGGAAGCTACCGGAGCGATGCACTTTTAAATCTAGATTGAACACTTATTTCTTTAAAACTGCTTTTGATGTTTAGTTTGTTGTCCTTCCCTCGCACCTCCGATTAGCACGGTTGGCTACGTACGGTGGGAAAGAAGTTCAACGTACACACATATACAAACTGCTTTGATGGCATGAGCTGGAAGTGCCCCAGCTGGACTAGAAAGGCCAACTTAGCCTTTTGCAAGTTGCCAATCACCACATTACATCTGGAGGTATCGTTTCAGAGCACTGGTGGACTATTTATCTTGTGGTGGTGGTGGTGCTGCTGCATCTGCTGCTTTGGCAGTGGCGCACATTCAGAGTTAACAAAACACAAAACTCAAAAACTATTGGCCAATAACACTGTGGCCTAAAAATGTATAAAACATTATGTGTTTGCTGTGAATGAAGGCCATTGCACAAAACGTTGCCAATTATATATTTTTTAATGTGTTGATTTTATATCCTTTGATTTTTATGTCGATTGGGTTCAGAAGGGCGGGGGAAATGAATGGCCCCTTCAGTACCTCAAGGCAAGTTAGTCAAGTAACCACTTCAATTGCAGCCAAATAATCTAAAAGCATATTTTTTTAATGTGGAGGAAAAAACCAGAGAATAATCCACGCGACCACGGGGAGAGAGACATGCAAACTCCAAATATACAGCAGGCATCAGGGTCAGGATGGAACCTACGACCTCCTGTATACCAGCCGAGGTAGTTAACATCTCGCCGCCGTGACGCTGATCAAGCTGCTGATGTGGCCCCTTGTGTTGCCTCCGAAACGTCATGATTTAATTTAGTTGTTTTCATTTATTTTATTTTACCTACGTGACTTTACCGAAAAAAACAAAGAGTATGAATCCTTGCACTCACCAAAGCTTCAAATCTAGGGTCGCTCAAATGTAGCAACCCTGCTTGGGGTGCAACCTGGACATCCGTGAAAAAAAGAGCTTCATAGCTCATCTGATTCCTCCCGTATACATAAATGTTCTGATTTTCATGTTGCCTGTACTACAGGTTGCGCGACCAAGGTGCATTGAAAATTTTGATACTCCGCCTGATGCTTCTGTTGTTGTGAAGTAACTCATGCAGCCAGCTATGGCTCTAGGATTTGGTGTTACATGTTATTTATGTAGTTTATTGTAAAAATTCGGTCACAGTCCCTATGATCACTGTTACGTTGCAATTATGGCTTTAATTTTTGGTGATTTCGAAAACGTTTTTTGGTTTGGACATGTTTGTTTTGTTGTAGTATGGAGTTAGACTGATGGCCTTAATCTAAGTTTTCTTGTGGTTGTTGTTGTTTGACTTGCATCCAACTGGGATTTTTTTTCTGGTGTACGGTGCTTTTTTCAGGAATATTTTGCTGTTTTTTTCATGGATTTTCTGTTTGCACAGTCACATAGTCACTTTAAGATATTTTTTTCTTGTCCGTGTTATTGTTTTGTTTGTTTGTTGTGGTTGCACCCATTCAAGAGCCGAATGGCTCACAGGGCTATACCAAAATAAAGAAACTGAAACTGAAATCGCCCTCAAAATCACGCAACCTAATCAGCCATCGCCTGGCAACTGCTTTGTCCACGTGCGAGCGAGTAGCTGCGCAACAGTGAAACCACACGTCGGACGTGACGATAAATCGTAGCTCGCGAGTGTACGCTGTAAAAAAAAAAATCGCTGAAGAGATTCGTGACTTGAGGTCAACCGCTCGGGTCGCAGTGAAAGTCCACGTTGTTAGAATCGACGGCCGCATTCCTGTTGCATGCGGCTCGCGTTTGGCACTGGGCACCTCGTGTGGGAGAATTGTGAAGCGCAGGACACAGCAACCCCTGGGTGTGAACTCCTCTGCGAGGGCACGCTGAGAGTGGTGGTCAAGGCAAGAGACACTTCGAGGGAAGAGCGCGGTGGGAGGTGAGAGGCGAGATGGTGGATGGGTACCTTACCAAGGTGGCCGTATCCCACGATGCCGACCCGGCGGCGGGACTTGGTTGAGGCTGAGCACATGTTGGTTTAGCGTGGGTCCTGATGGTGGATCCACACACGTGGAAGCCTCCGTCAGCGCTCGCTCTCTGTCGCGTCAGTTCTCTTACAGCCACGCAACTTCGCTACAGTTGTACGTATCCGTGTTTATGCCAGAGTATCGACGTCCTCCGATTAGCACGGTTGGCTACGTACGGCGCCAAAGAAGTTCAAGGTCTCCCCGCACATCTGCCTCTAGCCTCTGTGTCGCTTCATTCAACTCTGCTCCAGTCTCACTCTCTGCACGTGCCCCCTCTCTATGACTCTCTCTGTAAAGGCCTCTCTGCCCATTCACTCACAAGCTGCGACGTGTATTGAGACTTCCTCACGAATGTGTCTGGCCGCCAGTCAGCTCTCTGTCTCTGCTCTAATTCCAGACAAGATTAGTCGTCTGTATCTTCCTCTCACACAGTCCGCCTGTTACTTCTCACACAGCTATGTTGTCTGTAGCTGACTTTCACTAAAACAAAAACAGACTTCTCCCGTGCGTGTCTGTGTGTATCTCTCACACACCGCTCTGTCTCTATGTCTGTCTCTGTATGACTCTGTCTCTCATTCAGCCCAGACTTATTGTGGTTTGCTTCTTACACAGCTGTCTCCCCCTGTCTCGCAGCCCAGGATAGACGTTCTGGTCGTCCTCTCCCGCTCACAGCTCTTCAAGTGTCTCACTCCAGACAGACGTCTCACTGTGTGTGTCTCTCACAGATCTCTCTCCCACTCTCACTGTGTCTCTGTCTCTCTCGCGGATCTCTCTCACTGAGTGTGTCTCTGTCTCACAGATCTCTCTCCCACTCTCACTGTGTCTCTCACAGATCTCTCTCCCACTCTCACTGTGTCTCTGTCTCTCTCGCGGATCTCTCTCACTGTGTGTGTCTCTCTCTCACAGATATCTCTCCCACTCTCACTGTGTGTCTCTCACAGATCTCTCACTGTGTGTCTCTCTCTCTCACAGATCTCTTTCCCACTCTCACTGTGTCTCTCTCTCACAGATCTCTCTCCCACCCTCACTGTGGCTCTGTCTCTCTCGCAGATCTCTCTGCCACTCTCACTGTGTCTCTGTCTCTCTCACGGATCTCTCTCCCACTCTCACTGTGTCTCTGTCTCTCTCGCAGATCTCTCTCACTGTGTGTCTCTCTCTCTCACAGATCTCTCTCCCACTCTCACTGTGTCTCTGTCTCTCTCACGGATCTCTCTCCCACTGTCTCTGTCTCCCTCGCAGATCTCTCTCCCACTCTCACTGTCTCTCTCTCTTTCTCTCACAGTTCTCTCTCCCACTCTCCCTGTCTCTGTCTCCCGCGCAGATACCTCTCCCACTCTCACTGTGTCTCTGTCTCTCTCACGGATCTCTCTCCCACTCTCACTGTGTCTCTGTCTCTCTCACAGATCTCTCTCACTGTGTCTCTCTCTCTCACAGATCTCTCTCCCACTCTCAGTCTCTGTCTCTCTCGCAGATCTCTCTCCCACTCTCACTGTGTCTCTCTGTCTCTCCGGCGGCAGCTGCCCCAGGGCTGTAATTGCACAACTTGTGAACGCCCCCTGCACACACCACGAACTCTGACCTGGAACTGAAGTGCTTGCTAAGCTGTCACAGAGCAAGGCAAATGTTGGTTTGTCTGGGTCCTTGTATCGAATTCCCACCACGGTAAGGCGAGCCCTGCCAATGACATTCCAATTTTTTAATAGTCCCTTTGTCAATCCACTGCTCGATGAAGATCTCCCCAAACTGACTAACTTTTTATTCATTTTACCAAGTAAAGCCCACTGAGCTATATAGCCGTGTTGATCACGCGGGCGGAGTGGTGGGGGGGGGTGACCATACTTCACCACCGTTGCTTTTCTTATGGGTTCGTGATGTTGCGGCAATGGTGAGTAATCGTCGGGTCAGACATATCACTCGCGTGACTGACGTTAGCCGTGGAGGGAAAGTGGCGTAGCCAGGTCAACCACAGCGCAGTTGCGTTCACCACCGCCCCACCGCTGCAGGTGGAACTTTAACGCATCGGTTAAACTTTCCTTCGAATTTACTTCATTCTTGATTGGGGGTGGGGGGGCAGTTGATCAAAATACAATGTCACAAGACGTAACAACATCGCATCCATCACGCGCAGTTGCGCGACGCGTTCAAGCGACGCCCCGTTGCCGCTTCGAGGCCGATGCCTGACAAACCACCACGGCGCCTGTGCCAGGCTAGGTGCACTTTGAGGCCAGGTGAAGCGTCGAAAACCTCGCCGATAGGTCTAGGGACAGACCCAGCAGGTGCCCTGGGTTGGCTGACTGAGATGACTGGCAGATGCACACCAGCTGTGCCCCCGACTTTTTCAACTCGCTGTATTTTATCCGCCCGGCGCTCCGCTCGTTGTTGTGAGCGTCGCTCCTCTGCCCTGCGTTGTTGTTGGAGGGCGACTGCCTCCAACTGGTACCAGTCTTCGGCAAGTCCACTCAGCTCCACACCCTCCTGTAGTACCACATCAGCTCCATCTCTTCTCCAGTCCGTTCTGTGCACGTTTAGCCCCCCCCCCTCTACCCGGCCAAACAAAAGCTGCTTGGGCACGCGGTGGCTGGGCATGCGGGCTTCATGCCCCAATCAACGCAGCCTTGCCTGCCGGACGGATATGTCCCCATATATGCCACCTTTACCGACATGCATTAACCAGCGTTTTGTATAAGAGCCTGCACGACTGGCTCGCCGTGGGGAGGCTCTCATCCAACAGTGGATTTGCAAGAGGGCTCTCGGTGATCTTATGAGCAGTGTCCCATTGCTCATTTGAGCATGGAGACACTGATATGATATCACAAAATAATACAATAATATTGCGAGTGTTTATTCACACGTAAGTACGGGGGCCCACTGCGCGTTCACAAGCAACGCCTAATCCGCCAGACCACACAACGAGTGGCACTTATGTGGTTAAAATTACACGAGCAGCAGCACCTTCGGCGCGTCGTACAGAAACTTCACCGAGTGTTGCCAACAGACGGCACAAATCAAACGGGCAGGCGCATCGCAGCCAGACAACACGGGTACAAAAATTCACGGTTTGACATGAGCAACGTGGAGCTACACACCAAAACTTAACTTTCACCTGCGTCGATTATCCCGTGGCTTGATATGAACTCAGGTTTGACAAATTGAGGCCGAATGCCCAATCACGGGGGTACAGCGTGGCATCGATTAATTATCGGCTTACATGTTGCTGTGAGTCGTCCATCATGAGCTTATGGTACGAAGACAAAGATCGCAATTGCGGTTAGCCAGTAACTATTAAGGCCGGCACTGTGGCACACGATGGGATGGGTGGCCAGTAGCACGCCAAGCTGACCTAGGGGAGAGGCCCCGGGTGAGTTTAGAATTTTAGATAATCGTCACTGGTGTTGGCCGCGAACGGGAATTGAACTCAGGTTCGTAGCGGAGCGCGCTAACCACGATACGCATGCTTATGGTACCGTAACCAATTTCACGTGAAATCGTAACTGTCATACAAATGTAATGATCATCTCATTCTGGGGCTAATGGCTTAGAATGTCTCGAGTCACTCTTTACCAATACCGACTATAATCACCCAGGAATGTCTGTCCTTAACGCTCGTGACGTCACAAGCCCCCCTCATTAATATTCATGAGCAGGTGACGTCCTCCAAATGGACACCCCCCCCCCCCCCCCACATTAATAATCATGAGCGTGTGACGTCACTCAATATGCAATACTCCTCCCCCCTCACTAATAATCATGCGCAAGTGACGTCACATCCTCCACATGGACCCCCCCCTCATTAATAATCATGAACAGGTTACATCCTCCACATTGACCCCCCCCTCATTAATAATCATGAACAGATGACGTCCTCCACATTGACCCCCCCCCCCTCATTAATAATCATGAGCAGGTGACGTCCTTCAGATGGACATCCCCCCCTCCATTAATAAAAATTAGCGGCTGACGTCACTCCACATGGGGGGGCGAGGCGCCTCCTCCCCCCTCCTCAGCATCAACTCGCAACCCTCACTACAAAGGCAGAACCCTCACGTCACGTGATCTCCGTGACGCTGTTGAGACATCAAAGTAAAAAGGACGTCATGATGAACAAGGGATTATAACCTTTAAATGAAATAGGTCTGTGTCACCGCGCCCTTACAAATTGCACACGCATTAATGCAATGAATATCACGTCGCGGTCTGCTTGTCGCTTGCAAGTTTCAGATTTACTGAAATACACCCATCCCTGGACGGGCAAAAGGCTAGTTCATTGACTCTTTTTTTTACTACTAATAAAATTGTTTACTGAATGATTTGTTGGTTAATGTGTATTTATCATCTTCTTTGGTTCTTTCGGTAAAGTCACGTAGAATTATAATAAAATAATAAATTGATAAAATAAAATAACACAATAATATTCTCACGACGTTTCGGCCACAACACAAGCGGCCTTCATCAGGTGAAGGGGGCGAGACTGTCTGGTAGGACAACACTCCAGCGCTGTCCTACCAGACAGTCTCGCCCCCTTCACCTGATGAAGGCCGCTTGTGTTGTGGCCGAAACGTCGTGAGAATATTATTGTGTTATTTTATTTTATCAATTTATTATTTTATTATCATTCTACGTGACTTTACCGAAAGAACCAAAGAAGATGAATCATTGCAGTCACGAAAGCTGTAAATCGAAGTGTATTTATCAGTTTCCAAAATGTTCAGGGTATAAGATATTTACTTATATAAAATATACAAGCGGGTTGTTTACGATGCAGCGCAGACTCGTGTCGTTGTACGACATGTACAAATGCAGATTTTAAAATAAGCCTCACATTTGTTTCATATAATTATTAAGTAACTAATTCCCAAACGTTGACAAAAACTCAAACATACACACACAAACCAAAACATTTCAAAGGTGTTTTTTAATGTAAAGCCACATTGAAAATCCATCTCTAAGAAATATGTTCCTTCCTGTACAGACATTGGGGAGTATTGATAACTCGGTCCGACGCACATCGTCACTATCATCATCATCATCAAACCGGCATGCCCTGTTCGCCTTGGGGAGCAAAGGTTTGCAATGACAACGCTCACATTCCACTTACACACCTGGCAGTCAGTAACCGTTTAAACCGCTGAGACACAATGACTTGAGAAAAATGCACGCGGACATCACGAACTAAACCCGCCATCGAAAACAACTCGGGAGGAAGCCCTGTTCACATTGCACGCGTACAGATGCAAAGACCCACAATCAGCCTAAGAGACCGCCAAGTGCTAAAGAGCAGCACCGACTAACGGTGGCATGTAACACCAGTGAGGTGTCGTGGCCAGCGTCACTGCCCCGGCCATCTCATCTTCCCGGCAATTAGATTTTCACTCACTGCACCAGGTACTCTCAATCGCTTAAGGCTGTAGTCGACCGACAGGCTCAGATATACCTTTTCCACCGTCGTTACGGTCAGGGACACCAGGTACACCGGGGTTGTTACGCGAAGCGGCGAGAAAGCGTTCTGCCACCACGCCACACACGCGGGACAGCGGTGGGAACGACTGGTCTACCAAGTCAATATGGACAACAAACATTCTAATCGATTCCCTTTAATATGGGCGAATACTCGGGCCCGCTTACGAAAAATGGCAGCAAGCCACAAGTCCTGCCGCCCAAAGGCAGAAAAAACCCCCGTGCAAGTCACGCCCAGCATGATGCGACTGACGCCAATGATCTTCACCAAACTCAAGAGCCCATAACCTCCCCTTCCAGCGGCACAAGTGGGAAGAACAGAGATTAGACTTCACCCCTCCCCCCCACCAGCTAACTTGCACGTTATCCGATCGGTCGAGTAAACGGACCGACAATCGGTAGAAGATGCGTCGATTATGTCAATAATGAAGATGGCCAAGCTCCTCATCGCATATCTGCACTGCACGCGAACGCCCTGATCGATAAGTGAACAGTCCCATAGGGGCGTCGTGGGTTGTGATGTCCCATGCTCGGTGAATGATCCAGACCCAGGTTGAACGTGGACCTCGTACATACACCGCCAATGAGACATTCACTTGCCTTGTCCAGCGATTAGACATTAACCAGAAACGTTTCGGATGCCCAACACACAACGTCTGAAGGTCATCCGGCTATAACAAACAAAAAAACATGTTGCGGATGGTTTTGGGAAAGCTGTGAATTTGTAGGACGACTTCAGCCCTTCGATTCAGCTAACGTGATTAGCACGACTTTGCGGACAATCAAGTGGTAGTCCTTTGGAGAAGCTGGCCACTGTCATAGGAATGTGGAATTTCCTCATCCAGCTAGGGTCATCATTTGTCCACAGATAAGACTCGGACTTCTTAACTATTTTGACGCTCATTTCTAAATTTCAAATGGAGAATTCAATCACAAATCAGAAATGTCTTAATTGCCTTTGTGAAATTGCATATCAGGATCAATGTGTTCCCTTCATTATGCACGTTGTTAATATATAAATATTTAAAATACGGTAATTTGTAAAAAAGCGGGCACGATTTGCCGGTTAAATAAGTAAAAACACCGATTCATTTTTCAAAGCAATTGTTTGGACTCATGGTAACTGCTAAAACCAATCCTACAACGCTATAAGTCATCATCCAAAAATGTGCAGACCCAAAATCATATTGACAAAAATTAATAAAACACATTTACAAACGTCTTCGGACTTTTTTTGTTACAAATTTTCTGACAATTTTTTTTGTCCTCGCAACACAAAAAACAAATAAAAAACACGGTACGGACAAAAAAAACGAATTAACTTCGAAAGTTTTAAAAATGAAAAAAATTCCCAGTAGGTAACGGTGCAACTTTAAAACATGCTGCACACTGCTGAGGCTACGAAGCAAATACATTAACGAGTCCCAACGGAGAAATGCGTACAAATACGAGAGTATAAATACTGCGGCAATCTATCTACAAATACAAACGTCTAGGGCCGCGTTATGCTACGGAGAGCACCTGTACATGGGGGGGACCGGTTTGCTATGATATGGGACCCTTCCTTCAGCATGAACATGTTCACTGAAAGGCAACATTGAGAATCGACAACAAGAGACCGTCAATGTACATCGGTGCAAAAAAAGGCTTCTCTCTGTACAGCGACAGTAAACAAAACAAATAATACTAAACACTTGACACACCCCTAGGCTCTCATACGTACATTACAATGAAAAATAAACGTTTATTAAGACTTCTGTTACATCCTATCAAACATAATTACAGCAATCTGATTAAAAAAACGTATTTGCGTTGCATTCTTTTGGACGCCTCTAATTAATATATATCCGTAAGACCACGTGAATTTGTAGAACAGTTAAGAAAAATGGCTCATGGCTGTCGGGGTATTGTATTGTGCTGGACCCTTCTTACAATTCAATTGAGACGATGGGAAGTGGTGCTGGCATTATCCATATTTCCATCGGGTGCAAACAACACACGGGCAAAGCCACTGTTGAGACCGATTACCAGCCACACATAACACGACATGCGCGGGGCAACAATCACTCGATACTTTGACAGAGGAATTGAATTCAATCCGCAGAAGCGATTATGTTTCAAACAATAAATTACTCTGCAAACACATGTGAATTATCGCCATGTTCTACTATTAAGTTACTCCTGAAAAAAAATCAAGAAAAGCTAACGTGATGTTAAGGTAAAGAAAGTGTTAGCTTGTAAAACATCCAATTCGAAACACTTAATATTGTCTTAAATACTATCAATTATGGCGGTACTCTTAATAATAAAATCTACTATTTGCAATTTCAGTAATTATATTTTTTAAAATAACTGGCATTCACCTTTATATATGCTGATTAAATGGCATTTATCAGGGCCTGTGCTAATATTGTAATTTTTTGCTTTAAAAAAAGTATTTTATTGCTCAACACACATTAAATAACATTTCATTTTGCAATGGGATGCGGACTTCAAAGCGAGCCTCCTACAAACATCCTACAGCTTGAACGTGCCCCTAAAAGTAAGAAAAGAAATCCCCGGCAAGATCCTCCTGGTGAAAAAAAAGGGGGGGGGGGGGTACTAATGGTCTCCAGATTCCGTAAAGCTTCAATGGTTAGGTAAATGACATAATTAGGACTTTAATATTGTCCACGATCGCGACAGAGGGCCAGCCAGGAACCCTAACAGCCTGGCCTAAAACCATCTTTGACATCTGCAGGTAAAACAGGGAGGGGCTCCTGTGCTCAATCAATATGGGGGTACTCGGAGCCATCGTCAACAATGATCAGTTGTCCCACGTGTGCCCACGTGTTTGCTCCGAGGGCACTGATACCACTCCAGATGCAAAGAAGCACAAACTCCTGCCTCGGGAGCTGCATTGCACACTCTCTCAAGGGTTTGGGAACAAAAACGACATTGAATGAGTCCTGCTGTGTCTTGGTCCAGGACTATTCCCTGCCAGAAAGTACTTAAGTAATAATCATGCATCAACAGCGGGGGTCAGAGGGCAAGTTCTTTCTTGTAACAGATGCCAATGAAACACTGGTTTAATGTATTGAAATAAGAAACCCCGGCACTTACAGAGTAACGACCAGACAATAACAGTAACGCGATTGTGAAAGACGGATTTGAAACAAATTCCGTGCAATCTCCACCGTGTGTATAGCAATATTGCAGCAGGGTTTGTGCGTTAATTTGACAGACGCTGGGTTGCGACTTGTAATCCGGTGTTTTATCACTGGCACTTTTTATGCCTAATCTTGAGCTTTTTTATTATTTAATCGGCTATATCTTTTAAAAAAGATACATTTTATATTTCGAATAATGCGAGTTCTTATCTTTTTTTATTGTATTATTCATTTAGTTTTCTCTGTGTTACGTCTGTTACAAAAACGGTGTTTTTTATTGATGGAACCCCGACTTAAGAGCTTCTTACAGTGAGGGAAAAAAGTATTTCATCCCCTGCTGATTTTGTACGTTTGCCACTGACAAAGAAATGATCAGTCTATAATTTAAATGGTAGGTTTATTTGAACAACAAAACTGCCGAAAAAGGCATGTCAAAATTTTTATAAATTGATTTGCATTTTAATGAGGGAAATAAGTATTTGACCCCTCTGCAAAACATGACTTAGTTCTTGATGGTAAAACCGTTGTTGGCAATCACAGAGGTTGGCCACCAGGTTTGCACACATCTCAGGAAGGATTTTGTCTCACTCCTCTTTGCAGATCTTCTCCAAGTCATTAAGGTTTCGAGGCTAACGTTTGGCAACTTGAACCTTCCGCTCCCTCCACAGATTTTCTATGGGATTAAGGTCTGGAAACTGGCTAGGCCACTCCAGGACCTTAATGTGCTTCTTCTTGAGCCACTCCTTTGTTGCCTTGGCCATGTGTTTTGGGTCATTGTCATGCTGGAATACCCATCCACGACCCATGTTCAATGCCCTGGCTGAGGGAAGGAGGTTCTCACCCAAGATTTGACGGTACCTGGCCCCGTCGATCGTCCCTTTGATGCAGTGAAGTTGTCCTGTCCCCTTAGCAGAAAAACACCCCCAAAGGATGTTTCCACCTCCATGTTTGACGGTGGGGATGGTGTTCTTGGGCTCATAGGCAGCATTCCTCCTCCTCCAACACGGCGAGTTAAGTTGATGCCAAAGAGCTCCGTTTTGGTCTCATCTGACCACAACACTTTCACACAGTTGTCCTCTGAATCATTCAGATGTTCATTGGCAAACTTCATACGGGCATGTATACGTGCTTTCTTGAGCAGAGGGACCTTGCGGGCGCTGCAGGATTTCAGTCCTTCAAGGCATAGTGTGTTACCAATTGTTTTCATGGTGACTATGGTCCCAGCTGCCTTGAGATCATTGACAAGATCCTCCCGTGTGGTTCTGGGCTGATTCCTCACCGTTCTCATGATCATTGCAACTCCACGAGGTGAGATCTTGCATGGAGCTTCAGGCCGAGGAAGATTGACAGTTCTTTTGTGTTTCTTCCATTTGCGAATAATCGCACCAACTGTTGTCACCTTCTCACCAAGCTGCTTGGCAATGGTCTAGTAGCCCATTCCAGCCTTGTGTAGGTCTACAATCTTGTCCCTGACATCCTTGGAGAGCTCTTTGGTCTTGGCCATGGTGGAGAGTTTAGAATCTGATTGATTGCTTCTGTGGACAGGTGTCTTTTATACAAGTAACAAACTGAGATTAGGAGCACTCCCTTTAAGAGTGTGCTCCTAATCTCAGCTCGTTACCTGTATAAAAGACACCTGGGAGCCCGAAATCTTTCTAATTGAGAGGGGGTCAAATACTTATTTCCCTCATTAAAATGCAACTCAATTGATCAAATTTGACATGCGTTTTTCTGGATTTTTTTGTTGTTATTCTGTCTCTCACTGTTCAAATAAACCTACCATTAAAATTATAGACTGATCATTTCTTCGTCAGTGGGCAAACATACAAAATCAGCAGGGGATCAAATACTTTTTTCCCTCACTGTAGCTCACAAGGGTACTTCAAAATAAACTGAACTGAATCCCATATGAGGGATGACTCGGACAATCAGCCATCCGTGGTGCCACTTCAGTGGGAATTCAACATCGGCCCATACAATGGAGGAAATGGGGGGGGGGGAATTTCCACCGGTGGCTCAGACACTGCCAACGAAGATGACGACCGCCCAAGTGCTCGAGTTAAGAAACTGTTACCGGACTTGTCTGCACTGCGATGGGATTTGTTAGTTTTGAGCTGCCAATCGAATCAAACCACTGCTCTGCCTTGTGCTCACCGACAGACGCACGTGAGCACCCACAAATCAAGTGCCTTCATTTTTAGCAACACATCATTTCGAACTCAGAAAATAAAATAACAAAACGCTGAGAATAAAAAAAAAGATTTCTAATTAAATGTGCACAAATATACCCTTAGCTAGCAACAAAACTCGCACCTTTAAACGCGATCAACAGCACGGAAATTATTTTCCACTCATGTCGAATCCATGATTGCAATGATATAATTGTGATACAAGATTCATTTTGTCATGAGAGTGACAGTGCACTTGCAATGCCAGCATTGCTCAATGCCTCCCCATTTACAAAGGTGGCCCCCAATGAGAACACATTACCAACCTGTTACCGAGCTGCATATAGCACAAACTTAGCAGTGCTCTTCAAGTACCCATGCCCTCTTATTGCCAAAGGATTGTGGCGTTCAAACCTTTCACGGTGTGTCGCAACAAGTCTAAGTCCAAGTATTATTCACGCCGACTTGGCTGAGCGATGCTGTGGTTAGAGCATTCGACTCGCAATCCAAATAATGCGAGTTCAACATCTGGCCGGTTGGGGGGGGGGAGCAACTCAACTCATCATCTTTCTGGCGTCCACAAAAGTGAGAACCAGTTTGTGAACAGTGATTCGTGGGCACTCGGCAAAGAGAATGGCGCCCCCTCCACCATGGGAGTGTGGAGTTTCCGCCGCTGGCTCAGGGGACACCACCGGTGGCGATCGTCGCCCCAACGCTCGTTTAGTGGCGAGACTTTGGCTTCGACGCAACTTTTGCTGCCGGAGCTCACACCCTCCAATCATCCATCCACGCCCCCCCCATTGCTCCTCATGCATTTGCTGCATATTCCAGTCCTGAACGGTCACCAAATGCAACGGGTGCATGCGTCTCCCAGCGGAGTGTTTATCAATTTAATTACTCTAAACAGGCAGACGTGAAACGAATCAAGCGATGTTTAAAAAAATAGTTCCGATAAAACCGCACTCACGCCATACTGCCTGAGCGTAACACGATCCCACGCCTCCCGCTCGCCGAACAGCAGAAAAACAGACCGCTGCCGTCATCTCAACGGTGTCTCCCTCAAGTACAGGGGTGAGGTACCTTTTCCTTAATAACGGCCACATAAATAGAGCTTTTCAAATACCTTATTGGCGGGTCACACATTGGCACCTCTCAGTAGTCCACAGCTTTCACTCCAAGAGGCCCATGCAATCGACAGAAGTGACTGAGCGTGTAAAAAAAATTACAAACGCAGTGATGCCAGGTTGAAACTATTCCCATCTAGTACCCAATTCGTGTGGCTAAGATGCTTGCGTTGATGGGATGAATATCGTTCGCAAGCCGTTTACACGTGTAGTCCTCATGTGGCTGCGGGCCGTGTGAAAATAAGCCTAAGAACTGTCGGTTCTTTGCACTGGTGTGAAACACTACCTTGCTAACTGACTGGCATTTCACTCGTGTGGAACTCTGGACGATGTGGACCCCGTGCAAATGTTGACGGAAGCACAACAAGAAATCACGCGCATCGATCTCGCACCGACCGGAGTGGATACATTGCACCCGTGGCCGCGTCAGATTGGGAAGCGCTGTGAATAGAGCACAGCTCGTGCCACGGAGCCTGCCTCTCTGCTTTAGCGATCGCAAGTTGCCTTTTTTAGCCTGAATTGTGAAAGACCGACCCAATCATGACCGGCCAAAACTGACCACGTGTCTACGAAAAAAGGTATCCGGTAACAAAATGAAATTGTTGGGTCGAAATTCATCAATCGATATTTGTTAATGGACTTTTGCTTGGTTAGATAAAAAACGAAGCCTGAAACTGACAAAAAAACATTGTTGCCGTTTTCGCCGAATAAACGAATGAATACAAAAAATGTCCCAATTGTAACCGTGAACAATGAGAGAGAAGTAAAATGAGAGTTAAGAACAGAGCTTACATTTCGAGATCTATACAAGCATGGCTATTGTCTTCAAGAGGCATGAAATCCTCCATTCATCAATGCACGTATCAAATTACGTGCCTTCGGATTATGTAAGGTTTATGAAAATTACATTAAAACAACAAGCAACTGTTATCTTTAAGATCACAGATAAAATAAGACAATAACAAGAGAGAGAACTGACAAGATGAATGATAGAAGACGAACAAGACAAATATGGAATATTGGCACATGATCCTGAATTGATTATAATCAATTCATCCATCATCACATGGGGGTTGAGTTCAGTATGAATTTGTGTATGTTGAACTTCTTTCGCACCGTACGTAGCTAACTGTTCTAATCGGACGTTAGCACGGTTGGCTAATAATCATTTTACATGCCTATTAATGAAGCTGAAATGAAATGTATAAACATTTAGATTCTTTTAAATATAAAAATATTGCGTCGTTCATGCCGATTGCATCTTAAATTTCGCTGAGGAACCATAGACAAGCTGGAAGGCAGCAGTCAGGCAGTGAGCCGGTGATACCAACAATTGCCATATCTCTGCGGTCCTCCATATACTAAGATGTTTTCAGCCAATGGACACGTGGGAGGAAACTGGAGCACCTGGATAAAACCCACGCGTGTACGCCGATAGCCTAGATGGAGAGAGAGCGACGGGAACCTCGTGAAGTAATATGCAGCACAGCAATAAAAAAAAGTACTTAAAAATAAAAAATAAACTCTGGTAACAATTTTACATGGGAGGACATGATCAGATCAAACAATGGGTGAGATTTTCCTGAGGAGATGCTGGTTGTCGTAACGTTCTTGTGTAACAGTTAGAATCGCTAAACACCTGACCGCACATCGCACTATTTACAGCCGTTTCAACGACAATTACAAAACAAATCCAAAATGAAAAAATAAAACGAAAGCGTAAAAATTATTCGAGTAGTCAGAGGTCCGATAAGTCGGTGTACGATGGCTCTCTCGATCCGTTATTCGAAATTCGCGAGCTACACGCTTGTAAAATCGCTCGGCTCGCAGAGACGATGCCGATTAAAGCTCATCTCTGTGTCGAGATACAAAAAAAAACGTGGTGCTGAACCCAACGCAAGTCAAATTTCTTTTGTCAGCTAAAAAAAATACACCCACCGGTGGGGTCGAGCAATAAAAACGTAAGCCATATGAAGATGTGGGGATGCCATTTGATGGTGCCACCCATTCAACATCGCCTCCTTCCTTAAGCCAGATCCTGCAGTTGCTGCACAGTCAGTGCACGGCCTCCAAGCTCCGACAGTCTCATTGCCACCATCCGGCTCGGTAGCCCCCGACGTCTACCCTCCGCCATCAAAACCTCCTCTTCCGAATTACACCCACAATGCCCGGCCCCCCCCGCCCCCTCCTGCCGCATTCCATTCCCAACGTCCAAGTTGGCCAACCCCACCCCAACCTCGACTATAAAATCCAGGAGCAGCGCGGGACGGGAGTCACCAGGGGCGCCGCCACCGCTGCTCAGAGCACCGCCGTCTCCCTGATGTCGTCGGCGGTGAAGGGCGGGTATCGCGCGTGTCCCGGCGACCGCTGGCGCTCGGGCCCGACCGACACCGCCGCCGCCGCCGCGTTCCGCACCAGCTCCGCCTGCCTCACGCAGCGCTGCTGCCCGTCAGGCCAGAGCAGCAGCTCGCCCTCGCTCGACGCGTGCACGGGCGCGGGCGCCGTCGCCCAGTGCCGGGGCGCGGGAGCCACGACTTTGCCGCGCGTCACGGCCCAGCCGCCCCCCCGCGCGTGCCGTCCCTCGTCCAGACCCCCGTCCGCGCTGGCGCTGTGCCCGGCTGCGGGCGCCGCCGCCGCCGCCGCCGCCGCCGCCGCCGCAGCCCAAGCCACTCCGTCGGCACGGTCGAAGGAGCCGTCCGGCGCGAGGAGGTGCGCGCCGCCGCTGCCGTTGGGGGTCACGGCGCCGGCCACCGGCGGCCCGTGGTAACTCGCCGACACCGGAACCGTGTCCGTCCAGGCTCCGTACGGTGACCGTGCAGGGCTAGAGTAGGCCGAGCGGCTCATTGATTGCGACGGCGCTCCCTGCTTCTGCTGCTGGTGCCGCTGCCGCTGATGCCGAGTTTCCGGTGGCGGAGAAGCGATGTAGTCTGTGCTCCCGTACACATGGGGGGGCGGCACAACCGGCAGGCGCTGCGGCCGAGCGAGCATCTCGCCGTTGGTGACGGCGCTGCCGCTGCTGCTGCTGGGGCTCGTGAGAAAGCGGTCATCTCGGAGGCCCCACGCGGCCACCGGGCCGTCAGTCTCGCGCTCGGACGACACGTTGTCGTATAGCGAGTGCTGGGAGGCGCTGCGGCCCACGCTGTCCATGCGCATCACGGTGCCGGGTCGGACCGGGCCTCCTCCTCCTCCTCCCACCGGCACCACCAACGATGTTATTTTTGTCGACGTTGTTGCGACAGCCTCCGCTGCTGGTTTCCTCCACTTGGGAGTGGCTGCCAGCGCCGCCGCCCCCCCTTCGTCTCTATTTACGCGAGGACCAGGAGCGGCGTTCTGGTTTGAGTTTGCTTCTCTCGGAAGCTTCGGTGCATGCGTTTCTGTCGCTGGTCTCTCCATCGCACCCGATGCTGCTGCTGCTGCTGCTGTTGGTGGTGCTGTTGACGCCACTGCCGCTACTGCTGCTGGGTTCTCAGCTCCTGTGGTCACACTTCTCACGTTCCCATCGAGTCTCCGCGGAGGCAAGAGCGCCGGTCGTTTTCCGTTCCCCTGCGGGGACGGAGTGCGTGCCGGCCCTGGCGCTGTGATCGTTGCAGCCTTTGTTGGTGTCAGCTGCTGCTGTCTGTTCTGTCCATTAGCGGCGCCATTTGCCTCGAGGATGGTGAGGCTGTCAGGTGGCATTTGCCCAAACGGACGCTGGGGGAATTCATCCTGTTTGCCTGTGTGGAGAGAGAGAGACAGCAGTAGTCTACGGTCAGCGAGAAGCGAAACTATGGACGGACTGCATTGGCTGTCTGTTCATTTCAAAGGTCCATAATATACGCACGCACAAAACAGAAACCAATTTACAATAGTGTTGAAGGGAATGCATGCTTTCAACACAGTTAACAATAAAACGATCGTCCACAACATTCCTTGTGTTTTGTCTCTTGTCTCAACTTATGTTTGAAAACAAGTATCTCCCCACTCAAACGAGAATTCAGGGGGTGGCTCATTTCCATTGGTGGCACAACGCCAAGGGTGGAAATTCCACATTCTCAAGGCAGGGGGCCATTATCACCAATGAACGAATACTGTCAACGCATTTTTATCAATTATTATATTGTCGTAAGGAGGCATTTATTGATCCATTCATCAACATCATTAATTATGCTTGCAATGCACGCATCAAATCATTAATTATGCTCACAATACACGCATCAAATCATGCATCTTCGGTATGTACAATTTATGCGAATCGCATTAAAATAATAAGCAACTGTTATCTTTAAGATCACAGATCACCACGTGAGACAAAAACACGAGAGATAGAGGAATCGCCAAGATGGCTAATAGAAGTGAGGCGGCACAAACAAGACAAAGATGGAATCTTGGCAGGTGATCCTGAATTGATTTATCCATCATCGCACGGGGGCTCAGTTCAGTACGAATAATCACGCGAACTCGCGTGCCCTCCGCTTGGGAGTCCACGACTCGAACCGCCGTGCAACTGTGCATGACGTGACACCTCCAACGATTAAAAGCGTCCACCGCGGCAGCGTGAGGCTCGACGCGGCGGAGAGGACGAGGGGGCGGGCGACTACCCACCTGGGGGCGGCTGGAGGAGTTTATTGCGCCGGAGCTCGGCCATGTTGTTGTGCAGCTGGTCGATGACAAAGTGGTCCTCGTAGAGGAAGTCCTCGGCCAGCGACTGCTGCAGGAAGCCCACGAGGCCCTCCATCTCCATCTTCATCAGCCGCTCTGCGCGTAAGGCAAAGCGGTAGAGGCACAGACGCGTGTAAAGCGCGCAAAGACAACGACCCTCTCCCCCCCTTTATAGCCTTCTGGAATGCTCTTCCTGTGTGTATGTTGAATTTCTTTCGCACCATACGTGGCCAAACGTGATAATCGGGGGTGTGGAGGTGGTGCACGTGGCAGGCAGAGCACTCACTCTTGTGCAGCTTCAGCGTGGTGTAGGCCATCGCGATGAGCAGCCGCTCTCCGTCCAGCATGTAGATGTCCCACAGCCGCAGCGTGAGCGTGAACGGGGTCTATAGGAGGGGTGGGGGCATTAGAAAAGTCACCGATCACGCATGGGCATGCACCGAGCACGGAGAAGTCACCGATCACGAGTGGGCACGCACCGAGCACGGGGAAGTCACCGATCACACCGGCATGCAAGGAGGAATGAGGGGGTACGACAGGGAGATGGCATGCCCTCCCCTTAGCCTGGTTCGGCTCGTGTCAGAATCATCAAAATCTGAATCTTTATTTCGAGACTGGAGAAATCCGATGAGCTATGAAGCTCTTATTCACAGGTGCCCAATATGGGCAGGTCAGCAAGTTAACCAGCTGACCGACACAGCAGCATCATCATGGACCTTGCAGATGTGCAAATCCCAAAATCCCACTGGGCTGAGGTGTGCAGTTGAAGGCAAAAAAATAAATCAAATAGACCAAATCCACCTGTGCGGACATTTGAGTATTATTCCCTTGTGACTTAAAACTTTTGTGACAGGAGGAATTCATATTCTTGGTTCTTTCGGTAAAGTCACGTAGATATAAAATAAAATAATACATTAATTAAAAGTAATAAATAAATATGTTTCCATTTCCTTTTATTAATTTTTTAATTATTTTCTATCTACGTGACTTTAGTGAAAGAACCAAGAATATGATTTCCCTTTTGAGTTTGGACGCTCCTTCAAAATAAAAATGGGTAATACATTAACACCTTGTGAAAATGTTCTCAAAACAGGTGAATATAAAAGGTTTTCCATTCATAGATACCCCACTAAAATAATAGTGGGGTAACTATGCTGATGACTACATGATGATGGTGATGACTATTCTTGCATATGGAAATATGTTCCGGAGCTACATGCCAATTGGTAGATGATGACGATTATGCTACCAATTAATGATAATCATGCCGATGCTGCCCACGGATGACAGTAGTACCAACGTTTTATGATGATAACAATCGATCTCCAATGGATGATGATGATGATGATGATACAACTTTCAATGTCACAATAGTTAAAAGCAAACGCACCCGGTCGAGGAAGCACTGGAAGAACCACTTTGTTGTGTAGAGGTTGGTGAAGATCTCCTGGCTATCCTGAGCCAACCGGGACAAGGGGAGACAGAACAGGAGGAACAGATGGCAGATTGGTCATATGGGGGGGGCGTCCATTTCATAACACAACACTGCCACTGGATTCAAGGAAGTTGCTGCCAATAAAACACCCACTCTTATTTTGTGACACACCCAAGCTCTGGGCCAGAGAACAAAGAAAAGTTAGATGCATTACATTGACTGTTAAGAAAAGTAAGTGGGCTTAGGCAGGTAGGAGGAATGATGGTTAAGAATAAACTGGAGTGGCAGCCAATGGAGGGAACACGCCCGAGGAATTTCCGCGGAGATGGAGTGATGAAATCCGATCACTTGCGGAGCTAGAAGGATTCTTGCATTGTGGTCATGTGAGAGGTGGCGACGGCTTGAGGAGGCCTTCATCACATATGCTCCAAATTTAACAATGACAATAACCTTAACCCGCTAAATGCCAGCCCAGCATGCTGAATTGAATGTTGGTGCAACTTGACTTTACTCTTTCACGAAACCTTGGGCAGACCTGGAGTCAATTACAATTGTTAATTGTCAAATGTGTAATTAATTACTGTTCAATCACAATGTAATTGAACAGTAATTTTAGTTAATATTGCTTTCGGAAATGTAATTATAATTGACCCCAGGTCTAACCTTTGGGGAATAATGCACTTGGCGCAGTTGAACCAAATGAGGTGGCGGCCCATCTCCCACAAATCCCTTTCTGCACCGCATCCTGCAGAGATTTAATAATGTTAATAATACAGAATTACAACAGACGGCGACGCCGACAAACAAAAAAACACAGGCAACCCCTCACCAGGTGCTTCTTCATCTTGGGGAGTAACCTCTTCATGATGAGGTCGTGGTGCTCTTGGAAGCGCATCAGCTTGGGGAAGCCCGGCACAAAGAATCCTGGGGAGCAGAGGACCGGGATGGAGCACATGGTTATACACTGCCATGGCAATGTGGAATTTCCACTACTGGATCAGGATCAAAATTCAGAAGAGATCGACTTATTTTGATCTTGATTTAATCTCAAGCGTGTGTCCAATGAGAATGGAATGGTATATTGATATTTTAATTTGATCATGTTGAATTACACATCACATTTTTAAGGGAGACACTTAATAAAATACAAAAACATTTAATATTTAACCGAGTAACATGGAAGATGTCTGTCTTAAAGATGAACATTCTTGTTAGCCTGCAAACAACTACAACTGCAAATGCTATTTGTGAAAACCTATTGAAGTTGGCAAGGCACTTGCATAAAGGAGGCGTCACCGACACCACACAAACCCTTGGCCGCCTTTATTTCCCCAGGCCGATGTTGTCGCACATTACCAGGGACTTATTTTAGGCTGTGTTGACTTAAGGGGAGGGCCCAGACTGGAGTCAAGATATTCCAACAGCAACTTATGGTAGGAATGGCCCGGGAGTTTATCTTGAACCACTACTTTTCCACTAAACTTCCATTTGAAAGAGGGGAAAAACGGCTGTGGATGCAGGAGCGACCCAGGGCACTCGCCCCTGGCAGCAGAGCCAGACACGAGCACACACTTCTAAATCAAAACTGCACAGGTGAGCAGCGCGAGCGAATCGGCCGATTGACCACCCTGTGCCTTGTAGCCGTCGGCCATATGAAGACTTTGGTATGGGGCTTGTTGGGGTCAGAATGTTTGGCCACCGCTGCGATGTACCCACGCACGCACGTATACTAAACAGACGCACGCAAACACCATGCGCTCGAGTGTGGGAGTGGCGTACTCACCGTGCATGGCGTGTTTATTGTCGGACAGCAAGCGCACGAGTGCCCAGAATGCATCCTCTTCATTAAGGTACATGAGAAGGAGCGCAGCGATCTGGCTCATGCCCTGGCAGTAGCCCACCTCCTGATATGTGGTACACATGCACACACACGTTTTTTTCTACATTCATACACAATTGTCCATGTACAGCCCTTTATGTCAATCGACTACATTCGGGCTTCACCACCATGCCTTGCAGGTTGTGGGGGTTACTTATCCATACTTCACCGGGCTGGTCAGTGCAGGTGTGTGAAGGTGGGGCACAGACATTGGAATGTACTACAATGGATTTGCTGCACTGTTCTCTGCTGACAACACAGCCATGTAGCAGCCTACAACAACCGTTTCATGCATGATAGTTGCCCATCAAAGCACTATCCAGACTTATTCCTGCTTATCTTCCAACATCTGACATTCTGGGTGCCATGATCATAGACCATGTTTCAAGGTATGCATACATGTATATGCATACATATATATGCATACGCAGATACAACGTAGCTTGAAATGTTGGGAATCCAGCTCAGGTCTGGAGTCTGGAGTTCTTCCGCAATCACTTCTGATTTCAGCTGCCTCAATTTATGAAGCAACCTGGCCAATCAGGAGCTTCCTATGGCTCCTGACCCAGGAATGCTAGGTCACCAGGAAGTGATACGATCACAGGAAAGTGCATCATGACTGGAGGCATAAGCACAGAGGACACTACACGTGTGTAATCCCAACTATGAAGAAGGCACAGGGGTGGCCAGTACAAGAAATAAATATTCTTTGGTTCTTTCAGTAAAGTCACGTAGATAGAAAAAAAGTTTATAAAATGAAGACGATCGCTTGTGTTGTGATCGAAACGTCGTGTTTTTTTAATATGTATTTTATTAACTTCATTATTATTATTATTTCTATCTACGGAACTTTACCGAAAGAACCAACGAATATGAATGCCTGCAGTCACGAAAGTTTCAAGTCAAAATGTAAGAAATAAATATAAACATTTCTTATAAATCTAACTTTAGACTTGAAGATAACAAGTCACATTTAACACACTGATCATTTGAAATAGACAATGTACGGATATTTAAATGAAACTAACACAATATAAACTAAAAGTGCATGTAAAAAAAAGACCATCTATAAACCAGAGTGCAGTCCTCACACCCCATTATGTTAGTTAATTAATTACACAGAGTATGGTGTCAGTCTCTCCATAGCATGGCAACCGTTGACTCCAGTCAAAGTATTGCTCATTTTATTGACCCTCGAATCGCAGTGCCCACCTGGGCTGGATGATATTACATTGGTGGGTGGGCAAAAGAGACTGTGTTCTGTCAGCCAACACCACTCCATCTTTGGGCGTACGAAGAGGCAGGTTAAATCTTGATTTTGAAGCTTTCGTGACTGCAGGAATCCATACTCCTTGGTTCTTTCAAGAAAAAGTCACGTGGGTAGAAATGAAATAAAATAAATCACGACGTTTCGAACGCAACACAAGCGCCCGTCTTCAGGTGAAAATCGCGACAGCCGCGATGTCTGCTGTGAGCAGCACGATGTCTGTGGCGACAGCTGCGATGTCTGCTGTGAGCAGCACGATGTCTGTGGCGACAGCTGCGATGTCTGCTGTGAGCAGCACGATGTCTGTGGCGACAGCTGCGATGTCTGCTGTGAGCAGCACGATGTCTGTGGCGACAGCTGCGATGTCTGCTGTGAGCAGCACGATGTCTGTGGCGACAGCTGCGATGTCTGCTGTGAGCAGCACGATGTCTGTGGCGACAGCTGCGATGTCTCCTGCGAGCAGCACGATGTCTGTGGCGACAGCTGCGAGTCTGCTGTGAGCAGCACGATGTCTGTGGCGACAGCTGCGATGTCTGCTGTGAGCAGCACGATGTCTGTGGCGACAGCTGCGATGTCTCCTGCGAGCAGCACGATGTCTGTGGCGACAGCTGCGATGTCTGCTGTGAGCAGCACGATGTCTGTGGCGACAGCTGCGATGTCTGCTGTGAGCAGCACGATGTCTGTGGCGACAGCTGCGATGTCTGCTGTGAGCAGCACGATGTCTGTGGCGACAGCTGCGATGTCTGCTGTGAGCAGCACGATGTCTGTGGCGACAGCTGCGATGTCTGCTGTGAGCAGCACGATGTCTGTGGCGACAGCTGCGATGTCTGCTGTGAGCAGCACGATGTCTGTGGCGACAGCTGCGATGTCTGCTGTGAGCAGCACGATGTCTGTGGCGACAGCTGCGATGTCTGCTGTGAGCAGCACGATGTCTGTGGCGACAGCTGCGATGTCTGCTGTGAGCAGCACGATGTCTGTGGCGACAGCTGCGATGTCTGCTGTGAGCAGCACGATGTCTGTGGCGACAGCTGCGATGTCTGCTGTGAGCAGCACGATGTCTGTGGCGACAGCTGCGATGTCTGCTGTGAGCAGCACGATGTCTGTGGCGACAGCTGCGATGTCTGCTGTGAGCAGCACGATGTCTGTGGCGACAGCCGCGATGTCTGCTGTGAGCAGCACGATGTCTGTGGCGACAGCTGCGATGTCTGCTGTGAGCAGCACGATGTCTGTGGCGACAGCCGCGATGTCTGCTGTGAGCAGCACGATGTCTGTGGCGACAGCTGCGATGTCTGCTGTGAGCAGCACGATGTCTGTGGCGACAGCTGCGATGTCTCCTGCGAGCAGCACGATGTCTGTGGCGACAGGCTGCGATGTCTGCTGTGAGCAGCACGATGTCTGTGGCGACAGCTGCGATGTCTGCTGTGAGCAGCACGATGTCTGTGGCGACAGCTGCGATGTCTGCTGTGAGCAGCACGATGTCTGTGGCGACAGCTGCGATGTCTGCTGTGAGCAGCACGATGTCTGTGGCGACAGCTGCGATGTCTCCTGCGAGCAGCACGATGTCTGTGGCGACAGCTGCGATGTCTGCTGTGAGCAGCACGATGTCTGTGGCGACAGCTGCGATGTCTGCTGCGAGCAGCACGATGTCTGTGGCGACAGCTGCGATGTCTCCTGCGAGCAGCACGATGTCTGTGGCGACAGCTGCGATGTCTGCTGTGAGCAGCACGATGTCTGTGGCGACAGCTGCGATGTCTGCTGTGAGCAGCACGATGTCTGTGGCGACAGCTGCGATGTCTCCTGCGAGCAGCACGATGTCTGTGGCGACAGCTGCGATGTCTCCTGCGAGCAGCACGATGTCTGTGGCGACAGCTGCGATGTCTGCTGCGAGCAGCACGATGTCTGTGGCGACAGCTGCGATGTCTGCTGTGAGCAGCACGATGTCTGTGGCGACAGCTGCGATGTCTGCTGTGAGCAGCACGATGTCTGTGGCGACAGCTGCGATGTCTGCTGCGAGCAGCACGATGTCTGTGGCGACAGCTGCGATGTCTGCTGCGAGCAGCACGATGTCTGTGGCGACAGCTGCGATGTCTGCTGTGAGCAGCACGATGTCTGTGGCGACAGCTGCGATGTCTGCTGTGAGCAGCACGATGTCTGTGGCGACAGCTGCGATGTCTGCTGTGAGCAGCACGATGTCTGTGGCGACAGCTGCGATGTCTCCTGCGAGCAGCACGATGTCTGTGGCGACAGCTGCGATGTCTGCTGTGAGCAGCACGATGTCTGTGGCGACAGCTGCGATGTCTCCTGCGAGCAGCACGATGTCTGCTCGCAGCAGACATCGCAGCTGTCGCGATTTTCACCTGAAGACGGGCGCTTGTGTTGCGTTCGAACCAAAGAAAAGAGGCCGGTTAAACTCACGATGACGCAGTTCTTACCGTGTTGTACATGGAGTACGCAGCCAGCACATGGAACAGGGCTTGTTGCCTGTGTGACAAAAAAATGTAATGTCGGCATCACAGTTACCGGTGAACCGAGACCTTAAGCGCGCACAAGCAGTCGTGCTTCATATGAAACGTAAAGACGGTGAAGCTAACAAAGATGTAAACGAACACCTACATTTCATTTTAATTGACCAAATAAGGCCCACTGAGCTACGTAGCTCTTTATCAGAAGCGACCTGGCCACAAATGATAGCTGAACGAAGTGGCTTATCACGTGGAAATTTATAGCAGCCAAATACTCTAAATGCACATTGTTTCTAAACGTGCAGGGAAAAACCGGAGGACCCGGACAAAAACCCACGTGACCATGGGCAGAACATGCAAACTACAAATATACAGGCATCAGAGGATCGGGATCGAACCCACAACCTTCTGTATACCATGCGAGGTAGTTAACATCTCATAGCCACCATGGCGCCCATTTCGGTGCCAGGCCCTGTAAGTCAAATCGCTGAGGGCTTCCAGTGCAGAGGTAAAATGAGTGGTGATGCACGTTTACAGAAGGACAGGTGTTTATGCCCCCAGGGTATTTCGGGTGTGGCATGTAGGTTCACAATGTAAGGACCGTGGACAATGTCGCCGGCAAAGCAAAGAATGATCATTGTTGATTTACAACTTTAGCAGTACCCATTTTTTTATCAACTTGAGAGGGATGATGTACCGTCTAAGTGTAAGACTTCACTCACAAACTTCCGATTGTGAGTAAAGAGCTCAACAATACCGTTACCCTAACCCTCATAAGCCAGATTGAATGGAACAAAAGAATCATGATCACAAATAATTAGTTTTACAAATGCATTTCGCATTAATAGAATTTTAAAGTCTGGCAATAATGCATCGTATGCAAAAACTTCCCATGTTACACTGAGATCCGATTTGTGACTTTGATATTCAAATATTACAACAATAGCAAATAATCAAGTATTTTATATCTCTTCCAGGTGAATGTCATGACCGTTTGAGACAGATTGCATCAAAGCAATGTGGAATTTCCACCGTTGGCTCAGGATCGCAAGGAAGACGAACACCGCCAAATACTCGCTTGAACAGGGGTACGCACAGCGGTACTTGACTTTGCAAAGCAAGGATTGCGTCACTGGGCAATGGCTTGAGGGTGAAGGCCAAACAGTGTGTATGTTGAACTTATTTCGCACCGTATGTAGCCAACAGTGCTAATTGGAGGTGCGGGGGAACGACAACAAACGAAACACAAAAAGTAGTGCTCAAAAAATGACTTTCAATCTAGATTGAAAAGTGCATAGCTCCAGTGGCGTCTTAATATCGGAAGGAAGAACGTTCCAGACGGCCGCAGAATCGCATCTGAAAGCACGCGATGCGTTCGATGGCGAAGCCAAAAGCCGCTGTGAGGATGCTGCGAGGATGACCGGAGTTCGTGTGATGGTTTATGTTAAGTGTGGAGGTAGAAGGGAGGAGGAGGCTGAGAGGTCACTGACTTGACCCCGTAGCGGTTGCGGAACATGATGTGGTTGCGGAAGGTGCGGTTCACGTCCAGGTCGATCTGGCGCACGTCGGGGGACGCCAAGCGCGCTCGCTGCTTCATTTGCTGCTCACAAACGCACACGAAGACAAAGATCCCCCGTGTAGCTTTTACCGACTGTTGGGGCAAGCGCTGTTAGCGAGCACCTATGCAGGCCAGGGGGCGGGGTGGCCAAAATCACGTCCAGCCGTCTTTGTCTCCCCAGTGCTGAGGTTTACATACCGCACTAGGTACTCATTTAAGGCCAAGTCAACCTAGGGGAGGCTCAGGGCCGGTTCAGATATTCGTCACTGACGTTGGCTGTGAGTGGTAATGGAACTCTGGTCAATGGGTTTGTGGCACAGTGGGTTAACCAATACGCTACCACTTTCCACACAAACAGACACCCTCCATCGGCTTAAGACTTACATAGTACAATACACAGACAGTGCAATCTCCATGAGACTGGGTCATTAAGGAGGGCTGGTTGGGATAAAAATATACCCGGATAATGCATGCATTGTTTACCAACTTAGAAAGGGGGTGAAGCTGTAGAATGCTTTGTCTGACTTCATTGCTTCTTAAAACAACCGATTTACTTGCGGACAAGTTCACGGTAAAGTGAGCACCGAGTCACTGACTCTCATGCACGTAAATATTTTTATTCATTTTTTCACAAGCATGGTGAATCCAAAAGCCAAACAATCCACGCACGGATAATCGAAAGTAACGTCCGTCGCATGTTATCCACGCTATATTTTTTATTCTTTGGTATTTAGCCAACTTAAGTGCTAAACCAAATGCAAAATGGCAATGTAATTGCTGACCGGGCTGAGACCATCAACTATGCTTGAGAACAGGTGATCGCCTGAACGTAAACTCAGCATCTCTGGCGGTTCTGGCTCAGTGCTGCGACTCCTGAGCCACCTCTGGTGACACCAATTAAAACTTCAGACTTCAGAGAGAGCAATCGGCGGCTACAGGGGGTGGGGGGGGGGGAAGAGGGGCGCTGGGCCTGACCTCGTAGAGGCCGGAAAATTCCTCCTTGAGCGACGACAGCTCCAGCAGCAGCGACCAGATCTCCCCACGCAGCTGCAGCGGAAGTCCCTTGTACACGCGGCGTGCCATCTGCAGGGACCACACGGCAGGGCGGGAGGGGAGGCGGGGAGCGACACAAGAGCATCAAGAATTCACGTGCGAGTGCTGTTAAGTGTTCTGGACAGAGTAAGCACACGTGTACATGAGAGTTAAAATCCTTATCGGGGGGGGGGGGGGGTGGGGGGCGTTTGACTCGGCCAATTATCCCTCAAGGGTCGATATATTAACTACCACTCCAGCGCTGTCCTACCAGACAGTCTCGTCCCTTCACCTGATGAAGGCCGCTTGCGTTGTGGCCGAAACGTCGTGAGAATATTATTGTGTTATTTTATTTTATCAATTTATTATTTTATTCTCATTCTACGTGACTTTACCGAAAGAACCAAAGAAGATGAATCCTTGCAGTCACGAAAGCTTTAAATCGAAATTTACAATAGTTGTTGTCCTATCGAGAGACTTGCACCCGCCATAGGAATGCAGAAATTACACCAAAGGCGCAGGGCTTATTTGTGTAGGAGAGCACTTTGACTCGACAACTGTAATCTAGTGGTTTGTAGGCGTGTGTTGGTGGATCACACGTTTGTGTGAAGCTCCCAAACCCGCAGATCTGCGAGGTGGCCAGGAGATGGCAGCACAGCAAGAGTGAGAGAGAGCCTGTCTTTGGGCACTGAATTCCTCCCACATGCAGAATACTTCTTATTAAGGAAATTACCAAACATCGTTTACGCGTGACCTTCCTGATGAATCCCGAGACTCAGCAAGCCTCTCGTTCAAAGAAATTATATTTAAAAACGACGCACTTTGCCGGTGACTGTGATATTGCAGGGGACGTGCGTGAGAGCGTGCTACGAGTTCTTGAAGGGCCAATGCAGCCTGCCTGCGCACCTTTTCGGTGTTCTTGTATTTATCCCAGCTCTTGACCATCTTCAGCCACTTGGCGACCCTCTCCACCTCCGTCGCTTTGATCTGTGAACAACAAGGCGTATCCATAGGCAGCACAATTACCCGTGTATGTATAATCCAAGGCTGGGGAACCATTTCCTTACCCAGGGCCGAACAGAACTTTCAAATAACATTGGGAGGGCCACACATTAAAACGCACATTAGACGTTACCCAATAATAATACAAAACATAATACGGGCTCGCCTTTGATGCATTTATGCGACGGAGGGCCTGCCCTCCTCTCACTAACGTGTTGATGTAAGCTCGCAGTTCTGAAGTGCACGCGTGGCTAAGTGCTGGGAGTGAGGGATAAAAATCGTTTGTGGGCCGTTTCACAGTGGTCACGGACCGTGCGAAATCAAGTAATTGACCAGATACAGACCGTGGGCCATCAGTTGCCCTCGCCTGATATTTGCAGAGCAGTCAGCTCGGTGGGCAGGCGGTCATCACGCTTACCAATGAGCCAGACGCAGGCTCGCGGAGGCTCCAGTTTATAGCCCATTATTCCTCCAGGGTTATGAATACGGGTGCCGCTTTGTGGGAAGTGACCTGCTATCATCTCCGTACAGCCACAGTCATCTGAACACGGAATTTCCACTGCTGGCACACGACCACCCAGCAGAGCTGCGCACTGGCCCGTGTTCGTTTGAACAGCAAGAGTCTTTGTAGTGCAAGTTGAAACGAGCAATTGTGTGAGTCACTAATACCACAGTCGAGCTCAAGAATGAAAGAGACTCCAAGCTCAGTGACTGGGCCCAGTCATGAGAATGTGGAATTTACACGACCGGCTCAGGGTTATCTGTGGAGATGAGCACCAGATAAAGGACACTTTGACAAGGATTTTCAAAGTAAGCCTTATTACAAGAAATATATTGAAGAGTGGTCAGGGAAACTATACCTTCCCTTCTTCCGCATCTGGAATTGGAAGTTCTTCTTCACTGAAATATGAATGGGTAGCAGAGGTTAAATTTTGTCCATATACAATGTATACAGATCTATTACATACAACTTCACCGATGTGAACTTTTGTGACAGATACTGAGATGGCACAAAGCACTACTGTCTGTACATAAACTGAAATCAACAAAACTCACCACCCTTCATTAATCACTCAACTGGAAGCAATCATCACCTGCTACTGTGAAATCTTGGCAGGAGCCTCCTTAAATGAGTCATGCGACTCAGTCGAGACTTTCTTGGGCACGCAAGCGTAATAAATAAAATAATAAAATACCAGCTTATTACAGAAAAATAGAGCGTACCATATATTTCAATTATGTCCATACTTCAGATTTCAGAGAGGGGGCATAAACATTCACCGTCTTAGAGTCCACGAGGTGATGTTGATCATATAAAATGTTTTTAGGCAACAGATGTAATGGTTTTCCATAGGAAGGCAATAAGTAGCAAACAAAACCCTTATACGTTCAACGTGGTTGGCACAAATTAAATCAAGTAAAGCAAACGCGTATCAACTCGTCAGGAAACAAGCAGCAACATGGGCAGCCGCGACAGATGCCAACTCCCTCAACGTTCCATTTGTTTATTAAATCCGCTCTGTGTAGACCAGCTGCTGAGTCGGCGTGCACGCACACAGACAGGCACGCACCAGGAACAATACGAGCCACAGCGCTGCCATTAACCTGCCCTCGGCTCGCTAAGCGGGCCAATATCTTTTTGACTAGGGAAATCGCATTTAAGTGTCGGGTTCCGAGGGTTTTCCGGCAAACCTCCCGTGCAATAGAGGACACGGTTTTTATTCTACCTTCGCTTCACCCCCCTGCGGTCGACTGCTCCACAGTGGCCTCAATTAGCGGGCGTAAGCGCAACAAAACTACGGCGTCAGCTGCTGCATTGTGTGGCTGGAGGGGGGAGGGGGGGGGGCAGGGTGATGGGCAAAGGGGGGGGGGGGGGCAGAGCCACCGGCGCTCTAATTGGAAAGGAAGTTTGGAGAGAAGAGAGCCGACGCAGACTCTTGCACCCGGTGTGCGGGCAGGGGCGGTGCGACGCGGTGGCCTCTGGCTCAGCACGCAGCCAACCTTGCCAGAAAATGAACGCAGGATTGACTTTCGCAAAGCAGGAAGAGCATTGCACGTCGCTTTAACGACGTGAACAAACGCTGACTTGGGTTTTTTTTTTTCTACAGATTTCACCTGCCCTTCTCGCTTCAAGTTCACACTCTGGCTCGCCCAGTCAGCGCAATTAGAATTACATCAGCTGACTATAAGGATCTGGCACTATTATTATTATAATCATCGACAACGATCTAGCCATTGTTGGATGGTCTCCCCACGCCATGTTGGTTATGGGAGATGTCTGACCAAACTTCACCACACTGGTTAGTGCGGGTTGGTGAAGGAGTGGGGTGGCCAATTCCGGTTCAGACATTGTTTGCCGGCAATGTTAACCGTGGCCAGGAATCGAACACGGGTAGCTGTGTTCATAGCGCAGTGCACTGTCCACGACAATACTGCTCCATCCCCTGCGTGATTATGTAGAGAGAGGGATGTAAGGCACGGTGACAGACGCAGGCTCTGTGCAGAGACACTCACTGCAGGAAGCCAAAACGATCTGTGACCTTGTAGAGGCGGAAATCCGAATCTTCCCACGGGTCAATCTGCGCACCTTCATCTCGGCCCTGTGTTGTTGTAGCAACAATCGGTGGGAAAACAAGGCAACACGGTGTCAGAGGTCAGAGGAATAAGTAGTCAACTGTGCATAAGCTGGTTGGTGAGTAATGCACCAGCCAACATGGTCTGTGAGCTTTGTCTGTCCCGTGACGTCCCGCCAATGAACCTTCAACACACTAACGTGATCTCAAAGTGCACTTCGACTGGCACAAATGCAGTGGTGATGTCATCGACACTGAGCAACCAATGGCAGCGGTTGCTCCTTTTGTCGTTGTTAAAGAACTGAATGGTTACTCTTGTGCTCCACCAACCAAGGCCGTATGTTGAAGCCACCAGTGCGAGGTTCACCGATCGCCTCTGGTGCCTCCATGTTATAGAATTTCTCCCCCCAGTCACCCGTGCCACCGACTCTCCCAAAGCTTTCTTCCACTGCCGACGAATGACTGTCACTTGTCTAAAAGAAAAACGAATATTTACATCAATTTTGTCCCCGAGATACACGAGTCTAACTACTCTGTAAAACACCATCCTGATACATGGATGCATTTAGATGCTATGTATCTCCCAACGTTATTGTATTAAGCGGATTTATGCCACAATGGAGAACATGAGAAGGTAACAGGTGGTTCGCCGCCTATAACCCAGTGCTCTGTATGCATGCATGTTGAACTTCTTTCGCATCGCAACATACGTCACCAACCGTGCTAATCGGAGGTGCGGGGGGACGACAACAAACTAAACACAAAAAATCAGCTCTAAAGAAATTACTTTTCAATCTGGAAAACATATCCGCCTTGGTTTGATCGTGCGTATATTTTATGACTGCAAAACTCCCAATGCAGTCATCTGTGAATCCAGCAGTGAGCTCCCCTTGTATGCACGGTACTTCTCCGGTTTCCATCCACGTGCAAAACTTGTGCTTGAAAAAAAACCGCATTTGGCCAAACATCCCAATGCAGGACCCACCTTGAACAGACCATTTGGAGACTCGGCGAAACATTGCTCATGGCATTATTATTACCACCAGAAGAGCAATGCAGAAGGGGGCAGCAGTGGGCAACCGGGCAAGAGCCAACGATCGAATAAGTGGCACGATGGTGAGCAGAAAGATGGCAACAGATGCATGGCCGACAGTGCAGCAGGTGCTGGAATAATTGGATGGCGAACGAGGCAAACGGGTGATGAAAAGTGGGGCAGAGGCAGGCCACCACAGACATAAACTGGGTCAATAAGAGATAATGTATTCCCGAGCGGATGTGTGTGAGCAGAGGTAAACATGATACCAGCAGAGGTCTCCTGTCAACAACGTGGATTATGGAACATTTCCTGTTGCATAATCCTCTTGTGACCCATCTATCAAGAGATGAGAACAGGCACGTGCTAGGTGGAAATGACACTGAAAGCCTGAGTAACACTGAGAAACAACTTAGCGTTTTATGGTGAACAATATTAACAGCCACCACGAAAAAAACATCATAAAAAAATGTGCTGTAGGTGTTACATGAGAGAAGGGGTGGGGAATCTTTTTCTGCAAAGGGCCATTTGGATATTTACAACATCATTCGCGGGCCATACAAAATGATCAACTTAAAAATTAGCCTGTTATATTTGGTCAAACATTTAATGAACTCACCCCTAATGTGATGGCTGGAACAGACCAAACGATTTCGTGAGCCTTATACGGCCCGCGGGCCGGACGTTCCCCACCCCTGCATTAGAGGGCTCAAATGACCTTGCCGTAGCTGCATCGCAGTGGCATGGGGGTTTGTGGTTGCTGAGTGTAGGTGGCATGGAATGGATGGGTGGTGGTGACTGGGTGAAGGTGGCATGGTTGAAGGTGGTGTGGTGGTAGCTGGGTGGGATGCCTGCACTGTGGTCTGGCCAGGCCTCTCCACTCCGTGATGTCCCCGAACTTCCCCTGGGACTCTGTGGCTGCGTTGCTCAGCGTTGCTCAGCGTTGGGTCTATCTTAGCACCAAGTCTGATGCCGCTCATTCGCTGTCCTTTGACCTCTATTGTGTTCGGTGTTTTCCCTTCTATCTTTTCCGCTTTTATTTTCCTTGTGGACAATTTTAGTCGTTTTGTAAGGTGCTTAGGGATGCCACAGTAACTAAGTACCAAATAAAATGCTAATCATTAACCTGACAGATATTGAGATTATCACAACAAATGTTACATCTGGGGCTACAATAGCTAACTCGTCAATGATAATGTAACTTCCAAATGTATCAAAAAAGTACACTCATCCACGTACACCAAACTTACTAGTCTGCAGCATATTTTGAATAAAAGCCCATATAATTATCTGTAGTTAAGAGTGCACGACTCATGATTAGAAGGCTAAGTGAGTTCAAATTCCACCGGGGTGATGATCTAAGCTCATCATCCCTCCAGGGTCATTAAAACGAGTACCACTTTGTGGGAAGTCAACAGTCGTCATCCTCCATAGGTAACGGTTGGTACCATAGTAATGTGGAATTTCCACTGCTGGCTTCAGGCCCGCCATCGATGATGACCCCCGTTCAGTGCTTGTTTATGCAGCGATGGACTTATTAATATGAATTACTAAAATTACCGAGTTATATTATAGAAACGCGTATGCGTCACTGTAACACTGGTGCATCAGCTACTGCCCCCTGCCACAGGAATGTGGAATTCCCATCAATGGCTTACAATTGAGCAACACTCAATTGTTAGCTTGAGCGGGTCGAGACATTTTGGCGCTCAACTTCCATTACCCTATCTTGACTCTGACATGAACGATGGCTGGCTTTGACGTGCGCGTGCTTACCCGGTCATACTTTTCGATGATCTCAGCTCGCTCCTGGGAAAGTCTGAGAGCCGCGTCTTTCTCCGTCTCAGTGTCTGTGTGAGACACACGAAGGATGATCGGTCACGGGATGCGAGCACAAGAGGAATCAATGTGCACGCACGGAAGCATGCAGGCATGCTAGCACACCTTTCGCTTTGCCAAGGCTCTTCAACGTACATACGACAACCCCCTCCCCCCCACCACCACCACCCCTCCCAACCCCATAATTTCTGCAGGATCTCGAGAAGCAGTCAAATTAAGTTGCTCCATAAATCCAAACTATAGTGTACTGTATACCTCTGGGGCGGTGTCATGGTGCATCGACGTCACACATCAAGAGAGGCACCCAAAACACCATTCGTACCTCTCCACACACTCCGCGGATTAGAACTTCCTAAAATCACAATGCATTACATCGCACGACTAATTGGTGAAGCGCGCCTTTGAGGCAGCTCTCCGGAGGTGCGGTTGATGAATCACACATACATTACAGGGCCCCGTTCACATGTTTGCAAAAGTTCCTTTTCCTCCGATGTCTGGAAAGAATTTGCCGACGGCCCCATTATAAAGGTCGGGCGAGGCAAACGCGTTTGGCTGTTTGGTCCGGATGTGAATCCGGCTCTACATCACGCGAGTCTCCCACCCGCGCGATCCTTGAGAGAAAATTCGGAGAACTCTGAAAAAAAAAATCCACACGCGAGACGAAAACGCTCAGCAATTTGTAGAGGCTTTTCGAGAATTGTGGAGGAACCTGTTGTCTATACTTCCTCAACTGGCACCACCTCGTTAGCATGAGTTCTTGAGTCTCACACAACGCGACGATGACGTTAACGCATGGTCCATTAAACTTGTACCCCAAGCGCTGGAATGCATCGCAGGCGTTCATCACCGTCACCTCACTCGGATACAATTGGGATAGTGCCTTTGGGAGGGAGTGATAGGAACCATCAAAAGCCACCCCCCCCCACACCCACCCTACCCACCGCTTCCTCCTCGAGTGCAGCAGCAGACAACGAGGCATCTGGTAATGATCACGGCATCGGCAGCCTCAGTGACTCTCGTTTGACTAGGACACGCCACAAACACATACGGAGGCCTCCGATTGCCGAGGCTTCCGCCACATTTGTGGGTGCAGGCATTCCGCCTTCATATACATAAAAAAAAATAAGGATTCAATATGGGTCAAAGGCTTTCTCAATAACGGTGCCAAGATTCTGGATGGAGTTGGTCACTGATCTCAATATTCCAATGCTCCCGTCTATATCTGCATTGAAGGCATCGCTTGATGCCTACTACTGTTATACTTGTGGATGCCATTGGTAAAGCCATTTTTGGAATGACTTAAATCACCAAGGCAGATGCAATTGAAATTCTTGAGGTTATAAATGCCATATGCGAGTTCCTCTCACCAGTGTCATGCAAAATGTTATTTTGGATTGCTTACTAGATTATTATTTATCAGTCGTGAAGTTGAAAATTAACAAAGGTCATCTCAAAATGATTTTAAACAAATGCAACTGTGAGACACTAATCTGGCAAATCCAAATGCTGTAGAAATAAACATTCCCTTTTCGGTAAACACAACACTTAGAAACATTAGTTACACAAGTATCGTACTTATATATATTAATAATGTAGATACATGTTAATTAAATTTGGAGTACGTGTACAGCCCTTTGCAAATCCACTGCTGGATATGGGCTTTCCGATACCATGTGAATATTGTGGGTTATTTAACGGTATTTCACTACGCGAATCAATGCAGACTGGTAAATGCGGGCAGCATAGACGAGGGGGCATAGAATTACTGTACAACAATTTATTTTTCTGAACCGACCTCTGCTGCCCAACATATAGTTCCACAGACTATAACAACCTGCTGTGCAATGATGGCCACCCAAAAACAAGCACTATCCAGGTTCAAAGCAGCTTAGCTTCTGACATATTACACGGTATCTGGCACATTCTGGGCGATTTGGGCATAGGCCAATTCGGAGTGCTGCTAACGAAAACAAGTAGTCAGGGATAGTGTTTATTTCCACCGGAAGCCATTAACCAGGGGTGGGAATTCCCCATCCTCCTTTGTGACGTGACCGTCTGCGTAAATGAGAAACAGCATCAAAATGTTCCCACTGAAGGTGGTGGCCATTTTATTGACTGAAGACACAACATGGGGCAGGCAACTCTCAATAACAATACAAACTCACAACCTTCATGAGGTGGCACAGTAAGCTGAGCGCTGTTAAAAAAATAACCACCCACATACCCGTGCTGACCCCAGTACGTGGTAACAGCGCTGATGATGATGATGACACAATGGCTGACGGTAAAGAATGTAGCACTGTATGCTTAGCACAGTGGCTTTGTTCGACACAACTGGTGACATCATACAACTTTACAGTAGACATTCCAAAGTGTCTGAGCCATGCCCCGACCCACAACAATGAGCGGAGTCATAAAACACTCATTGTAGTATAGGTGGTGGCACTGGTGACTCAGGGTTTCTGTACACATTGCACCACAGAAAGACAACACATGAAGGTGATTGAGTTAGACATTCCCAAGCGGATGATTTACAGCATTGCCATCCACAGTGCAAATGCAAAGGTGGAGCAGGTGGGGTATTGCAATGTGCTTGAACCCGGCAAACGCTGGGTTCGATTTCCAGCCACAAGTTAACATCAGTGGCGAGTGATATCTGATCCAGTCCCAGGTGGCTCCCTTTACCAGCCTGTACTTAAAAGCTTGGTGAGGTAGGGTCAAACAACACCCACGATCGACATTGATCTGGTCAACTCCGGTCATCCTCACAGCAGCGGCTTTTGGCCAACCATCGAATAAAGACGGTGGTCACCGTATCGCACACTTTCAGATGCGCTTCTGCGGCCGTCTGGAACGCTCTTCCTTCCGATATTAGGAAGCCACTGGAGCCATGCACTATTAAATACAGATTGCAAACGAATTTCCTTAGAACTGCTTTTTGTGTTTAGGTTGTTGTCCTTCCCCCCGCACCTCCGATTAGCACGGTTGGCTACGTATGGTGCGAAGCTCAACATCCATACACATGGCAGTGGGTTGACAAAGAGATGTACAGGTACGTGCTGGTCTAACATTCAACGGCTACCGAGTAACACAGTGAACAGGCTGGGTAGTGCTGTGGTCAGAGTACTTGACTTACAATGGAACAGTTCATGTTCCAGTCAGGTGTTGCTGACTCGGCCCACAATCATCACTTGCGGTGACTAAAATAGGTTTAGCTTTTTCTGGACGTCAAAGTGGTTGTCCTGTGGGTGGACTGGTGCCTGCCCTGGGAATGCATCGTTTCTACCACCGACTCACGACTGCCAAGATATGAGCGTAGTTCATTGCTCATTTAAGATGAGATTTCACTTTACGAATATAAAAAAGGTGCGGTCACAATACAACTGTTTCTCTAGGCCACCCATTGTGACACTTCAATTGTATTTTTTTTACGAAGCCATATTAAATCACACTTGCCATTGGTCCATGATTTTATTGCAAACACTAAACTGTGACTACCTATTTTTTCACTGTCATGTATTATTGTGATAACATTGCTATACACGACATTATCAGTTTCACATTCAAGGTCTCCCTTGCAAAACGGACATCTCAATTGTTTTGCACTTGACTTCAGATCAAGGAACCCACTGGCAAATGGACACCTGATCTGAATGGATAAGGCTGTCTGCCGTGAGTGAGGGAGAGAGCTAGCCTCCAGCACAGCAGACGTTAAAACCAGCTGTCTCATATGGCCTTCAATTTGCATCAACGGGAAGGAATGACGGAACGTTCCGTTAGAACGGAAATCACTTGTTTATTTGTTCTGTGCTCTAAATAGTAAAGTGCTTCCACATGGCCTGACTGGATTAACACAAAAAAACACATCAGTCACAGCCCTGGGATCAAACTTACATCGAACTGCCACGTGTAATCATCACAACTGTTCTATAATATGTAATGCAATGCGGCAGTATGTCAGTGACAAAAACATCCACCGCCTCTCCCCATTCATTGCACTTTTCTCTTCCCCTGCCCTCCAATCCAGCAACCAAGGCCTCCTGTTAAAACCTTCAGTCAATCCCGGTTCAAAGGGAGGTCACTCCTTCTCAGCTGTTGTTCCAGAGTTTGGAACAACCCCCCTCCCTCCTTGGCAGTCCGCAGTGCCGATTCCATCTATTGGTTCAAGTCCAGGCTTATGGTTCTACACGTCTCCCAAGGCAGATGAACACGTCCATTTGAATTTGCACTGGCACAGTGGTGAAGAATCTTTCTCTCACACTGAGCTTTCACTAACCTTTCCCTTCACGTAACATCGCGTGCTTTCAAGCGTACTTCTGCGGCCGTCTGAAATGCCCTAGGAAGCCACTGAAGCGACGGACTTTTAAATCTAGGATTGAAAACAAATTTCTTTAGAACTGCTTTTGTGTTTAGTTTGTTGTCCTTCCCCTGAAACTCCGAATAGCACGGTTGGCTACATACGGTGCAAAAGAAGTTCAACGTACATACATAACAAATTCCTCGTCTTCGCTATAACCTCATTATAAATGTCTTCCTTCCTCTACAGCATCTTGAGATGTGATGGCACTCGGGTTCTGTATCTATCCAAATTTTACTCCATTTGCAAATGTTTATTTATATTTCACCTGCGCTCACTTTTAGGTTGTTTTGAGTTAGAGATACTGATCAGGGAATGTGCTGTGAAGTTCTCTTCTAGACCTACCCAGCACAACGATGCCAAACTGAGACAGCAAGACAAAGGAATACACCATTGTTGGTTAAAACACGCTGTTTGGAACAGCTGTGGACAGCAAGTTTTATGAAAAACAAATTCAGCGAGCGGGTTTCATAGGCTCTACACTCAAAGTCGTGTAAAAGCATCCGCTTGCCCAAACCAGCACTTAGACAGTGCTCATCTCTGTTGTTGGCTCTGAGCCAGTGACGGAAATTCCACATTATTATGGCGGCTCCCCGTCACAATCATTTGATCATGGAGGCCACTTTGACTTTTGAATGCGATGAGTTTTTTTTTGTTATGAAGAGCAATGCATAAACAGGAAGACATGTGCCACAGCTCGGTTGTGAGTTCTGGAAAATATATCTTAACAAGAGTGTAAACAAGAAAATCGTAAACACAATTAAATTGGGCGCAAAGCCTGCATCTGTAAACAAGCAAAAGGTAAACACATTTAAATAGACGCAAAGGCCGTAACTGAATCACTATCGGTAAAAAATACGGGAAAAAATAAAAAAAAACGAATATTCAGCGTTGACATGAAGTACTCAAACACACAGTGATCAAGAAACAATAGCCGCGCATGATGCAGAGAAACGGAATGAAGAGATATACCCACAGCATTTGTGCCTCATGATTTTAAGTTGCTTATTGCCCTTTCGTCGTCGTGGTCCTCATCCAAAAGTCAAGGCAGCAGCATGGTCCCCAGCCGCTTCACTTGTGCTGGCGATGCTCCCGTCCGTGACGTTTGGATGGCAACAGTAAATGCGCCACTGCCAAGAAAGCTTGATTCCGACACGCCGGTGCGCCAGCGTCAGCCAGAACGTAACAACACCTGCGAAGCTTCGGGCCCAAGCGAGCACGACTCGCCAATGTTGACGCGACCAAAACGAGCGGGTTTAAACTCGCCCCCAGTGGTAAAGACCGTCGTCGTTAAAATCTTGCCCAAAGTTCTCAATTCAACGGACGCGCGCTCTTCAAGACCACATGTTATATCTCGGCCTTTTTTTCTCTCTCTCTCTCTCTGTCTCTCTCTTCTCTCGCCCACCAAAAACCGGCGGTGAAGTTTCCTTGAACACCACCAGCCTGCGGAGGCCGACAGCAGCTCGCTCTTTTTCGCACTCTCTCTCTCTCTCGCCTGCAGTGTGACAGAGGCTGGTGCGGCGCGGCGGCTGTGCGACGACGGCTCCTCCTAACTCGCTGCTGTGGTTAAACGACGTCAGGCGTGTGCTGGGCGCACGGGGGGGGGGGGGGCTGCCAGCGCAGACGTCACTCCTCGTCGCAACGACCGCGGGGGCGCGGGGGGGGGGGGGGCACTTTGTTTATAAAAAAAAATTATGCTGTGCACGTGCCAGATCTTGTTTTCTGCCCAAGGCCATAGACGGAAGATCTCGGTTAAATATGTCTGCATCCGCAAAACATAACCGTCACCATTCGGCGCTGATAATGACTGTGGACGGACATCGGAAAGTTAAATAAATGTAATAAAGATTCCTTCTCAGTACAGTTGAACCAATGCTGTCATGCTTCCCAATACTGTTCATAAGACTTGCTGCGAGTGTTTAACCTCCTGCAGGCTTTCAATCGTTTATCTCGGTCCATTAAATCATTCCTGGCACAGCTTTCACCTTGCTCCCTGCCCACATCACCAGCAAGTGTGTTTACTTGCGTAACGAAAAAATGAGGTTCCTTTGGGGCTGACATCACCTGCGGTGCTTTTGCGGTGCCTGCGAGGGTGGCGCGTCCCATTGCCATGTAGGGTCGCCCGAAACTGGCGTGGCGTTCGAAGCCGAGTCCCGTATTTACACGCGGGGCACCGCTAACATCGCTCGAGGCTTCCCTCTACCGAGATGACTATCGCAAGTGGGATCGCTCGTTGTGATAAGCCTCGTGCTCTTTTCAGACAATCCTTTTATGTACATTCATTCGATAAAGACATATTCACAAGGCGGGTTATATATCGCTTATGTCATCTCCCACGTTGAAAGTTTTTGGGTTTTGATGAACAGTTTTTGCCAAGGGCGATCCGGCAGTATCTTAAAGAGTTTGTGTTTTTTTGTTTGATCGTATCCCAGTTGGAGGTCGACTGAGCTAATCGTCCCCTCAATGCTCAATAGAACGCTAAACACTCTGAAGGAAGTAAAACCGTGGTCATATCAAGGACAGAAAGTCCACCCCCCCCACGCAAGCGAACTTCTCACTACGACCAGTGGCTCGGGACGGCCGGAAGAGATTAGAACGAGCGCACTGCCCACTGAGGCAGAGGGACCACCAGCTTCAGGCAGCGTGTGATACAGCGAGGGAAAAAAGTATTTGATCCCCTGCTGATTTTGTACGTTTGCCCACTGACAAAGAAATTATCAGTCTAGAATTTTTATGGTAGGTTTATTTGAACAGTGAGAGACAGAATAACAACAAGAAAATCCGGAAAAACGCATGTCAAAAATGTTATACATTTATTTGCATTTTAATGAGGGAAATAAGTATTTGACCCCTATGCAAAACATGACTTAGTACTTGGTGGCAAAACCCTTGTTGGCAATCACAGAGGTCAGACGTTTCTTGTAGTTGGCCACCAGGTTTGCACACATCTCAGGAGGGATTTTGTCCCACTCTTTGCATATCTTCTCCAAGTCATTAAGGTTTCGAGGCTGACGTTTGGCAACTCGAACCTTCAGCTCCCTCCACAGATTTTCTATGGGATTAAGGTCTGGAGACTGGCTAGGCCACTCCAGGACCTTAATGTGCTTCTTCTTGAGCCACTCCTTTGTTGCCTTGGCCGTGTGTTGTGGGCCATTGTCATGCTGGAATACCCATCCACGACCCATTTTCAATGCCCTGGCTGAGGGAAGGAGGTTCTCACCCAAGATTTGACGGTACATGGCCCCGTCCATCGTCCCTTTGATGCAGTGAAGCTGTCCTGTCCCCTTAGCAGAAAAACATCCCCAAAGCATAATGTTTCCACCTCCATGTTTGACGGTGGGGATGGTGTTCTTGGGGTCATAGGCAGCATTCCTCCTCCTCCAAACACGGCGAGTTGAGTTGATGCCAAAGAGTCCATTTTGGTCTCATCTGACCACAACACTTTCACCTAGTTGTCCTCTGAATGATTCAGATGTTCATTGGCAAACTTCAGACGGGAATGTATATGTGCTTTCTAGAGCAGGGGGACCTTGCGGGCGCTGCAAGATTTCAGTCCTTCACGGCGTAGAGTGTTACCAATTGTTTTCTTGGTGACTATGGTCCCAGCTGCCTTGAGATCATTGACAAGATCCTCCCGTGTAGTTATGAGCTGATTCCTCACCGTTCTCATGATCAATGCAACTCCACGAGGTGAGATCTTGCATGGAGCCCCAGGCCGAGGGAGATTGACAGTTCTTTCGTGCTTCTTCCATTTGCGAATAATTGCACTAACTGTTGTCACCTTCTCACCAAGCTGCTTGGCAATGGTCTTGTAGCCCATTCCAGCCTTGTGTAGGTCTACAATTTTGTCCCTGACATCCTTGGAGAGCTCTTTGGTCTTGGCCATGGTGGAGAGTTTGGAATCTGATTGATTGATTGCTTCTGAAGTTTGCCAATGAACATCTGAATGATTCAGAGGACAACTAGGTGAAAGTGTTGTGGTCAGATGAGACCAAAATGGAGCTCTTTGGCATCAACCTAACTCGCCGTGGTTTGAAGGAGGAGCAATGCTGCCAATGACCCCAAGAACACCATCCCCACCGTCAAACATGGAGGTGGAAACATTATGCTTTGGGGGTGTTTTTCTGCTAAGGGGACAGGACAACTTCACCGCATCAAAGGGACGATAGACGGGGCCATGTACCATCAAATCTTGGGTGAGAACCTCCTTCCCTCAGACAGGGCATTGAAAATGGGTCGTGGATGGGTATTCCAGCATGACAATGACCCAAAACACATGGCCAAGGCAACAAAGGAGTGGCTCAAGAAGAAGCACATTAAGGTCCTGGAGTGGCCTAGCCAGTCTCTATACCTTAACCCCATAGAAAATCTGTGGAGGGAGCTGAAGGTTCGAGTTGCCAAACGTCAGCCTCGAAACCTTAATGACTTGGAGAAGATCTGCAAAGAGGAGTGGGACAAAATCCCTCCTGAGATGTGTGCAAACCTGGTGGCCAACTACAAGAAACGTCTGACCTCTGTGACTGCCAACAAGGGTTTTGCCACCAAGTACTAAGTCATGTTTTGCAGAGGGGTCAAATACTTATTTCCCTCATTAAAATGCAAATCAATTTATAACATTTTTGACATGCGTTTTTCTGCAATTTTTGTTGTTGTTATTCTGTCTCACTGTTCAAATAAACCTACCATTAAAATTATAGATTGATATTTTTTTGTCAGTGGGCAAACGTACAAAATCAGCAGGGGATCAAATATTTTTTCCCTCACTGTATTTATAACATCATTCGCGGGCCATACAAAATTATCAACTTAAAAATTAGACTGTTATATTTGGTCAAACATTTAATTAACTCATCCTTAATGTGATGGCTGGAACTGCTTCTCTTTGGTGAGGCGTGTGATGATGTTAGCTGGTATTGATGATGTTGCTACTCGCAACTGCTTTTCCAGGTTTGCTCCTAGATTTATTGAATTTCGAGGCCTGCCTGCGGTTGCCTTGGCAGGGCCACACCAAATGATTTCGCGGGCCTTCTACGGCCTGCGGGCCGGACGTTCCTCACCCCTGCTTTAAAGACTTGCTTCCTGCCTCATAGCCCATGCCTACATGACACTCCACACGAGTCAGAAGGTTCATCTTCAGCAGCTACTAGGTCCGTGCACCTACTAAGTTGAAGGGTCCTGTGGTTACATTTTAAGAGCTCATGGTCTGCCCCAAATCGCGTGTGTGCAAAACATGGCAGATGCGGATACCTGATGCACAAATTGAAAATTTAAAACTCTCCAGTGTGCAACTGTGGTCATCCACAACAGATAGTACAACGTATAAGGACGCAATGCCCAATTCACAAATACGAAGGAGACATCACAGCGATGATACACTCCGCTGCTCCTGACGCGGTTATCTAGCTTGACCATCTGAATGTGAAATTGTAGTTGTTGCTCTGTATCTACATCAGCCGTACGGCAAAAGAAGATTGAAGGGCAGCACGTGGAGAATCATTAAAAAAAGGTCTGCGCTTTGCCGATTTATTTGGTCTTGAAAATTACACCTTCCCTGGCGTCATTCCCAAGAGCACGTTATTGCGTACCACTATAGTGTGTGTGTGTGTGTGCGAAAAGCGACCAAGTTCTTTCTCTCTCTTTACTTCAAATTCAGAAACTTGTCAAAATGTGTCCACGCTCAACAAACAATGAAGCATATTCTTGGTTCTTTCGGTAAAGTCACGTAGAAGGGAAACAATAAAATAATAAAAATATAAAACAATAAAATTCTCACGACGTTTCGACTGCAACACAAGCAATCATCATCAGGTGTGAAAACCACAGCAAGAATTTTTTTTAAAAAGTGGCGGTTTTTTTTAACGTTAGCACCACGGATAGCGATTTAACAGTTTGTTCAGATGGACGAGTCCATCTTGTTTTATATTTTTATTATTTTATTGTTTCCCTTCTACGTGACTTTACCGAAAGAACCAAGAATATGAATCCCTGCAGTCACGAAAGCTTTAAATAAAAAATGAGGAAGCACTCACGTCCACTGGCAGACTTGAGCCAGTGGTGTGAATTCCACATTCCCATGGTGGGGGGGGGTGCCAGTCTCTCCGTAAGGACGAGCACTGGAGACTTTTTACAAAGCGGTACTCATTTTTTATTAACTCAGAATAACGTTGAGGATTTTACTCTTGAAGAACGTCATCCGTGGCTGAACATTCGCTGTGGCCACTAACCAAGGAATAACAACTGCTCTCAATACCATTCGTCATTCTAATAGTATAATAAATTATTTAAAATCATCTGTAGGAAGTGCACAAACAGATTTTAAACGTAAATGGCCAGCCCTTTCTTTGTCAGTCTGCTGTCGGACAAATACCTCTCAATGCTCCATCGGACATGGGGTTTATTTGATCACACTTCACCACATTGGAAAATGCGAGTTGATAAAGAGGGGGGGGGGGGGAGAGGCTAGGGCTGGGACTTGTTTTAGATATAAATTGTCATCCATGACTAGGTATCTATAATTTTCTGATCGTGAGCATCGCTGAGCCCAGCTCTGTACCGCATTCTCTCGTTATTCACGAACTTGCCATACGCGAGTGTGCCTATCT